TTATGTAAGATTTAGGTATAGAGCTGGTCGTTCATGCTATACTAATTCAAAAATAGATAATGATAAATCAATCTGGTTAAAACGCAGATCCTATTTCGTTTCGTTTTTATAGTTCAAAATTTTGTTTTACTTGTCTTTACTACACTGTAGGCCACTCGGCAAATCTCGACAGATTCCGGTACCCTACATCTAATTTCGGCTGTATGACAGTAAGTGATATGTGCCTACGCCCATACATTTGCGATGCGGCTACCGGTTTACTTTAAACAGGAAAACGTGTCGCTTTTACAAAAAAGTCCCAAATTGCGTCTTTTGTAGAGTGTATATACCTAAATGAGCAGAGATATTGTCTCAAGGCTGCTGGTTTGATAAAATTCCCTGGTAATTCCCCAAACCCAATGCCAAACGTGACGTTTGTTGATATAATACACTCTCCACAGAAATCTCCATGGGGGCAGCCATTTTTCATTCGGAACCTTTAAAATAGTTCAAATATGGCGGAAATGGTCACACAGCCGAGATTAGATGCGTAGAATCTGTCGAGGTTTGCCGAATGCACTGTAGGCCATCGAAAGTATAAAAAAACGAAACGAAATCTGTATTTTAATCAGATTGATGATAAATGAATATATTGAGGTTTTCAGTCTCGGTGAAGTTAACAGGCTTTGAAGTGTCAAGTTCCAGTGTTATGATAATAAACAAAGTCTCGATTATCCATTTATTAGATGGAATTATTAAATGGCGATCGTGTTTCAATCCATTGAAAATCGCGACCATTGTCGTGTGGATAAAAGCCTTATTAAAAATTCATTTGAGACCTGCAATAGGTAGATTTAGCTCTTACATAATGCAACTATAATGGAGAGTCCGAAAGAAGGTTATATGTAAGCGGGCCCGTAGCCACGGGTGGGGGGGGGGGGCTTAGCCCCCCAAAAATCAAATTAGCCCCCCCCCCCCCACCAATATTTCGCCAACATTAATGATTTCTTCGGAAAGTTCTTAGCCGGCCATATCCTCTGTCCCTCCAAAAAAATTCCGTAGCCCCACCAAATTTTATGAGATGGCTACGGGCCCGTATGTAAGCATGGAATAATTAACATTGGAGTCGATGGGGAAAGGGTTACTTACCCCTACCCCGACATGACGTCTGTTAACCTGCTACGGATACTTTCACCAAAATATAATATCATCCATCTTGGACAAAACAAAAATTAAAAATGCATACAATCGGGCAGAGTCTAAAAGTTAAAGCCCACTGCAGATTTCTTCAAGGTCGTGAGATGTAAATAGGGTTAGGGCACGTGATTGTTGGGTTAGGGTAAGTGTTTGACTCTAAGGTTTGAGTTAGCGCTAGCCCTGTTTACATCTCGTGATCTTTGACAAATCTGCAGTGGGCTTAACTTTTAGAACTAACCATACAATCGTGATATTATGTTTTGGTTCCGACAATTCTTTGTTCTATTTTAGGATATTCCCTAAATGGATCATTAAACCAATATCAATGATGGCGACAGCTGATGACTGGCAAGTTGTTTCTGTGTCCACACAGTAAGTTCCTTCATTACCAATCTGATTAAAGCACAAATCCAATTTCGTTTCGTTTTTATAGTTCAAAATTTCGATTTTACTTGTCTTTACTACACTTGGATCTGGAAGCGTTGTTATTTAACTCGTGTTCTGCTTGAAATGAGGGGTCAGCCAATCAAATGGTCTGTCGAATCGAGCGTTTGACCTTTTTTGCGCGGAACTGTGGGTAGACATTAACGGCATAAGAAATCAAAACAAAGCAAAAGTAGATAAAAAATACATGGCGGTCGCTAATTGGTTAATCGAATGACTGACGTAATCGGGTCAAATGTCGCTTGCTTGGTACCCGACGTCATAGAACGTGAACTCCCACTATAACTTGTTAGATCTACATGTACTGTAGGCCATCGAAAGTATAAAAAACGAAACGAAATATAGATCTATATTTTAATTGGATTGCTTCATTACCGTCTTAGTGATTGTGGGGGGGGGGGGGGTGGATGACGGGAATGGTTAGCACGTGCGTGCTGTATCAAAAAGTCATTGAGTCAACTGGCGTGGTTTCGAATCCCCGGTTGTACGTGACAAGGAGTGGGGTCGCCTGTCCAACTTCGTGGGTTTTCTCCGGGTCCTCCGGTTTCCTCCCACTGCTAAAGACCCCAACGCGCAAGCGAATTATGAAAATAAAATTGAACCATATGTTAGTCCCGAAATGACCTAGTTTGTGTCGAGTGGACGTTAAACTCTCTCTCTCTCTCCCTCTCGTTTTTAGTGATTGTGATGTCTTTTAAAAATTCAATCTGATTAAAATACAGATCTATATTTTGTTTCGTTTTCTTATACTTTTGATGGCCTACACTACATGAAGATCTGACAAGTTGTACTGGAAGGTCGTGTCAGAGGTTGTACGAGCGGCTTTTGGCCCTATGACATCAGACATCAATCAGCGTTGACGTTTCTAATAGTTTACTCACAGTTCCGTGCACGGCACGCCAAGAACTAATGTAACAGACCACTTCATTGGCTAATCCCTCACTTCAACCAAAATGCCGGTAATATAACAACTCTTCCAGATCCTAATGTAATCAAGACAAGTAAAACGAAAGTTTGAAATATAAAAAAACCGAAACGAAATAGGATCTGTGTTTTAATTAGATTGTTAAAAACTGAACATGTTAAGAAACGTTTTATGTAGCGACAGTGATGACTTTTAAAAACTGAATTTTTTAATTCTAGAATAAAATTATGTGATCATATTTATAATTCATTTTTATTTTATTGGGCATCTATCATTTTTAAAAAATGTCACGGCGCCGCGAAGCTGCAATCTTTACTAGAATGCAGGCGCTCTATAAATTCATTATTTATTATTATTTAAATAAGCAATATGGCGGAAAGAGAGAGAGAGAGAGAAATGGGGTTTAACGTCCACTCGACACCAACTAGGTCATTTCGGGACTAACATATGGTTTAATTTTATTTCAATAATTCGCTTGCGCGTAGGGGTCTTTAGCAGTGGGAGGAAACCGGAGGACCCGGAGAAAACCCACGAGGTTGGACAGGCGACCCTACTCCTTGTCACGTACAACCGGAGATTCGACACCACGCCAGTTGACTCAATGACAGGCTTAATGATAAAGCACGCACGTGCTAGCCATTCAGCTATCCAACCCCCCAATATGGCGGAAGGGTAAAAGAATATTTAATTTAACAAATTGAAAGATTAGATTTTACTTGATCTGCTAGTACATTTATTGTGTATAGGTGTATAGTGTGCAATGTCCCCGTGTTAATGTTTTGTGTCCGATCTTCTTTGTTGCTGTTTTCCCACACTTACTCTTACAAATATATAACAAAAAATGTAGTTTAGTTAGACCGTTTGATGATAACTCAATGAATTCGAAATGAAATGGGATTTATCGTCCTACTGTTCTGCTCGGACTAGGCCAATGAGGGGAATTTTGATCAGACAGTGGCGCTACAGCCAACTCTTATATCGAATTCTAACTGCCAAGGGATCTTTTACGTGTACGCCACTATGTAGACGAGTCTCGGTTTTTAGTACTATGCGAACGACTAGCAGCTGTCCGTGTCAGGGCCTCCGTTCTGCACCTCAGACAAGGGGAAACCACGCCGGAAAATTCCGATGAAATTTCTCGGCCAACAGGAGCGATGGATTTGAACCATGATATTCGAAGTGAAAGGGAGAGAGAGAGAGAGAAATGGGATTTAACGTCCACTCGACACAAACTAGGTCATTTCGGGACTAACATATGGTTTTTAATTTTATTTCAATAATTCGCTTGCGCGTAGGGGTCTTTAGCAGTGGGTGGAAACCGGAGGACCCGGAGAAAACCCACGAGGTTGGACAGGCGACCCTACTCCTTGTCACGTACAACCGGGGATTCGAAACCACGCCAGTTGACTCAATGACAGGTCGTATGATACAGCATGCACGTGCTAACACTCCGAAGTGAAAGAGAACTGCCCTAATACTCGATTGAAGACGTGCAACGAAAAAGATTTTTATTAAAGGGGAGTAACTCTAGTTCTCTGATCTAGGTCCAGAGTAGTAAATACACGATTCCATTCTTTTATGGGCATATATTAATCAGTATTTATCCGCCAAAAGAGGCAATTCGTGAAATCAAGGGAAACAATTAGTATGCTTAATCTTTCTTAAAATTTTATTTCAGCTTGCCAAATAAATCATCGAAAGATTTAACACGAACTGAGGCTCATCTTATGGCAATCAAACATGGCGCCAGATTTATATTTGATATACATGGTGATGTGTTTAACTCAGCTCATCTAAAGGAATTTACATTTTCCAAAATGTCTACTGGATTACAGTATAATCGTTCGGGTATGTTTGATCCAAACCAATTACATAAATTCATCAAGCCGGGCCAATATCGAGAGGACTATTTTTTCTGTATTGGCATGGAACACGAGGTATTAATACAGAAATGCTTAATGGCGCCTAACCCGTTTAATCAGATGACTAAAATCAACCTATTACCGAAATTCTTTCTTTCTAGTAGCACCCAGTTCATAGATTATTCTCAGGATGCCTTGTTTTCATACAATGCGTTTTGGATTCTGGGGGTATCCACATTAAATGCAGAATCCGAAGCCTTGACCCAGGTGATCAGAAACGTCATAGTTCAAAGGTTACTTGGGGAAATGGTAGGAGAAATGATGATCAGCCCAATGTGTACGGTTGAATACACCAGCAATAAAAGCCTTTATGATGTTCCTCCTGTAAGTGTTTTAGGGATTCTAAATGATTTCAAATGTGGTGCTAATGCAACTCTTCAGTTCTGTTTTTTGGAATTAGTTCAAAGGTTAGAAAACTCTAACGTACTGGAAAAAGATTCCGTGGTGAAAATTCGACAATGGCATGTGGAACTGGCGCGTGCTAATTATGTCATGCCTTTGCGACAGATAGAGGTGACATCATGTTTAAACCAATTTCCGGTTCTCTATAACTTTGTGTATCCTCCTGATTGGAACTCAGAAATTCCTATAAAATCGGATCATTACCATTCCATGTGCCCGAATGTCCAATCACCATGGCAACAACCATTAATAGATGATGTTGCATTGATAGTTACATATAATCAAGATCAATTTTATTTTAATAGAAACTTAACAGACCTCATGCATCGGCCATATTTTAAACATTTAATATTCTGTGGTCCGAATATTACGACATTCTACCGTTTTCTACAAAACAGTTCGACTCCTTCCGTTATATTTTTAGGGGCGTATCGTAATATTACAGATCCATGGAAGTTTATGTACGAATGCACGATGTTGGCCATGGAGATGAAACTCGGGGTCAAGGGTTATCTGCAAGTTGGAGAGGACGTTTTGCTAAATTCGTGGAATGTGAAAAAATTACCATTAGATAAGTTTTGGTTACCGGAAGGCTTTACGTTTTTAAATCGGACGACAAAACATAACGATTGGGGGTGGTGGTGGTGGTATCAACGACAAACCAACGCAGTTCTTGATAATATACAATCATTGGGTAAAGGACCGAATCTTCATGCCGAAAAGACTTTCTGGGAGAACTTCTTGCAAGCTACGGGCAGTGAACAGTTCGCCATATCACGTCCATGCGACTTGTTTTATGTTCCCAGTAAATATGAAAAAGAATACAGACATTATTGTAAAGTTTTCTCCCGTGGTGACGTCATGCACGAGGTTGCTCTGCCTTCTATGGTTGTGGGCATAGCTTCAATGGCAGACGTGGTTTGGTTGAATGATACGACGTTATGGACGACAGACAGACGCCATTCATACGATTTTTTTCACCCAGACAATCTGTTCATACACCCAGTTAAACCATTACAAGTTTTTAATGAACCGAAATATAGATCTTTCTTCTGTGACGTGTACCTCAAATATTTAACTAACCAAACTGGAAACGTGTGTCTTCATGCTTGTTAAAACCATGTTTTAAAAAGGAGCTCCGTCTTTGTTGTTGATTTGAACAGTCTTCGTTCACAATTTGACGTCCTTTATGAAGCCATAAGCGGTCCATACACGTTCACTATTTTCGTCAATTAATTGATGTCAATTAATTGATATAACTTAGTTGGCGAAATTGACCTTGCCCATACACGATCAATGCTTTAGCATTAATTTTCATTCTGATTGCAAACTTCAAGATGAAAGGATCTCTGACACGGTCTATTTAAGTGAAGAGCCGTCAATAAATATTAAAAGAACTTTGATCCGTCAATTAATTGATTCAATTAAATTGTTTCAATTGATTCATCGTCAATGTCCTCCATACACATTCAATTTCTTCATCAATTAATTACATCAATTAACATCTAAAGTATAAAAAAAAAACGAAACCAATCTGGTTAAAACACAGATCCTATTTCGTTTCGTTTTTATAGTTCAAAATTTCGATTTACGTGTCTTTACTACACTTGGATCTCGAAGAGCCGTTATTTAACTCGTGTTCTGAATGGTGTCAGGGATAAGCCAATGAAACGGTCTGTCACGGCGAGCTTTAGGCGTGTTTTGCACGGAACTGTGGGTAATCCACTAGTAACATCAATGCTCATTGGTTAATCAAATGTCTGACATCATAGGATCATAAGTCGGTCTTACGTGACGTATCGGTATAACTTGTCAGATCTTCATGTAGTGTAGGCCATCGAAAGTATAAAAAAACGAAACGAAATATAGATCTGTAATTTAATCAGATTGAAACGAAACGAAATACAGATCTGTATTTTAATCAGAATGAATCAGCCCGGGATGTATTTCAACTATCTGTAACATCCTTCTTGCATTTCAAAACCCAAATCTTGGTGTAATTTGGCCGACACAGTATTACTCGCATCTATATAAACATTTGCCATTCTTCCACTTTCTAACAGAAGCTTAGATAAATTTGACACTAAAACTTTACTAAAGCCTTGACCCCTAAAATCCTCTTTCACATACAACATCCCCATGGTGTCATAGTTAGTTTCTAACATATAACCAATCAAATTATCCGTTTCATTATAAAGGGCTAATGACGTATAATCTTGTATTAGAGCCTGAATATATTCTGCCGTTCCATCTCCACTATCATCCCAGATTCCTGCTACAAACTCAGCTTGGGCCACGTTCAAAGCCGTAAGATGAAGTCCCGCTGGAACTGGACTGTAAACGAGAACAAATGGAAAGCAAAATCACCTCTCGATCAAAAATAACGTGTTATATTTAATCATGTTCCCGCGACTATCTTAAGGGCGGATTAAGGTGTGTGTGTGTGTGGGGGGGGGGGAGGCACCCTGCTCAGCTACATAAAATAAATTGTAAAACAATACTTTATGAGAAAAGTGTAACGGTCGTGTGCTTTATCCTTTATCATCAGATGGTGGGATGGGATGGGCATTCAAAGCGAGAGATAATGATATAGACATATGTGATATCACAATTTAATGTTTTGCATCAATGAAATTGAATATCAATGTGATACTATTAATTCAATATAAAAACTGACGTCAAACGAGGTGTTGGATTTCTCTCTTTAAAAATGTGTATGTATGCCTATGTAATTTAGAGACGATGATGGCATCATGCACTGTCAACTGTCAAATTTCCTTAACAGGAACATGCCCCCCCCCTCCCACCCCCTGCAAAAATTCCTGGATCAGCCCGTGTATCTTTACAAAATGTCACACTATTTGGATAGCATACATATACATTGTAATTCAATTCGTTAATACTGGCCCTGGTAAGTCTAATTTACGATTAAAAACATTTTAGTCGTTTTGAATACTTACACAATTTTTAATTTATTTAAATCCGTTGACCAGACATGAGCTGTAGGGTGAACATGTAATTCACCGCCATTTTCTCTAGAGGCTTCTTTAAGCACATCAAATAGAGTTTCTGATGTGGCTGAAAAACACAAAAGCGTAATTATTGAAATTACAGCGTGTAGCGGATATTAGAAATTACCTTGATTCTGTTTGATCGAAAACTCCCATTTGTTTTAGCCAAGCGATTTGGACTAATGCTAGATAATATTCCACCATTTGACTTCCTGCACATTTCTTGGCCTATAACATTTTTTTTTAACATTCCGGTAGTCCCAATCTTGACAGCCATAAGGAGCCCATTGCTCTTGCAACTGATAATGTCAATAATTTTAGTATTGTGGTGTAAGAAAATATGCAAAAATAGCATTTTTTTTTGACAGATTGTGTGAAATGGCAACAATGGCACTCGTCCAGCTTATTGCCCTAGCTAGGATCCTCAATTCTTCATGCCACAGCTTCCCGATTCTGTCACGGTCGGTGTTAGTGACTGCTAGTGCTCAGTTCATCCTATTGATCAATCTATTTCACAAAGGATTACGAAAGTATTATAATATCTCTGTGAAAGATGACTACCTTTAACACGTGACGTCTCATCACGCGGCGTCAGTCATTGGCTCAATGACGCGTGCATTGTTTACATAAGACGTTCTAGTTCGGGCAGAATGGAGACTTTTACTCATTTTAATACCCATTTACACTAAATAGGAAATAATTTTTACCTACAAATACGTCAAACGCCTTTATTTATTTTTCTAATACAAAAAAATAAAATGTTTTAGAATTTAATTTGTCGCAGAAAAAAAGTTAATATTTCTGGCTCATTACGTCGCACCGATGTCATCCTTATCAGTGATTGTAGCGGCCTAGCTGCCTAATGATTGGTATTTTTATATGATTTGGCTAAAATGGAGCAGATATCCGTAGCCTTTTTAAACATCTGATATCGACGTTTATTATGATATTTCTATATGGAAGATCCAGTTTCAAATGGGATTTTTTTTTATTCCCTGTTACCATTGATGGCATATCTTATGTTAATCAGCCATGGCATTATTATTATTATTATTATTATCATTAGATAAATTAAAAAAATTAAAAATGTACTTTGTTTACCTGAAAATCTACATTCTTTGTTCCAATTTATCACACCTGGTACTTTTAACATCTGTTTTAAATTGACTTTATCTGTGGTAAAAACTGAATGCTGATACTTTCTGTATAACAATTTAAATAACAAACATTAAAACAGATATTTTATGTTTGTAACTATGGTCGTGGACCTACTTTACTGAAATTAACATACTATTATTACTTCCTGTATAACAACACTCATATACAGATACTGCCTGTATAACAACTACCTTACAGATACTTTATGCATAACTACTAAAATAACAAACATAAATACTGATAATCTCTGTATAACAACTAACAACTGCATACAGATACTATCTGTATAACAACTACCATACAGACACTTTATGCATAACAATGCATAACAACTAAAATAACAAATATAAATGCTGATGATCTCTGTATTATAACTATTTCTCCGGGTCCTCCGGTTTCCTCCCACTGCTAAAGACCCCTACGAGCAAGCGAATTATTAAAATAAAATTAAACCATATGTTAGTCCCGAAATGACCTAGTCTGCATCGAGTGGAAGTTACCCCCCCCCCCCCCAGCCCTCTCTCTCTGTGTATAACAACTAACAACTGAATACAGATACTTTCTGTATAACAACACTCATATACATATACTTTCTATATAACAACTACAATAACAAACATAATATATTTTCACATTGAGACACGTTCTGTGGTAGTTCAATATCGTGTCTGTTGAATTCTATTTCAGTTTTAACGTCAGAATGAACGACTAGCATATTTGGTTGATAATTTCTAACAAAGCGAACAATTTTTTCTATAAACAATATTCTATTTAAAGGGCCAATCCCGATTATATTTTGGAGAATAAAACTACTTAGAATTGTGTTAAAAGCCCTTAAAATCCTCTACCTTAGGCCCGAGCAACTAACTCAATATACATGATATGTTTTCAAACAACAAATGGAGACCTATGTCCAAAGCTATGTTATACGGTTTCTGGATAAAACCAGACTTTTATTTTAAAAAAATAACGTGTAGGTGAAATTTACATTTCGTTATCGAGTACAGCACGTAGGTCATTCACTCTATAGACCTCAAAAAGAACAGCAATTGATAATCAGGTCACCCAAAGAGAAAATTGTCCTGAAATCTTAAAAGGGTTACGTGTTTGGATAAGCAGTTTTGACGTTCGTGTCCAAAAGACTCAATATTTTGAGCTGAAATTTTCAGACAGGATAAATATACCATTCCTATATATTTTGGCGCTTAGATTTTATACATATATGTACTTTTATTTCTGAGACTCTATTAAAATCGGGATAGTCCCTTTAATTTGAAAATGGATTGTGGAACAGGCTAGGCCTATGTTGACTCCTCTCCAGAATTACAAAACTAAATTTGATTTATGTACATAGAGAATATATATACAACAAGAACATGCAAAATAAAAATCAGACACTAAAATTTAAATTAAACATTTATACATATTGTTATATTGTACATTTTTACCCGAAAAGGCTTTATTGAAATTTTTATATTTAAAGTAGCTAAGTCTCTAAATCAATATCATCCAAACTCTTCGACATTAAAAACACAAAATATTTGTCAATTTAAATCAACATTGATGTTGTGATTTAATGGGAAAAGATGGGCTTCTGATATCCTATATTTAAGACAAAATAAACATTTTACCATTGGTACACGAATCGTGTACCATAATGCGTTTAAGCGCCATTTGTAACAAGGGACTCGGAGAACGAGGCTTGACATGTTCCACAAGTCATGTCAAACGGTGACAGTATTTTCTTATCCGGAGAGCATGCGCAATAAATACTATCGGTGTAGACTGGAATAACCTGACGCTAGAGATTGCCATTCGATTGAGACTTCAATGGTTTTTCGCCGAACATAACTGATTTGAAATTAGAGTAAAACGGAAATGTATTGAATGTAAATCAGTTTACATACATTCATATTACATTATTATATGCGTTGCGACCCATTTGTGTCAATTTTTAAGTCCCAAATAATTGCGATTTAGCTCCTCTAAGTATTATAACTACTGTTCTAGTGACAATCTACTAAACAAATAAATTATTCTAAAATCTACCAGTTGCCTCACTACCATTACGTGAAGTGGGTAATCCCCAATAACGTAAACAATGCGTTTATAAGAACAAGAGTTATAATACTTTAATATGAAGTGGGTAATCCCCAATAACGTAAACAATGGGTTTATAAGAACAGTAGTTATAATACTTTAATATGCAAATTTCAACAAAGCCTTTTCGGGTGAAAATGTACAATAATAATAATAATAATATATACAGCTGGCAGTTCCGTTGATTTATATATTAGTTTGTTTTATTTTATTTTATGATACCCCACCCAATAAGACCTACTTAACCTTAAAGGAGCTAAATCGATAATATCTGGGACCTAGAAATTGACAAGAATTGGTCGCAACGCATAGAATAATGTAATATGAATGTATATAAACGGATTTACATTCAATCGTTTCCGTTTTTACTCTAATTTCAAACCAGTTATGTTCGGCGAAATACGCAAAAAGTCTAAATCGAATGGGAATCCCTAGCGTCTGGTTATTCCAGTGTACACCGATAGTATTTATTGAGCACGCTCTTCAGATAAGAATATGGTGTCATCGTTTGGCATGACTTGTGGAATATGTCTAGCCTCGTTCTTTGAGTCCCTTGTCACAAATTGCGCTGAACGCATTGTTGTACACGATTCGTGTACCAATGGTAAAATATTTATTTTCTTTTAAATATTGGTTATCACAAGCCCATCTTTTCCAGGTAAGATTACAACATCAATGTTGATTTAAATTGACAAATAATTTGTTTTCAATGTGGAAGACTTTGGATGATACTGAGTTAGAGACTTGGCTACTTTAAAATGTTATTAGGTGTATGGATATATATGAATTATAGAATAAATAAATAACCGCGGGATGATTCGGACTTTAATGTCCGATTTTGAGAAACGTTTAAAAAGTTATGAACAGTGTTAAAATTGAGTTGATTTTGTTCAACTAAAAAGGTAGTAATACTAATATCTTGAAATTGCTGCTCAAGTAAACAACTGAATGATATTCCACCGTAACCTTCTAATGATGGGTAGTTTGGTTTTACAATAACAGTCGTAAAATCTGGCCATTTGTCAACAACGACGTCATATCCGGAATATTGCCACCATTTCTCATCTATAAGGCAACGAATCTCTCCGGAAGTCTAGAAAAATAGTTTATACAAAATTAAATTTTATTGATACATAATAAATACATTGATTACTCACTTCATTAACAACATAGATGCGTTGCCCGGATGGCGTCCTCGTTCTCTTCTGCGCGTGAATTATTTCGTCAATCGTTGCTGATTAAAACAGTTTGAGTCTTTTGAATCAATTAATCAAAACGTAAGTCGTTTCGCTTTTAATTGTTTACAGAATGCCCAGGACAGTTTCTTTAATAACGTCACACCCGGCGGGTTAATTTGCTAAACAGGCATTATGTAAGAGCTAAAACTATCTATTGCAGGTCTTTCTTTGGGCCTTAAGTGTTATATAAATTATTAATTAGACATGTATTAACATGACAATAATCAACCATCGATGCCATTTAATGATTTAATTTAAAAATGGAGAAGCGAGGCTAAGACTCGAATGGCCAGTATGATGGTTACGATCAATGCACACATCTTGACAAAACTGCAACCATTGATAACTTCGATGAAAATAAAGTAAATTGAATGAAATTTGCAATATATTCATTTTGCATTATCTATTTTTGAAATATTATAGCGAGAATGACCAGCTCTTTATATAAATCTTACATAATGCCTCTTGAATTAAAAAAGAAGAAACTATCTGCAGAATTGGAAATAATTTAAAACACGATGGTCAATAATTATAAACAATAAAAATGTAAAATGGCGGAATCTCAGTTTTAATCATAACAATAATATCCCACAAATTACGGAAGCGCTATCCTGAATTACTCGGACAGCACTTCGCGATAACAGAGTTTTTGATTCAATAATAAGAACATGTTTCTCAGACGTGATGTGACACTCGTGTTGTGCATAAGAAAGTGTGACCTATTTAAACACGGCCCAATTCTGTAGCCTCGCTATGGTTATGAAGCTGACACTACTGCACGGCAGAGATTTTGTACGATAATAGACACCTAAACTGTTTCAATGGCATTTAGTAATTGAACTAGAGTATACAGGTCACAATTCTATGGAATACAATTACTGCTTTTTACTGAGCGACGTTTCGACTAGGCTTCTCTAGTCATTATCAAGCTATGATAAAAAATGAAAATATGACAGGACAATATATACATGTACACCACAATGCTAAGTTAATGATGACAAACCAGGGATGTAACTTATCGGCATCCCTGCATCGCATCAAGAAAGTAAGATTATTACATACATGTTCATATTTTCCTTCTGTTCTTCGTATCTGATCAATGAGTTTGACTGCCACATCAGACATCAGTATGGAGATGTGGCAGTCAAACTCATTGATCAGATACGAAGAACAGAAGGAAAATATGTACATGTATGTAATAATCTTACTTTCTTGATGCGATGCAGGGATGCCGATAAGTTACATCCCTGGTTTGTCATCATTAACTTAGCATTGTGGTGTACATGTATATATTGTCCTGTCATATTTTCATTTTTTATCATAGCTTGATAATGACTAGAGAAGCCTAGTCGAAACGTCGCTCAGTAAAAAGCAGTAATTGTATTCCATAGAATTGTGACCTGTATACAATAGACACCTACCTTTAAACTATCAGGGAAATAGTTGTGTAATCTCTCTAATAAACATGGCAATAATGTTTTTGTAAGTGTCACAGACATATTCGTTAATACATTAAAACACGATTACTAGAAATAGAACAGCACTGAAGATTAGTACATTAAAACAGCGTTACTATAAATAGATAAGACGAGCGCTTTGACATTCGAGGGGTCGCGTTTGATTGTTAATTTTAGTCCACAGTGTTTTTATATAGGACAAGAATAACGTTTGTATGATTTAGTCAAGTGTACTTTAAAACATTAATGTCATAGAACTGAACTACAGTTATTTTGTTTTGGATTTAAATCGATTTTACAATACAGTTTGAGTGACTATCGGTAATTTAGATTGTGTGCATAATTTTAGATACGGTCATATAGAAAAGGTGTAGGTCCCCATATAATTTTGTAGGATTCCACAGAATGCTATGGAATACTAAAGAAGAGGGAAATGGGGTTTAACGTCCACTCGACACAAACTAAGACATTTCGGGAATAACATATGGTTCAATTTTATTTCAATAATTTTTAGCAATTGGAGAGAACCGGAGGTCCCGGAGAAAACCTACGAGTTTGGACAGGCGACCCTACTTGTCGCGTACAACCGAGGATTCGAAACCACGCCAGTTGACTCAATGACAGACCTTGTGATGCAACGCGTACGCGCTAACCATTCGCCCATCCATCCCCCTAGAATACTAAAGGAAAACGATTTCATTCTGTAGCTTTATTCACACATTGTTCTGTCTGGTGAATCAACAGAATTTAAATTAATCCACAGAGAGCAAACGTAGGCTTTTCAAGAAATAACCTTGAAGAAATAATGGACCAAGTATATTTTCCCCCAAAATAATTCATAAAAGAACTAGAATACTATAGTACCCATTCCTATAGAAAATTGAGGTGATTTAATACCCAAACTACAGAACACATGTACTACAGTATTCCTTCCTATACATAACTGGAGAATTTCCTACAGATAGACTACTCATCTATGTTTTTTTGCTATATAAAATTCCCCATTAATCTGTAGGAAAAACTAGAGGGTTTGCACAACAGTATTCATAGGCGTACTGGCTGAGATAAATTCGCTAATACGAACCTTTTTTTAAAGATCACGTGATGCTCGAAACCCATAGGTAAACATGCACACAATCCTGAACTCAAGTAACTCGATAAAGAACAGGACAAGAATTATCAAGCCAAAATAAATGCCAATGTTATCCTGGCCCCGGAAACCTTTGACATCACCACGTATTATCTGTATGCAGATCTCTGGGAACCCCAAAATGTTGGAAATATGGTGGCGCTTTTGTTGGATGTCTTTCCAAGTTCTGAACCCTTCAAGTATGACAGCATCACCATCATTGGGCTCTGAACAGTCCATGCTGATTACACTATTTTGCCTATACCGTTTTTTTAGGACTTCGAATTTTGTCTAATGGTTTGGATTGTTCGTACTTGGTTTTATTTTATTCACCAAAGGAAAAGTCGTCGTCAAACTACATTTCCCACGAAAAGCGTAATGCAGTTTATCGTGGTGTGTTACTCCACAAGGGCGCCAACATGAACACGCCTACACCCATCAACGTGTACCGAGGCTGTGTCTTGCGGCAGAAGGGCGCGCGACGTCTACAGGGGCTCCTGAGCATGGTGAAACTTTTTCTGCGAGTCGTTAAAAACCAATGAGACTTTTGGGGACTTCAGAAAACCAGCCCTCGGTATGGTGTCGGAAAACAAAGTGTGTTCCTGCGCACCATAAAACCGCGTCTCCGACAAACACTATCCGATGTCATGTCATTATCCACAAGACCACTCATGACCAAATATTCTGCGTCATTTTACTAGCCAAACGTCCTCGACCAGACATCTTCGATCATGGCTTTAGAAATGCGTAACGATTCCTGTTCCACGTGGCCAACACGCAAATGGCCATTACCGGAGTGACCAAAATACGTAAATACTCCATTACACCCGGTCTTAACCACGATAGACCGATTGAAGTACGGATTTCATCGATTTGGTCAATACGACCCTATACCTGCGACTAAAGGTGGTGAAAGAGGATGATACCAATCTACCAGCAAACGAAGCCGTGGGTCTCGTAAATAGTTAGATGCACTCTTTGTTTAAAGATGTAAAATTGCTGATGGGAAAAAAATTCCGATACATGGTTCACGTCTCCTCTACCAATTAGGCTTATCGAGCTTACCTAGAGAATTTACCAAGTTATGGAAAACAAGGCAAGACAAACCATTTAGACCATCAAGTCTTGTGGCACAAGGATACCGCAGACAAATTTATTCAAGTCTCTACGCCTGAGTTTGGAAAACACGCCTCTAAATTTTTTCCTGGTGCACGCCGACAACAAGGGACCCACACTGATCAGCAGTGAATTTTTGCTAGGCCTCTACAATCACTGATAAGGATGACATCGATAAGCTTACTCTTCCGGACACCTGTTACCACTGTTTGTCGTGTATTTTCTAGTTGCGGAGCAGTCCATTTGCTGATTACACTATTTTGCTTGAATACACTATTTTGCCTATGACGTTTTTTAGGATTTCGAATTCTGTCTTATGGTTTGGATTGTTCGTACTTGGTTTTATTTTTATATCGATGCGACTTAATGAGCCAGAAATATTAACTTTTTTCCTGCGACAAATTAAATTCTAAAACATTTTTTTTATGTATTGGAAAAATAAATAAAGGCGTTTGACGTATTTGTAGGTAAAAATTATTTCCTATTTAGTGTAAATGGGTATTAAAATGACTAAAAGGCAGCATTCCGCCCGAAGCAGTAATGTCTTATGTAAACAATGCACGCGCCATTCAGCCAATGATTGACACCGCGTGCTGTGACGGCACGTATTAAGGCAGTTATCTTTGACAGAGATATTACTCTAGACTCGTAATTCTCTGTGAAACAGAGTTTGGTACCTGAATCACTTGTACCTACTGCAGTCACGCCCTGGACAATCTGTTCATCAACGAAACCTTACCCTTACGTCTATTTGCAGGGTTGGTCAGTATCGAGCTTACAATGCACATAATACCAGGAACCGTTCCGGTTCCATCAACACAACTTTAATCACATTCGTCTGACGGTTTAAGGAGAAGTCGTGCATGATTAGGCCGATCTCAACTATTATCAAAAAAATACAATTATGTTTTCTGAAAGTTCAAATTATCTCGGAGCCACGGTGGCTAAGTGAGTAAGACGCTGGCCGAGAAAGTTCAGCGGGATTTTCCTGCGTGGTCAGGAAAGCTGTCTAGTAATTCGGATGGGACGAATAACCGAGGTCTCGTGTATACATTGGCGTGCATGTAAAAGATCCCTTGACATTTGGAATTCGATATAAGAGTAGGCCATAGTGCCGCTACCCGGGCAAACTTTTCCTCATAGCACACTACATGGCATATGCCCGTCTTCTTTAGCCCAGTGGGAGCAGATCTGTAGGACCCCATTTCATCTCATTTCAAATTATCTCTGTTAACTTTGTTGTGTATGCTGCCTAATTAATCTGAACAAAAACTTTATTTCATCGGCCCACAATTTTTTGAAATATCGCCTCAAGTCGACGTAAATGTGTGTTGAAAATGGCGACAGTCTAAAATTATTTCATCAACGCTATATTTCGCTTGAATAGGGCTGGATATGAAGGTCTATTAATCAGAATTCGACGGTTGTCTTTTCTAAGAATATCAACTTTCTTTTTAAACCTCTAATATAAGAGATGTAATTTTCTAAGAATATGTACTTTCAGTTTAAACATGTGGACACAGATCACCAAATATTCCTACGCCGTCACCTTAGTCTTCCTCCCCCCCCCCCCCCCCTTTTGCATGGCCTTTTGTGTTGACGTTTTGGTGTAGAATCGAAGAAAAGGGTTTGAAAATACATTTTCTGCCAGGTTTTGGTGAATATTCATAATTTTGATGCCGAAGGATACAAGAGTTCAGAGGTTGGTTAGGTTGAAATGTAGGGCCTCAAATTGCATTTTTACTTGTCTCTACTTCCAGCTTGTACATCTCAAGTTTTTCATGAAGAACCACATACGTGCTTTTGGGCAAGAGGTTGCCACATGTTGCTCTATCTGTGGTAGAAAGCGTTCTACCCAACGAAAATTTGGGAAAAGGTTAGAGCCGGTCTAAGATACGAGAATTAACATTGGAGTCAATGGGAAAATCTTTAGTGATCTGTGGCCATGTGAGGTGTGGTTTTCTAAGAATATCTACTTTCAGTTTAAACATAATATAACGTGTGTCGGGGCTTAGCATTCATACAATAACATAGATAAACTGGCTTCTGGAAGATGCTTCGTAATAAGAAATCTGTCGGAGGACTATATAACCATGTGGTTTGTAACTTAACAGTAGAGACACTGTGACCCACGCACGCTTTACGTTATCGCTATTAGTGTTACTCTATTTGTTTGTATTTCTATATAATACGTATTGGTTATAGGCCTGGTTGTGGTTGTGGTGTGACCTATATAGCCAGTTAATGCATTAGATAAGTCAATCAAGTATACGTTACACGACACGGGCGATAGACGTTATATAAGACTGTAGTTAACTGCTGTCATTTTCACTCCTCGTACATCAAATGTAGCTGTTATTGTTTCAACAATATACATAACTATCTAAACTTATTGGGGTGATTTGTATCTTGAATTGTGAAGATAATAACGACATTAATCACTGTTATGGATAATCAAGTTTAGGGTGTATGTAACATGGTGACCATAGAGTGTGTGAAATAGCTTTATTTAACGTCCGATTCCTCCGAGGTGATATCGCAGACAAGTGACCACAGAAACGTCTGTGGACTAAAATAGATCATAATCAACATGGCGACTAACACCACGGATAACCGACCACTGTGCAACATTTGTGTAATGGACTTTCACCATTATAGATAACAAGGGTTGGGTGTGTAGGCTAACCGTAAGGAGGTGACCATAGAAACTTGTGTGGACTAAATTAGATCATATTCAATATGGCGACTAACATCACGGACAACCGTCTACTGTGTAACATTTTGTGTAATCGACTGTCATCATAATGGTTACACAAGTGTAGGCTAACCGTAAGAAGGTGACCATAGAAACGCGTGTGGACTAAATTAGATCATATTCAATATCGCGACTAACACCACGGACAACCGTCCACTGTGCAAAATGTGTGTAATCAATTGTCACCATTATAGATAACAAGGGTTGGGTGTGTAGGCTAACCGTAAGGAGGTGACCATAGAAACGCGTGTGAACCAAATTAGGACTAAATTAGATCATAATCAATATGGCGACTAACGCCATGGATAAACCACTGTGTAGCATATGTTTAAACGTGCAGCGACAGCCTAAGATAATCGACTGTCATCATTCATTCTGTTTCTCGTGTCTTGAAGATTATATCAACAAAGTCTCTACTAACAACCAGTTCCCTTGCCCATTATGCCGTAATATTGTTAACATTCCTGTTGGTGGTGTGACGCAATTTGAGTCTGATTTGAATGTTCCACAGGATTTGGTGAGTAGTATAACTTGTAAGACAGAAATTCCCCCATGCGATGCCTGTAAAACTGGTGTTAATTCTGAGTTCAGGTGTGAGAACTGTGAACAATATTTGTGTAACCCTTGTAGAACAACACATGATGGGCTTAAAGTATGTCAGGGTCACTTGGTAGTAGGTGTCAATTCTGAGTTTGAGACTCCCAGAGGAGATAATCCAAAGTCTGCTTCTAAGGATATTTGTCCAAACCACCCGGAAAAAGAAGTCAGATGTTATTGTAAAGACTGCTCGTTGTCAGTCTGTCTAGAATGTTTTGTGATCGGTCATAATGGACATAAATTCTTAGATTTACAGGACGAAAAGATTAAAGTCGAGACGAGAGAGAAACTAAAGCAATTAAAAATGTATCTAGCAGCCCGAATTGACGAATTCTATAAATATACAAATTCTCTGAAAGCATCTGTTGCAGATATTGAAAGCTGTGCTGAAAAATCTTGTAAAGCTGTCGATACACAAGTTGAAAAGATTTGCTCCGAAGTCAAACAAATTGGTGAAGACGTTAAAATTAAGATTCACAAGTCACAGGATGATGAACGAAGCAAGTTAACCAAACCGCTTAAAGAGATGGAAATGTTAATAGAAGATTTAAAAGCCAGTGTTAAATGTACAGTAGATGTTATAGAAGATACATCTATTGTTCAGGTTTTAAACAGAATACCACAAGTTGATAAAGAACAAGAAGAGTGTAAATTAAAAAAGTTGGATATTCCTGTTGTAGATTACACGTGGTTTGAAGCATCATTGATTGATAAAACAAAATTAGTAGAACAACTAGGAACATTACTGTATCAGTATACCTTTACCAGTACATTTAATGTTGATGATGAGAATTTACAACTGGGGAAGGAGGTTTATACCGACGCTCTTTACATTCAAGGTTTAGCTTGGCGTTTCCTTGTCAGAAAATCTAAGAAATCCCCACCAAGTCTAGGTTTATTTATCCAACTGAAAGATGAAGGCCACAGACTGGATGTTAAATCTTGCCAAGCAACTATTACTTTTAAACTCCTTAACGTGAAACATATGAAACAGTCAACTGAAAAAACATCAAGTAATACATTTAACCCCGGCACCGATTGGGGATGGTCTGAATTTGTAAATTGGAATAACATCTTAGCAAATAAAGAGGTAGGTTTCCTTGATGATAACAACAACTTTACTATACAGGCATCGGTCAGAGTAATTAACATTGAACGTGGTTAATATTTGAAAACTATCGATCAACAGAAAAACGTGATAAACATAAATGAAGTCAGTTAACTTTTTTGTACAAGCTCCCGTAATACAAATGTTTATTTAAAGATGCATTATATAAGTTTTAGTTAAAGAGCTGACCATTCTCGCTGTATTAGTTCAAAATTAAATAATACAAAATGAATATATTTAAAATTGCAGTTATTTTAATTTATTACTGCCCATTGGAACCTTAACCAATTATATGACGCGGGTGTTCTGATCTATTTAATATTTCAGCCATCCGATGATTTAGAGAGAGAGTTGATGGTTTGTCATGTGAATACATGTTAAAATAATAATCTTGATAACATTTAAAGCCAGCAAAAAGGAGGAGGGGTAGGACTGGGGGCCCTGTAGAAAGTCAACTACATGTATCATTGGTTAACTGTTTGAGTCCTCTAAACTAATTATAATTTAAAAATGTGTTATTAAAAGTTTTTGAGGAGCGATAACAAGTATGTTTGTTTTTAAATTATTGTTTTCACCAGTTCAAATTCATATGGCCTTACAAGTTTCAAATCCCAATTAAAAACCCACTTGCTCAAACAATCTTATGTTGACTAAATTTTTGAAGAGACATGTATATAGTTTATTGCTCTTAAAAGCGCTTTGAGCATGCTAATGGATGGATTTGTCGCTCAAGAAATGGACATTTGTTATTGTTATTCTTTATTATTTAGTAGTTCCAAAGTTGTCCAATTCTCTGAGCTAAACTCAGTTTTATTTGATATTGGAATCACGTGTCTTTAGAGCATATTGCAGCCTTCCCTCCTTTCCTGCAGTCAGAATGAGCATAGATCTGGTTACTGGTTTTCATCACTGCCTGAATAACGCTAATGAGAATCTTAGAAAATGGCTGAATATTTTCTCCTCTTTTTTCTAAATAGTTTAAAACATCTTCAGGTACACCATCTGAATAAAAGTAATACAAAACAATTTAAAAATAACCCGAAATAGAAGACGGTGAATAATAGGCAGTAGGTGGTCAACTATCTAACTGTGTTGAGTAAATGTTCAATGCCATTTCAGATCATCTTCAATAGAAGGCTTGATCTCGCTTTAACTACGTACATCTTATCAAGGCCATCATGTAATACCCAGCATATATCGGCTTTAATTTCGATTAGGTACAATCCAAGCTTGTGAGCCTATCAGATTCCTCGATCGTCGCGAACACTAAGTCTCGCGCTTTCAAACTAAAATTTCTACTTGTGATAATCGAGTTGCAAAGTTCAAGGTTCGTTCAATGTCAAGGTGTCCGTGGAGGTCGCTCTATGTCACAACCTCTGATTGGTCGCTACTGTTCACGTGTCTGTAGATAACGTACTTATAAGTTCGGGAATTGTGAAGTAATCTCGCAACATCCAGATGTTGTAAAACTCGCAGTCGTTACTTCAGGAACATGATTTCAGATATGCCCATTCAAATAACCTTAATGCTGATTTTTAAAAAGGATCCACATCTAGCTTCATAGCTCATTTGCGAAACTATTCGGTACTTCTACTCTCTAGACATATAAGCAGGGGTGGGGTGGATAGCTCTAGGATCTTGGACTAACTGGTTTCCTTGGGCTGGGGGCCACGGTGGCTCCGTGAGTAAGACGCTGGTTTGGAGGTCGCGGGTTCCTTCCCAGTGTAGCCGAGAATGTTCCTCGGGATTGTCCGGGTTTGGTTCAGTGATGCAGAACTGAGGGCCTGACAAGGACAACTGTCTAGTCGTTCGGATGGGACGAAAAACCGAGAGCCCGTGTACACATTTGCGTGCAAGTAAAAGATCCCTTGGCAGTTGGAATTCGGTATAAATGTAGTACCACTGCCTGAGCAACATTTCACTCATAGCACACTGTATGGCATATGCCCGTCTTCATAAGCCCAGTCGGATCAAAACAGTAGGACGTTAAACCCCATTTCATTTCATTTCCTTGGGCCCCGTCGCAAGCGAACTATTGAATTAAAATTGAACCATATTATCTTTGTCTCTCTCCCTAAAACCATTAAGGGTTATATTTACCTTCGTATTCAGTAATATCAGGATACAGTTGATTATGTAATCTTGGTTTATCTATAGCATATGTTAAATTTAAATTAAATAACATCACATTAGCTATAACTTGTGCTACACCTTAAAAAAAGAAGAGAGAGACTTAAAACATTGCAATAAATATACGCCTATCCACCAGCAATTTGAATGTTGATTATCAAGGGGCGATAACAATACATAAAATTGATGGGTCACTCTGCATCTAAGTATAAAGTTCTACCTGATATAATTTTGGAGCCACCGAAAGCCCCAATAGCCATGATTTTATTCTCATTACAGCCTATTGTTGGTGCCATCGAAATGATCTAGTCTGTGTCTCCCTAAATCCCATTTCATTTCATTTTGATTGCAATAAAACCTAATCTAGGTTTAAAGGTTTACCTGATATAATTCTTGAGCCACCAGAAGCCCCAATAGCCATGATTTTATTCTTATTACAGACTATTGTTGGTGCCATCGATGATAGGGGTCGTTTTCCTGGTTCTATTAAATTATTCTGAATATAAAAATAAAACTATTTAAATTTATTACTATTACTAATGACCCTTCACCCGCATGTCGATAAATGTTACTGACGATGGAAAGCTCAAATAAGATATAAAATGTTTAAAATTATTGCTGATGACAGGACCTTTGACTACCAATTAAATGTTCTAATAAAAACACTTGAAATTGTTTGTGGAATTTGTTTTATCATTGGTTTCCATTGGACGACTTATGATTCAATGTTGACCAATCATATGCATGGTATTACAGAATTGCGTGCTTAATATAATTGACAACGTACTGCATTTTTGGGTGAAAATAATAACACACAAGATAAGGTAGTGAAAATAATAACTTACTAGATGCTAGAGTAAAAACAGTAACTTAATACATTGTGGGGTAAACATAATAACTTACTAGATTAGAGGATACAAATAATAGCGTAATAAATTACTGGATTCGGTAGTAAAAATACTAGATTGAGAAATAAAAATAATAACTTACTAGATTTAGCCGAAAACAATAACATATTGGATTAGGTGGTAAAAATAAAGACTTAATACATTGAAGGATAAAAATAATAACTAACTAGATTAGCAGGTAAAAATATCGTACTGAATTAGGCGGTGCTAATAAATTACTAGATTACTGAGTTTGCTAGTTAAAATACTAAATTACTAAATCGAAAGAAAAAAATATAACTTAAGTCATTGTGGGGTAAAAATAATAACATAGATTAGACGGTAAAAATAATAACTTACACTACATTATGGTGTAAAACTAATAATTTACTAGGTTACGATTAGGTATTGAAAATAATAACATACTCCATTATTAGGAAATGAAATGAGGTTTAACGTCCTACTGTTCTGCTCCTATACAGGGTTAATGAAGACGGGCATACGCCATACAGTGTGCTATGAGCGAAATTTTGCCCGGGCAGCGGCACAATCGCCTACTCTTCTTACGAATTCCAACTGCCAAGGGATCTTTTACGTGCATTCTAATGTATACACGGGACCTCGGTTTTTCGTTGCATTATTAGGTAAAATAATAACTGACTATATTATAACGTAAGAGATAATGTCTTAGTAGATTGGGAGGTAAAAAGAATAACTGACTGGATTTTTCGGTGCAAATGATTAACAAGATTAGGTAGTGAAAGATGAAAACTTACCACATCATGAGGTAAAATAAAAACGTACTAGATTAGGAGATAAAAAAATAATAACTTAAGGAGGTGGTGCAAATAACTAATTTTCGGTTGGTGGTGGTGGTGGGGGATAACTTACAGGTCAGGACAACTTATATGATAAAATAGTATAAATAAAAACTTAGTCGATAAAACTTACTGGATTAGCTGGTAGACTGCAAATTGAAGGAAGGGACGGGTTACTAAAATCAACCATACTATTATTTAATATAATACCAGATGATGTCATGATTTTTGATCCGAACCAAATATGTAAACTTCTACAAAACATAGAGATGATACAACACTAAAATTTTTAGTCAGTTACTTCTGGAAGCAAGTGGGGGTCACGATGGCTAAGTGGATAAGACGCTGGCGCGCTATCCTGAAGGTCGGGTGTTCGATCCCTGCATTAGCCGAGAAGGTTCGTCCCGATTTTCCAACGTGAATACCCCCTTGTCAGTGATGCAGGACGGAAGGCCTTACAAGGACAGCTGTCTAGTCGTTCGGATGGGACGAAAAACGGAGGTCCCGTGTACACATTGACGTGTACGTAAAAGATCCCTTGACATTTGGAATTCGATATAAGAGTAGGTCGTAGTCAGGGGCGTGCTGGTAGGGAGTTTAGGAGGACGGTGTCCTCCCAGGCCTCCATTAAACAATAAGTCCACCCGTATAAGCGGGCCCCCCTGAGAGCTCTAATTTTCACGCGGAATCCCCTCAAAAAATTGAGAGTGCGCACGCGAAAAATCATACATACACAACGTTTAGTAAAATATATTATGCTGACGTGCAAATGTCTGTCACCTTAAGGTGAAATGGTCTTTGATTAAAAATTTTGCCGACTACAGCAAAATCATAAAATATGATACCTAGATTTCTCCCAGAAGTGCTTGCAAAACGCGTTTCCCGTTGTCAAATTTCAAAAGTTTTATAGGGGGGAGAACCCGCACAGACCCCCCTAGAGGACATGTCAAGGGACAACGCATAGTTGATCGGATGCGACGAAAAACATAGGTCTCGTGTACACATTGGAGTGCACGCAAAACGACAATGACAGTCGGAATTTGATAAAGAGGTAGGCCGTAGGACGTAGTGCCGCTGTCCAGGCAAAAATATCCTTCATAACATAGCCTACTATATGGCACATGATCGTCTTCATTGGCTCACTCGGAGCAGAAAAGTAGGACATTAAACCCTATTCCATTTCATTTTCTCCAAACTAGAGTTTTTGAATAAAATGTTTAGTGGACTAGAGATACGCCTTATGATTTGTCAGAGTTGGAGTTTGAAGAAGAGGATGTGGGAACGTCCACAATCTGATTAAAATACAGATCTATATTTCGTTTCGTTTTTTTTTATACTTTCGATGACCTAGTGTAGTAAAGACAAGTAAAACGAAATTTTAAACTATAAAAAACGAAACGAAATAGGATCTGTGTTTTAATCAGATTGGAACGTCCATTGACCTTTAAACTTAGCCTCAGAATATAAAAGGTTTGTCTCGAAAAATGCATTAAAAATATGTTCTAATTTTAACAAAGGAAACAGAAATTTTGACTTACGTTGTTAAAGATACAGCCAAATCATCTGCATCAACTACAGAAATATGTGTAGTTCCACCATTTTCAACAGGTTCATACTTGGCACCATAATATTCCACAGGGTGACTTTGATTATCTATTTTACTACGCAGGGTATTAGCATATTCTTTACTGTAAAAAAAGAAACCTGAACATAAAGAGAGAGAGAAATGGGGTTTAACGTCCACTCGACACGAACTAGGTCATTTCGGGACTAACATATGGTTTAATTATATTTCAATAATTCGCTTGCGCATTGGGGTCTTTAACAGTGGGAGGAAACCGGAGAACCCGGAGAAAATCCACGACGATAGACAGGCGACCCTACTCCTTGTCACGTACAACCGGGGATTCGAAACCACGCCAGTTGACTCAATGACAGGCCATATGATACAGCGCGCACGTGCTAACCATTCGGCCATCCACCCCCACCCCCACCCTGAACATAAAGGCAATATGTAAAATATTCATGTGTTTGTGTGTTTGCGATGAATTAAAGGGGGGGGGGGCGTGTACAAATTGGAACAGAAGCTGGAATATCATAACCACAAAGAGAGTAAAATCAATTGTTCAAGTCGTATAATTTTGAGTCAAATGATCCTATTAACAAAATAAATAAAGAGTTATAATTCACCTAATAATTTGCAATAATTTATTATTGACCGCTGTTGAATTAAACTCCGGATCACCCAAATCACCATGATGAGCAGAAGCAAACTTCAAACTCTGGAAATACCAGATAAAATAACTGATTTACCAGTAAAAATACACATGTATTAGACATAAAGAATACAATATAGAAAGTAATGTAAGTTTGTTTATTGGCGTTCACCTCAATTATTTGATGTCCTAATTACAGCCAATTAATATTTTCTACTAATTACAGTTGTTGAATGGCATGAACTAATTACATGTGATGATATGTTTTACTAATTACAATCGTTTAATGGCAGAGTTAACCAATTACAATCATTTAATGGTATGTTTAACTAATTACACTCGTTTAATGGTAGATTTAACTAATTACAATCGTTTACTAATATGCTTAACTAATTACAATCATTTTATGGCTTGTTTAATTAATTACAACCATTTAATGGCTTGTTTAACTAATTACAATTATTTAATGGTATAATCTAATTAAAACCATTTGATGGAATGTTGTAATTACAACCATTTGATGGTAATGTTCCATCAATTACAATCATTTCATGGTATGGTCTACTAATTAATATTTAATATGCTCTACAAATTACAATCATGTAATGGTACGTTTTACTAACTACAATCATTTGATGGTATGTTCTACTGAATGTACAATCATTAAGTATGTTTAGTATGTTCTACTAATGTACAATTATTTAGTGGTATGTTCTACTAATGTACAATTATTCAATGGTATGTTCTACTAATTACAACCATTTGATTAGTTCTTCTAATTACATTCACTTGATGGTATGTTTAACTAATTTTTATCATTTAATGACACGTTTTACTAATGTACAATTATTTAGTGGTATATTCTACTAATGTACAATTATTTAGTGGTATGTTCTACTTATTACAAGCATTTAATTTAATGGTATGTTCTGCTAATTACAATCATTTGATTAGTTCTACATGTACTAATTACACTCACTTGATGATAATATGTTTAACTAGTTACAACCACTTAATGACATGTTTTACTAATTACAATCATGTAATGGTATGTTCTACTTGCGGGTATGTTCAACTAATTACAATCATGTAATGGTATGTTCTACTAATTACAATCATTTAATGTTATGTTCTACTAATACAAACAATTTGTTGGTATGTTTAATTACAATCATTTAATATGTTCAACTAATTACAATCAAGTAATGTTATGCTTTACTAAACTCTTCCATTTGATGGTATGTTTACTATGTTCTACTAATTACAATCATTTGATGGTATGTTAGCTAACTATATTTTACTTATTACAACCATGTAATGGTATTTTCTAATCGGAACCATGTTATGGTATTTTTAACTTACAGACGTGTAATGACATTTTTTACTTATTACAATCATCAGACGGTATGTTGTGCTCACCTCAACCATCTGATAGTATACGTTAGGATCATCGACTGATGTTGATGTCCAGTTAAAACCCTCCAGTAGATTTATTAATAATAACAAAATTGGTCCACTTGACGGTGATGGCATTGTACTAACATAACCTCCTGTAAAGATATATACAAACAAAATAATACACATAAGCACTGATACAAATTATACAAAACATGACCAAGGGTTTGTCAGGTCCCTTAATAAACTAATTTTAAGACATTCAACTGAAAACGTAAACAAGTTATACAGATTAAAATGTGAATGGAAAGATTAAAGAAAATTAAATTTGGTAGAGTTCTTCTTTATATCATAATAAACAATCTCGGAGAGTTTTAAAATAAGCCATCGATAACTCGGCAGTCCTTACAAAAGAAGTCACATCCTTGTAAATTACAAGGATGATGGACACATTAAGACATACCATTAAATTCTGTTTGTATTATATCACGTTGTATAACTTTATATTGTTGTAAATCTTCCATACTTAAAATACCGCCAGCTTCTTCAACCTAGAAAACATAGCATTAATACTTAAAATACTACTAGTATCTTCAACCTAGAAAAAATAGCATTAATACTTAAAATACAAGCAGCATCTTCAACCTATAAAGCATAGCATTAATACTTAAAATACCAGCAGTAGTTTCAACCTAAAAACATAGCATTAATACGTAAAATACAAGCAGCAGTTTAAATCTACACAGCATAGCATTAATACTTAAAATACCAGCAGCAGTTTCAACCTATAAAACACAGCATTAATACTTAAAATACCAGCAGCAGTTTCAACCTATAAAACATAGCATTAATACTTAAAATACCATCAGCAGTTTCAACAGCAGTTTCAACTTATACAGCATAACATTAAAACTTTAAATACCACCAATATCTACAACCTATAGCCTACAGAGCATAGCACTAAAGATTGAGTTTTAAGGTGTCTGCGCAACTTTAGTTCCAGATAAATACCACCATGTGGCTACATCACTACGAAATGTTGTCGGAATCCACCAAATAATTTCCTGGGAACCTTTCACAAGAAAAATTTTCCTTGAAATCCATCAAACAGTTTCCTACAAATCCATTAGCTTTCTTTGAAATCCATCAGATCCATCAAATAGTTTCTTAAAAATACATCAAATATTTTCCAAGAAACGTTAAAAGATAAGTGGCCTGACAGCACAGGTAATATGAAATACGACCAAAAGTGATATACAGATTGTATTAGGATATCAGCTATTTACTTATAACAGCTATTTACTTACAGCTTGTATTATGGTATCAGCTATTTACTTACAGCTTGTATTATGCTATCAGCTATTTGTCCTAAATAAAGTGCATCAGCCCCCTGTTCTCCAATTATGTCCAATGTATTTGCTAAATCTGGGCGTTGTATAAACTCACCAGCCCGTAATACCTCACCATCTGGAGCAAACACTTCCTTAAACTTGCCCTTGAAATCGCTTGGCTGGACTTTAGTTTGCAATATGAAATACGACCAAAAGTGATATACAGATTGTATTAGGATATCAGCTATTTACTTATAACAGCTATTTACTTACAGCTTGTATTATGGTATCAGCTATTTACTTACAGCTTGTATTATGCTATCAGCTATTTGTCCTAAATAAAGTGCATCAGCCCCCTGTTCTCCAATTATGTCCAATGTATTTGCTAAATCTGGGCGTTGTATAAACTCACCAGCCCGTAATACCTCACCATCTGGAGCAAACACTTCCTTAAACTTGCCCTTGAAATCGCTTGGCTGGACTTTAGTTTGCAAGGATTTGGCTGCAGGTGAAACAAAACAAATTATGATGGCTATTACATATTAAAGGGCGTATAACTCTACTCTTTGGAATCTTGAAATATACGAAAATAGGTCTAAAATCACATATTAATGTAACATGAATGTTTATAAAGTGGTTTACACTATTTTTTCAATAACTGGTATTGTAATTTCTACTCAATTACGTTCGGTAAAGGAGCCACGGTGGCTAGGTGGTTAAGAGGCTGGCTCGCTAGCCTGGAGGTCGAGTGTTCGATCCCTGCATTGGCCGAGAAAGTTCATCCAGATTTTCCGACGTGGTTTCTTCTTGTCAGTGGTGCAGAACGGAGGGCCTGACAAGGACAGCTGTCTAGTCCTTCGGATGAGACGAAAAACCGAGGTCCCGTGTATATATTGGAATGCACGTAAAAGATCCCCTGGCAGTTGGAATTCGATATAAGAGTAGGCGATTAAACCTATTTCGAATTCCAATTGTCAAGCTTTCTTTTACGTGCACGCCAATGTGTTTTTCGTCCCATCCGAACGACTGCACATTGTCCCTTGCCAGGTCATCCGTCCTGCACCACTGGCAAGGGTGGGGGGGGGCGACGCCGGAAAATCCCGATGAACTTTCTCGGCCAACTTACTTCCAGGTTAGCGAGCCGACGTCCTCCTCACTGAGCCACCATGGCTTCCTATTAGAGAATAAACCTCAACAAAAATGTGGCAGCTGTATATATATTAGAAAAAATTAACTTGCCTTGATTTTCTGTGATCGTAAAACCTTTTCTGGCCATGTCTGCTGCTGGTCTAACTACCTGACACCATTTTAACCTGATATAATCAATTATACCGATCTAACTAGGATTTCCCTTTCAAAATATTGCTCGTCGTCGAACATTTCAATTGAGTTCACAATAGAGAAACTAGAAGTAGTTGCACACTTCACGAAATAAGGTCAATATATTTCCAATCTTCAATTAAAAATATCGAAAACATAACTATTACCAAGCACTAGGATTAAGAATGGCATGTATATTATAAGTTCACATACCTGCCATGTGCCTTATGAGCAGCTTCCAAACCCTTTACCTCCCCTGGTACTCCTACCGATAAACCACTCTGTAATTACAAAAATAATATCTACAGATCTAGCCAATTTATTCCGTTTAGCTGATTTAGAGACCTTTATCTTCTGATCTGAGTTACAATTTTAGACACAAGTTTTTGTTAACAGTGTCGGGTTTACTCTTAGGCTTGGTAGGCTGAAGCCTTGGGCCCCAAGATCTAAGGAGACCCTGGTCAAGGTTGACACTGTCATAAGACTTTCTTACACGCATTAGTATTCATCCCCCAGCATTGTCCAAGTGATTAAAATACACTATGATTTTTTCCCCAAGAGTGATGATGATGGAAAGGGAAAAAAATCTCATAAGTGGAATAGTCTAAGGCCCCTCTTCATTTCAATCCGGCTTGTTTGTTAGCACAACAGAACCATGTTTTAATTTTTGATTTTTCTAGTTGAAATAAGATGGCCAAACAACAAAGCACATTGCATGCAGGATCATCGCAGACGCACTTTTCAATGCATGAATTTACGATCTAATTTCTGTTTTAAAAAATGGCCCAGCTAGTTTACTGCAAATATTCTATGCCATCCCACTTCCTAACACGTAAGAATACAACTAGTACAAAAAAAGTTATCATACGCTATAGACACAGTCTTCTTTACCACAAAACATATCCGCTGAAGATCTTATAGGTGCTGCTTCACGGAAATCGTAACCCCAGGATTTCTGTGTTTTCTGGTCTTGAACAATCATAAAACCACCACTGAAAGTATATGATACGAAATACATAATACGCATAAGGGAATTAATACACATATAGGGATATACACATGGAGGGGGGATTACTATAAATACCATTAATGGGAGAATACACATAGGGAATTAATACATAATACACATAAGGGAATTAATACACATATAGGATATACACTACGGGGGGGGGGGGATTATTATACATACCATTAATGGGAGAATACACGTAAGGAATTAATACATAATACACATAAGGGAATTGATATTCACAAAGAGATATATACTACGGGGATTAATATACATGACATAAATATGGGGCAATTAATAAAATTGGGACACAGGGGATTGAAATACATGATGGAAATACACATGGGAAATTAATGAGATACACGAGATAAATACACATGAGATATATACAGGAGCTGACATGGCGGGGGGGGGGGGGGGTAATATACATGATGAGATACACACGAGGAAATAATATACATGAGCATATTAATATGAGATAAATACACATGATCTATATATATAATATAGGAGCTCACGTGGTGGTGGTGATGGTGGTGGCGGTGTGCGTATGTGTGTGTGTGTGTGTATGGGGGGGGGGGGGCAATATACATGATGGATATACTATGCAGGGGGCGGGGTGATACATCTACATGAGGCAATAATATATTGATATACACGAAAGAATGAATATGCATGGGTGGATTAATGATAAGATTTATAATAAAGACAGAACTGACTGACCAGCTCGTTCTTTAATGTGCAGGACTCTCCAGCAGAGAAACATATGTGGTTAGGCAGTCGATTGAGCTCCAGGAAACAGAAACATATGAGGTTAGGCAGTCGATTGAGCTCCAAGACAGAGAAACATATTATTATGAGGTTAGGCAGTCCATTGGGATCAGTAGCGGATTAACAGTGAGGCTGATGAGGCTGCAGCCTCAGGCCCAAAGATTTTGTAAAAAAAATATTTTTAGACTTGTCTGATACGATTAAAAACGCATAGACAATGAATGTTAGGGGGGTTGGGTTTAGGCCCAACGGGAATCAACATAGGCCTTGACCCGAAATTAATTAGGCCCACGCCATTTTAAATAGGCCCTATTTAAAAACTAAATAGGCCCTCCAGCAACTGCCGCCTCAGGCCTTGGTGGAGCTTAATCCGCCACTGATTGGGATCCAGGCTTTGATAGATGACATTCCAACCACCACATCACACACCTCACGCTGACTCATCCCCGACCCCCATCCCGAACCCTGTATGTAATTAAATATCTACCTACCCTCCTAATCCTGAAGAATGCGAATTTATAACGCCAAGACAAAAACATGAAGCGATTGCAGCATCAACAGCATTACCACCATTTTGTAAAATGGACGCCCCGATTTCCGAACAAATGGCCACATCAGTAGCTACAGCTCCTTTGCTGCAAAACTGCAAATAAACAAGAACGAAAAGTGTTTAATCCCACCCCAACGATGAGGCGATACAATCCTTGTCAGCACCGCTTGATCAATCAGGGTTTAAAGAAATTGATAATAACCACACGACTATTAATTAAACCTACTTCTAGTAAGAAACGTAATATACCAACCAAAGTTTCTCGTCTCATTCATATTGGTCAGTCCTAGCTGCCTGGCAGTAAACTTGACTGGTTGGGGAACTTAGCTATCCGTCGTATTGGCCAGCCCTAAGTGTCTGGCAGTAAATTTGATTGGTTGGGGAACCTGGCTATCCGTCATATTGGCTAGTCCTAGTTGCCTGGCAGTAAACTTGACCGTTTGAGGAACTTAGCTATCAGTCATATTGGTCAGTCCTAACTGCCTGGCAGTAAACTTGGCTGGTTGGGGAACTTGGCTATCAGTCACAGTGGCCAGTCCTAACTGACTGGCAGTAAACTTGACTGGTTGGGGAACTTGACTATCAGCCATTATACATGCCATGACATTAGAATTTCAAAGAAATTAACCGTGAAAAAAAAAACACTTTAAAATTCGAGTTAATGCTAAAGATCGTCATATCTTAATAATGTAGCACCATGGGTCTTTTGTCATACGTGGATAGCGGCCCACGCATTAATACCGGTCGCCACATCCGGCGTATGACCCATCTTTTCTTACTACATGTTTTAGTAGCCTTGTGGTCGTCTAGTATTTTCACTTGTCGTCTTTGCTTCCCCTTCACGTTGTGTATTCTCTTCTTCTTATCTATCTCAGTTAGTTAAGACGTTTGTCTCCTCAGTAGTTATAACAATGCAACAGTTCGATTTTACATTTTATATATCGAGCTGCTTACATATGATACAATGCATAATAGAATAAAGTCATTCTCTCAATCCCAATTTAGCCAGGCTAAATAATCCGATTGACCGAGCGGCAAAATTTTGAATTGAACGCCTTCATCAAACAAACTACTTAATAACCTCTAAAATAAAGTATACACACACCATTTCTCGGTCTCCAAAAGTCCACACGAATTTTACCTGTATTTTCCCGCCACGTGTATTAAAACTTTCCAAGGTTAAAAAGATTGACCGACTGGTAAACTTTTCGACGTGAAAGCCCTGTTAATAAAGACATTAAACAGCCAATTTCAAAACACCATTTCCCTGTCTCCAAAAAATGAAATGAAATGGGGTTTAACGTCCTACTCTTCTGCACCTAACCTGGGCTAATTGAAGACGGGCATACGCCATACAGTGTGCTATGAGGGAAATTTTGCCCGGGCAGCGGCGCTACGGCCTACTCTTGTGTCGAATTCCAACTGCCAAGGGATCTTTTACGTGCACGCCAATGTGTACACGGGACCTCGGTTTTTCGTACCATCCGAACGACTAGGCAGCTGTCCTTGTCAGGCCCTCCGTTCTGCATCACTGACAAGGGGAAATCAAGTCCACCCGTATTTTACCTGTATTTTCCCGTCACGTATATTAAAACTTTCCAAAGTTAAAAAGATTCCGACGTGAATACCTTGGTAAAGAAGACCTTAAACAGCAAATTTCAAAACATGATTTTTACCTGTATTTTTCCGTCACTTGTCATCGTGTGTTTTCAAACTGTACAAGTTGTTCACGATTTCATCTATTTAATAAAACATAGAAAAATAATATAAGTATATAAATGTTATATATACCAATTTATAGATATAAAAGTAATGGGGTGTGAACAGATACAACAATAGTACCCACAGGGTTTAAACAACCATATCATTTATCTATGCATCACTTACACAAGCATAATAATATACATTGTATTTATTGATTAAAAATCATGGAGTTGAACTTCGTAAAATGTATATTTATAACGACGAGATACTGCTTTTCTGAAGTGAACAAGATACGTCACAAATTGACTAATAATTATTATTCACTGAAATAAAATACAACAGTTGGAAATGAAATGAAATGGTGTTTACGAAGGCATTCGATTAAACAGCCGCCATATTGGAAATTTCAAGGGGGCTGCCACGTTTTAGAAATCCTGTTCTTTCTCAAAAAATATAGATGCCAGAAACGTTTACTGTACCTGGTGAGTATATCCGACTGTTAAAATTCTCTCACAACAGCCGCCATATTGGATTTCAAGATGGACGTTGAGTTTTATACATTCATTCGTATCTTAAAGACTATAAATGCCAGAAGCAAAATTCGAATGTCTACCGATGCCTACTGCACTCGGGCAGTATATCCGACGTCTTTGATAAGCATTTAGTAATTGAACATATTAACACAAGGTACAATTTTATGCATACACAGTAATAAACTCAGTAATTGTGTATCCATAAAATTGTACCTTGTGTTATATTGTGTCATACATTGTACAGGTGGCGTAATATTGGAATTTTTTTATGAAATGAAATGAAATGGCGTTTAACGTCCTACTGTTTTGCTCCGACTGGGCTAACGAAGACGGGCATACAGTATGCTGTGATTGAAATTTCGCCCGGACAGCGGTGCTAAGGCTTACTCTCACATCGAATTTCAAGTGCCAAGGGGAATTTTTAATGCTTAGCCTTCTCTAATATTTATGCTCTATAATTATATTGTTTTATTATTTATAATATAACACAATGAAACAAGGAATGCTAATGTTTTAATTGAAGGAGGGAGAGGGGAGAAATGTGGTTTAACGTCCACTCGACACAAACTAGGTCATTTCGGGACTAACACATGGTTCAATTTTATTTCAATAATTCGCTTGCGCGTAGGGGTCTTTAGCAGTGGGAGGAAACCGGAGGACCCGGAGAAAACCCACGGGGTTGGACAGGCGACCCTACTCCTCGTCACATACAACCAACCGGGGAATCGAAACCCAGCCAGTTGACTCAATGACAGACCGTATAATACAGCACGCATGTACTAACCATTCGGCCATCCGACCCCCCTTCAATTGAAGGAAAATCTGACATTTTAGAACGAATAGTGAACAATGAAAACATCTGATTAATAAATAATTTTATTATAGTATAACACAGTGAAACATGGAATGTAAAAATTTCAATTTGAAGGAATAATAGGTTGCTAGCCAACTAACATTCATCCACAGCAGCGAAGTTATATCTTTTTGCTTCTGATTTCATATATCACCAATTGGATTTATTAGGGATGTAAATGAACAGCATCAGATAACAGTGTTAACTATTGGATCTAATACGATCAGATATCAGGGTTTTGTGCCGTGACACATATTGAATATAATCCATCATGACTATTGGATCAAATGTAACAGAGTGATTTATACCTGAAGTTGACGTTTATATTATGTTCGTTATTTATTTTTAATAAGTAACCTGGTGTGACAAAACTGATCTATAACTGAAGTTGACGTTTAAACTCTCGACAACTTCTTTGAAGACACGTTCTTATAGTCCAGTCAATCTAGCTGAAAAAAGGGCCCAACCCAAAACAAATTGCAACAGAATTTCTTTTGGTGGTATGCATTTCCGTAAGGTCTCCTGCACATCATACTAAAAATGTTCCAAAATATTTTTGGAGGAAAGGGGTCAAATTGCGTAATATGCTAATTAGCATAATTTCATGTTTCAAAAATTGATTTAATGCTATTATTTAGCTATCAAATGTTCAAATTTGGTGGAAATTGTATCCAAACCCATGTTTTCGTGGCCAGGGACACAAATAAACACATTTAGAATATACTCACATAATTACCTGATGCACAATATGTAAATTAACAGCCGCCATTAATTTTTCCCCCTAAATCTGAAACTCTTTGACTTAGTTCCATGAAACCAGTACCTATGCCCATAATTACAGGGTCAAGGATGCTGAAAAGCACTAGAAGAACAGCATAGTTATATTGTATAATATAGAATATGCAAATTAGACAACTGGGCCGTGACTGAAAAACACACTTTTAGTCCAATCTCAAAAATCATTTGCAATAAGTATGACTGATTTGAAAATCATGCTTTACTAAATAACTTCAATCAGTGCACTAATTTGTTTACAATTGTATCATTACCAATTTTTATGGGGGTTAGGAATCCAGTGAAAACTATTATAGTTCATTTAGGCATTTGCGTTACAGAAATTATGGTCTTTAGACCCCCACCCCACCCCAAATGACTTTCGTTGAGTACTAAGACCAATATTTTACTGCAAGAGACTATTCTCGGTGTATTACTAAACGTTTATTGTTATACATTTCGTTTAAAGTAGCTAAGTCTCTAACTCAATATCATCCAAATTCTTCGACATTGAAAACACGAATTATTTGTCAATTTAAATCAGCATTGATGTTGTCCATAATAACACTCACTCAGTGACTACAAGTGAATATTATGAGCAATACCATGTAAAAAGTCCAACACATGGTGATTGTTTAACTTATAATGTCCAGTACATGCTCTGTTCAGTCTCTATACTTCGTGTGTTGAACAGGCTGTTCTCCATCAAATATCTGTTCCATAGTAACTTCTTGTAGAGCTTGATGTTTATTCAGGGCATCTAGAAACTTCCATATGTTGACGTGGCAACAACTAACTGGAGTCTGAAATCATCTGTGCCACCCTTCTATATTGTTGTTCGTTCTTGGAAGCTGGGTCATAGTTCAATTGTCTACATATTCCTACGGTTACGACTATCAGGTCTCCAAATGTCGGTATCATTCTGAAGTCAAGATTGGATTCATTGTCTGTTTGGTAACGTTGATGAGTTCCCTACGTCTGCAATTTACGGTATATCTCAGTTTCAGGAAAAGCTCTCTGGATAGACTTTTTTTTAGTAATCTCAAAGTCATTAATGGCAGACGACAGACGAAAATCTGACTTTAATACAAGCAACTGGGAATACACCCGGAAATTGGTATCCCCCGTCTTGTTTTTAAGTAGAGCACCAACACGTGGAGCTCCCGAGTCTTGTTTTTAAGTAGAGCACCAACACGTGGAACTATGGGGTTGTCGATAGGAGCATGTATGGTGTAAATCTGGTAAAATATTTCAGGTGCAATTTTAGCGGTTTCATCAGCCAACCGATGATCGGTTGAGGTCGGGATGCTCAGGTTGGTCACTGTTGAATATAGTAAAATTCCACCTGGATTGTTTGTACCACTGCCAGACAGAAGGAAAGGTTCCCCATTAAAATTTTCTTTGTATTGGTCCGGTATTTTCATGGCCTGTTTAATTGGTGGTAGAGGTACCAGCTTTCCTGGTAGTAGTCTTGAAACATCTTATAGTACGTTTGAGGTGTCACTTTTTCTGACTGGCTGACCTCTTATCTCTGGATCTTTACTGTGGTTTTGCATTTACCATGTCTGCGTTTCTCGCATTCCCAGACAACAGCACCATTAGCAAGGACTTTTGCAAATTTACTGTTCATTTTATTATAAACATTGTGCTTATTTATGTGATTAACTTTGAAATAAAATTAACAGCTATGTTAAAAACAAATCAAATCACTGACAATAAGATTGACAGTTATGTTTTTATAATGATTACATATAATGGTGATGAAAAATGTCGAGGGTTTCTTAATACCTAAAGAGTTCCTGTGACTGTTCAGGTGTAACTGTTATCTAGGTGTGGCACAGATTGGTGCACTTATAAAAAACATCGACTGGACTGCACTGACATACTTGTGGAGACTTCAAAGGACATAGCTGTAGCACCTCCGAAACCAGTTTTAGACAATTCTGATGATAAAGTTTTGATAATTTGTTTGTTTTCATCAGGGCTATGTGACCCCCCCCCCCCCTTGACAACAGTGCTCTGGCACTAATGCAATCAGTCAAATGTTCTCCATAATGAGGTAAAGATACTTTTATTACTTTCTTTGAAAGTAATAAAATGGGTGTGGGAACTTGATTTTTCAGGTTATTGCAAATGCTTTGAGTTTGGACTAATAGTGTATTTTTCAGTCATGGCCGAGGCGTCTAATTTGCATATTCTATATTATGCAATACCACTGTGATGTTCTCCTAGTGTTTTTTGGCACCCTTGACCCTGAAATTATGAGCGTAGATACTGGTTTTATGGAGCTAAGTCAAAGAGTTTCAGATTTAGGGGGAAATATAAGTTTTTCACTAATGGCGGCTGTTAATTTGCATATTGTGCATTATGTAATAAAGTGATTATATTCTAAATGTGTTTATTTGCTTCCCAGGCCACGAAAACATGGGTTTAGACACAATTTCCACCAAATTTGAACATTTAATAGCCAAGTTATAGCATTAAGTCAATTTTTGAAATATGAAATTATGCTAATTAGCACTTTACGCAATTTGACCCATTTCCACCAAAAATATTTTGGAACATTTTTGGGATGTTGTTTAGGGGACTATACTGAAATGCATCCCAGTGAAATTAATTCTGTTGCAATTTGTTTTGGGTCTAACCCCAGATTGACTGGACTATTAATAAACATCTAGTTTATTCAAGATGTTCTTTAACAAGCTACACATGATCCGCGTGTAACACTAGACTGAACTTCAAAGAGAATGTATTAGTGGTCAGTTCATTATACCTTGACCTGACAATGACTTTCAAAGAAATATGCAGTTTAATTACAAACACCATAATTGATAATAAACAATACCATATATGATTATCACTCTTGTCCACCTCAGCTAATTGTTAGAGGCTTTATAAGCAGACGTTTACTGACAGCAAGTCAGACTTGGAATAGAGCTTCTTCCGATTTATGTCTATTTCATGTTCTCAATAAATGTTTTATACATTTTGCTGATATTCTGTTATCTGTAAGAAAGTGTTACACAAACAAGTGACCAATATCGAATATATTATTACCAGATATCAGTTTTTTGTGCATGTTTTAATGTAAAAATTAATATATATAAAAGAATACCATCAATCTTGCTTACAATATATAATAAATATAATTCATCTAAGAAAAATCAAATAATATATTAACAATAAAAACAAATCTCTTGCTACAATCATCACAGATAATGTAACACAACCATTTTCCACAAAAAAACAACAAAATAATACAAAATATTTATAAGGAATTACTTCATCAACCAGTGAGAATAGAACGTAAAATAGATATATTTTTTAATCACATAGATCTATTGTGAAATATTGAACTGTTGCCTTATTAAAGATGCATTATGTAAGAATTAGAGAGAGAGAGACAGAAATGGGGTTTAACGTCCACTCGACACAGACTAGGTCATTTCGGGACTAACATATGGTTTAATTTTATTTCAATAATTCGAATTCGCTTGCACGTAGGGGTCTTTAGCAGTGGGAGGAAACCGGAGGACCCGGAGAAAACCCATGAGGTTGGACAGGCGACCCTACTCCTTGTCACGTACAACCGGGGATTCGAAACCACGCCAGTTGACTCAATGACAGGCTTTATGATACAGCGCGCACGTGCTAACCATTCGGCCATCCAACCCCCCATAAGAATTAGAGCTGGTCATTCTTGGTATAATAGTTCAAATATAGATAATGCAAAATGAATATATTATTACAAATGTTATTCAAATTACTTTATTCTGAGGGAAGTGTTTGAAATTTTGACAAGATTCACCTTAGAAATCTTGTCCATCCAATGTCAGACAGAGTTGATTGTAGGCTTGGCATATGAGAGAGAGAGAGAGAGAGAGAGAGAGAGAGAAATGGGTTTTAACCTCCACTCGACACAGACTAGGTCATTTCGGGACTCTTACATAATGCATCTTAATTACGTAAATTGGTATTCAATTTAATAATAATAATTATATTAATAATCCATCCATATACGAATGCTTAAAGCGCAACATTTCAGGAATCTCTCGTCAATAAAAATACACATAAACAATCTAAACAAATCCGTTTCTAATCTGGATAATAGAGTTCAAACAAATCAGTTTTTAGTTGTGACTTAAAGATTGTATAATTGAGATTCTCTAATATTTTACTGGTAACCGATTTCAAATGCTAAGTGCACATCCACAACCACTTTCCACAAAAACAACAAAAATTACTTCATCGAACAGTGAAAGCATAAATAGATGGATAAATTGCCATTACATTCAGTTGATGGTTCATGGAATAAAATGGATTGAAATGAAATGAAATGGGCTTTAACGTCCTACCGTTCTGCTCTGACTGCGATAATGAAGACGGGCATACGCGGTGCTGTGTTCTATGAGGGTAATTTTGACCAGACAGTGCCGCTACAGCATATACTATTATATTGAATTCCAACTGCCAAGGGATGTTTTGCGTGCACGCCAATGTGTACATGGGACATTCGTTTTTCGTCCCATCCAAACAACTAGAAACTGTCCTTGTCCGGCCTTGCGGCCTGCACCACTAACAAGGGGGAACCCCGCCAGAAAAACCTGATGAATTTTCTCTGCCAACGCTGGGATCGAACAAGCGACCTATAGGCTACCGAGCCAACGTCTTACTCACTTAGCAACCTGTGGTTCCCTGGAATAAAATGAATTGAAATGGAGTTTCTGCACCAAGATGATTTATGGCTCACAATGGGAGCCGCGGTGGCTCAGTGTATAAAACATTGCCTTGCTAACCTGGAGGTTGCCGAGAAAGTTCATCATGATTTTAGGGCATGGTTCCTTCCTTGTCAATGGTACAGGACAAAACCCCCCCAAAAAAACTTGGTTCGGTGTATACATTGACAAGCACATAAAAGATCCCTTGATAGTTGGAATTTGATATAAGAGTAGGCCATGGTACCGCTGCCCAGGCAAAATTTCCCTTATAGCACACTGTATGACATATGCCTGTCTTCATTAGCCCTGTTGGAGCAGATATTAAACACTTCACATTTTATGGCCCATAAGAACTACTATTAATTTCATGCATATGCCTATACACATTAAATCCATTCATGTATAATATAGATGATCTAAAACACAACATATAAAAACATTTCAATAATTTGACAGCTTGATAAATTAATACATGTCAAGATAAATCATATATATATCCATAAACAGGTTGTCACAACATTAGAACCATTGACTCCTTAAATGCTTTTAAAGCTCAGGTAAAAACTTCACTGTTTACAGAGGCGATTTCCATAGTTCATTAGAGAAAACTTGAAAAATTCAATATATACTTCTGGTTAAAGATACATTATGTAAGATTTAAATAAAGAGCTAGCCATTCTTGCTATAATAGATAATGTAAAATGAATAATTTGAAAATTTCATTCAAATTACTCTATTGCGAGCGAAGATATTAGCCTTTGAAGGTTTGACAAGACATGTGCAATAACCATATTGGTTGTTCGAAGCTAAGTCTTGCTCCTCCATTTTCAGCTTAAATCAAAATATGGCTGAACTGTTCTAATCTATTTAATATCGCAGAACACCGATGCCAGCGAGAGTAGATTATGGCCTGGATCAGTTAATTAATGTCTAATTAATAATTTAGATAACATTTAGGGCCTAAAGAAAGACCTGCAATAGACAGATTTAGCTCTTGCATAATGTATGTTTAAGTATTATTGAGCTATATACATGTAAATAGAGGATTATTATTATTTTGTAGCTTATTGTGACACTGATATCACTACCATTGTGTAAGATATGAACTAATATAAACTACCCTAATATATACTTTAATCTATTTTGATTAAGAGATTAATCATTCAATTACTACACAGCTGAGCATTAGAAATTATATAACTGGCAAGTTAAACATGAGTTTACTAGCCAGTTAGATATGAGATTACTGTGTGGACAGTCTTGAGATCACTGACTTGCCAGTCATGAGATTACTAGTGTGCCAGTCATGAGAGTACTGGTGTGCCAGTCATGAGATTACTAGCGTGCCTGTCATGGGATTACTACTTTGGTAGTCATGAGATTACTACTTTTACAGTCATGAGATTACTAACTAGGCAGTGTTGGAATTACTAGCTGGTCACCCATGACATTACTAACTAGGCAGTGTTGGAATTACTAGCTGGTCACCCATGACATTACTAACTAGGCAGTGTTGGAATTACTAGCTGGTCACCCATGACATTACTAATTAGACAGTGTTGGAATTACTAGCTGGTCAGTTATGAGATTACTCACTAGGCAATCTTGGAATTACTACCTTGTCACTCATGATATAACTCACTAGACAGTCTTTGGATTACTCACTTATTCACTGGCACGTCATGTGATTACTAACTTGATTCTAGTTTTTTCAGCAATGAGATTACTTACGCATCAGTCATAAGATCCCTATTTATTTTATATGAGATAAGTAATAGTACAAATTCTATAACTAGTTAGGGATGTCTCAACATTGAAATAAAACAACCAGTTCAAGAGGTAGATGATAATATGGGTACTTTAAATAATTTTGAGAATCTAAAGAGTAAAATAGCATTTGTAAAAAAAGTTCATCAATGCCAAACCATTTAGGGACAATAAATCATGTTAATTTCTAGCTTCTAATGATCAGGTCAATAATGTTGGATCAGCTAAAATAATATCATGATCTGGAAATATGATTGATTGATAAAAGTTGCATTATAAAAATTTCATAAATTTGAGAAAGCTGAAATAAAGCTGTATTTTTACTCACAATATATTACCTGTTTTATATCTGTAAAATTTTTTTTTATGTTTCTGTCAAAATTCTATAACATTTTGATATTTGTATCATTTCTATATTTGGTAACCAAAATTTGTAACATTATAATTCGGGCTCTATGCTCTAATTACAAGCCATGACACATGTCAAATTGTTATTGACCACTAGTCATTTTAATTTAACTAAACAAGGGCACCTGTTACAGACAACCAACAGTCTTAACTTATTGCTTTACTATTATCAAATAAACAATCATAAGAGGTCTTAGAATATTTAATTAGGAATCCTAACCCTATCCCTGTGAATCTTATTTTGAATTTTTGGGCAGCCTTAAGTTGCATATCACCCATAAGACTGCCACTGCATATTTATAATCAAAGTTTGTAACATTTTTTACTTGCATTGTTCTAATTATGTAGATCAGCTATTATTACTTTTAAAACAAGCATAAGAAGTTTTGGGATATTTATTTAGAAATCCTAACACTAACCCTTGAAGTTTTCTGTTAAATTGTTGGGCCCCCTTATCATCAAATACTATTAGGATATTTATTTATGAAATCTAAAACAAAACCTATGCAATTTTCTATAAACATTTTCAGGCCAGTTCACATCCCTAACCTCTATAAAAATTTTCTAACTGTGTAGACCAGCTATTACAAATGAGTTATAACGTATTATTTACATGATTTTAACATCAAATTTATATTAACAAAAAAACAAACCCATTTACTATATATACATTTAAATAGTGTTAATAAATTACAATATATAACAACATATTCTATATATTAGGCTTAACTGCATACTAAACTTAGACTGTCTGTCTACAGTTGAGAACAGACACTAAGATAGTTGATCGACATTTTAAATCCTAAATCAACGATTTTAGTGAAAAACACTAAGTATACTTTGAGAATTTTGTTGAGTATTTATTCTCCTTCCATCTTAATAAAATTGAAAAAAGTTTATTTAATCTTTGTGTGTATGACAGATGTGAAATGGAGTAGAAATACATTACAAGACAGTATACTAAATTTTGGAAATGCCGGCCATTTAGGGCAGAGATCTATTCTCGAGGAATGAAGTAGATGGCTTAACTTGTGTCTTTGCATTATTCTTACACAGAGAAATTGATGAAGACACTACAACATTCTCTAATTATAATAAAGCCAATCTTCCATCAATGTTCTCTCTAATGGGTGGCTGAATCGTGTAACATAGGCACTTTAGATCATAAGGTCTGTCATTGAATAAATGGCATGGTTTCAAGCTCACACTTGCACTTGACAAGAAATAGGGTAACCAGTCCAACCTCATGATTTTCTCTGGGTCATCCAGTTTCCGCTCACATATAAAGACCCCCTATGTCCAAGCATATCATTGAAAGAAAATTGAACCATATGTTAGTCCCAAAATGATCTATGTAGTTTGTGTAGTGTCTCCACTGGAAAACACACAGACAAAAGTAAGCCCAATATATAAATATCTTCAACAATAGTATAAATATAAACAGACTAAAATTATCGAGATTTTGGAGTATATATTGCAGCTTTCCCTCCTTTTCTGATATCCGAATGAGCAAATAATTGGTCGTTTGTTTTCATGACAGCTTGAACAGTATTGATACCTTCTGTAACTTCTTGCATTCTCTGACCTCTCTCTTGTAAATATTTATACACATTCTCTGGTAATCCAGCTAAAAAATATACACAAAATATTATTTAAAGACACATTATGAAAGATTTAGATAACAAATTGACTATTCTTGCTATAATAGTTCAAAAATAGATAATACAAAATGAATATATTCAAAATTTCATACAAATTACTTTATTCTGAGGTCCCGTGTATACATTGGTGTTCACGTAAAAGATCCCTTGGCAGTTGAAATTCGATACAAGAGTAGGCCATAGTGCCGCTGCCCGGGCAAAATATGCCTCATAGCACACTGTATGGCGGATGACCGTCTTCATTAGCCCAGTCAGAGCAGAACAGTAAGACGTTAAACCCCATTTCATTTCATTTCATTTTAGATTTATAAATTATATTTACCTTCGTATTCAGTAATATCAGGATACAGCTGATTATGTAATCTTGGTTTATCTATAGCATACGTTAAATTTAAATTAAATAACATCACATTCGCTATAACTTCTGCTACACCTTCAAATAAAAAGAGAGAGAGAGAGAGAAATATGAAAATCATGAAAGATTACACTGTAATCAGGGTATCATTTAATCTTGTGTATTTAGCACTAATTTCTTTCACATTCATTTAATATCAAATCTTTGTTTAAAATTTGTAAAAATCATTTAAAATCACCAAAAGTCATCTAATTTGTACTTGTGTCCAGTTCATAGCTTGAGGTACCCCCTCCCCCCCACAAATATAATAGTTTGAGAGGGATCTGAAGAAAATTTTGGATAGATTAGTTCAAATATATCAAATATATTTTTAGTTTGCACGCAGAACAAGAATTCTCAGAGTATTTTACAGAGGCTTAATATCTCTAAATTAAATTTTAAACCCCAAAAGTTTACCTTGGTTTGACCGGTCAGGGATTAATAAACTGATTTACGTTTCAGTAGTAGGGAAGTAATTAATAAACCTGAGAAAATGTTTCATGATAGGGGACCAATGATTAAAATACAGGTCTATATTTCATTCGTTTTTTTTATACTTATTATGGCCTCTACTACAAGAAGATCTGACTGGTTGTAGTGGAAGGTCGTGTAAGGGGTCATTCCAGGCGGCTGTTGACCCTATGACGGCATAAATTTGATTAACCAATCAGCGTTGATGTTTCTAGTGCGGTACACATAGTTCCGTTCACCGCAAGCCAAGAACTTGCTGTAACAGACTGTTTCATTAGCTAATCCCTCACATCAACCAGAACGAGGGTTAAATAACAACACACCCAAATCCTAGTGTAAGCAAAGACAGGCGACCCTACTCCTTGTCACGTACAACCCGGGAATCGAAAACCCCGCCAGTTGACTCAATAACAGACTGTATGATACAACACGCACATGCTAACCATTCAGCGATCCAACCCCCCGATCGGTTAGGGGACTAATCATAAACTAATTAACTAACCTGAGATTATTTTCGTACCATTAGAAGCACCCAACACCATACGTTTAGAACATGGTTCTTTCTTATTAAACACTATAGTTGGTGTCATAGATGATACAGGACGTTTTCCTGGTTCTATTAAATTATGCTGAAAAAAAAATATAAAAATGTTTATAATTATTACTGATAGTAGGACCAGCATAACAATTCACATGACTAACAATCGAAGTTTCAAATAAAAACAATAAAAATAGTAGTGTTAAGGATGATAAAGGACGTTTTCCTGCTTCTAATAAATAATGGTGAAAATATAAATACAAATATTTTTACTACATGAGATATGGTAGACAACCTGTATTAATCTCTAAAAAATAAATAGCCTGTCTCGTACTAACAATAAATGTGAATGACAGGTATAAATGGGTTGACTGATTTTCTACAATACCGCTCTATAAACAGACATTATTCCCAAAGAGAGATATGCATGGATTAGGAGGTATTGAACCACACAAATAATCCCTGAACCAAATGGTGCGGACAGTACTTTGAAACCGAGGATGTATAAGAACTTACTGGATTATGAGGTAGTGAACCAAGCTCATAATCCCTGCACCACATAGTGCGGAGAGTACTATGAAACCGAGGATGTATCCGAACTTTATAGCTGGATTATTAGGTAGTGAGCAAAGACCATACTCCACAAACCACATGTCTTACACAGTAGTTTGTTACTGATGTTGAATAAAAACTAAATAAAACAAAAGTTATTTGGGGGCCAAACTTGGTAACTAAGATGAATAAGAACTTACTGGATGAATTAGGTAGTGAGCCTGATCCACATGGCTCAGACAATGATGGATAAGAACTTACTGGATTAGGACGTAGATTAGCAATGATGAATAAGAACTTACTGGATTAGGAGGTAGATTAAACATTGATGGTGCTGTTGGTATACTAAAATCAGTCATCTCATTATTTAATATAATACCTGAGGAAGTCATTATCTTTGTACCAAACCAGGTATTAATCGTCCTAAAATATTCAAGACAATACTGAATTACATCCTGTTAAAATATATACATAAATAAAATATACCTAAAATATACATGTACTACAGATATTCATTTACATCTGGCAAGTTCTACAAATACTCATTTATACCTTGCTAAAATATGTAGTACAAATACTCATTTCATCTGGCTAAAATATGTACTACAAATACTCATTTACACCTGGCTAAAGTATGTAGTACAAATATTCATTTCACCTGGCTAAAATATGTAGTACATATACTCATTTACACCTGGTGAAAATATGTAGTACAAATACTCATTTACACCTGGCTAAAATATATAGTACAAATAGGGGTTTCAGATCATGTGACTTTAGCGTGAAATCGGACAGCCAGCGGCTGAAATACTGCCCACTTCAATCTACGATTCTGAATTACTATTTTATGTAAATGTATAACTAGCAATTGCATTGTAATAGTTTAATATCAATCTCAATATCTGCAAAGATTCGGGCTCAAAAACTATCGAAATGTAAGCAAAATTACCGTTTATTTACAGGAGCCGCTCGCGTGAAAATAACGCTCTGACGTCACACGGCCGGGGAATTTCCATTGCTACGGCTCACTTCATTGGTGAATCCGCACGTTAGTTTCCGGGAGATTTTCATATAGAACCAATCAAACGATAGATAACAATTAAACGATCCGACAATTACAGCCGTAGAAAACAGGATTTATGTGTTTTGCTCACTGAAATTTGCTAAATTTTGACTAAATATAGCCTACTTTTTTGTGATATCATCCAGATTATAAATATTTGACATATTATCATTCAAATTATTACGATTTTAATAAATCTTAGCTGACTATAACTTGCGGATTTCAGTTTTAAAATTGGTACTAGCAATTCTGAAGGGAAAATACCGCTTATGACGTCACTCAGATATGACTGAAAAGGACTTATTTTGGTGACATGCCACGCATTGACTGGTATAGAGCATTTTGATTACATTATTCACGTCAATCTTGGATTTTAAAATTCCATAACTTTAGATCTAATTACAATATTTTGATGAAATAAAAAAAATTGGGTAGCATTTTATGTATATTTTCACAAAATATTTAAAAAAAAATTTTTTTCTGTCATTTGAAACTTTGACCTGAAACCCCCAGTACAAATACTCATTTCACCTGGCTAAAATATGTAGTACAAATACTCATTTACACCTGGCTAAAAAATGTAGTACAAATACTCATTTACACCTGGCTAGAAAATGTAGTACTACAATACACCTAAAATATGTAGTACAAATACTCTTTTGTACCCTTGACAATTAGAATTCAATATAAGAGTAGGCCATAGTGCCACTGGCTGGAAAATTTTGCCTCATAGCACACTGTATGGCGCATGCATTCGTCAAGTTGGTGAAGAACAGTAGAATGCTAAATTAAAATGTTGTGAGATTCTGTAACTTACGTTGTTAAAGATACGACCAACTCCTCGGCATCAACAACAGACAGATGTGTAGTACCACCATTTTTAACAGGTTCAAACTTGGCGCCATAATATTCCGCAGGGTGACTTTGGTTATCTATTTTACCACGTATAGTATTACCATATTCTTTACTGTAAGTATAAATAACAGCTCATAAAGTATTACTGTATTCTTTACTACGTAGAGTATTGCATCTAGTCTTTACTGTCAATAACTCATACAGTGTTACTAAAATTATAAATAATAACCGTTATTGTATTGGTATATTCTTTACTGAAAAAAAATAACAACCCATAAAGTATAAACATATCTTTACTAAAATATAAATAACAACTTATTAATGTGTACTGAAATATAAATAACAACTCATAAAGTATAACCATATTCTTTACTGAAATATAAGTAACAACTTGTTATTATACTGAAAATATAAATAATACAGGAGAACTTGCTTGGGCGTGCACTCCTAATCAGCGAACACTTGCTTGAACGAGCACCCAAAATACTCCCCCCCCCCCCCCGGAGCGATTTTTAAGTAATTTTACCCCTACTAAACACGCACCTGTTCAACGCATGCAACGGGCATCTATATTAGCCCCAGATCATGCTATTTCATCCATTAAGCGAGCACATCATAGTGAATCTCGGAGAATCACTGAGAATCACATTCTCACTTGAGCGAACGAGACTCAACTGTCACTAATCTTGACACGATTTACTCGCTTGGCTTGAACTAACTATCACTAATTAACAAGTTTACTCACACCCCAAACTGATAATTTTAACCATTAATCAATATTCTATTCATATCCAAGCCAATGATGATATATAAGAAAGAATCTGAATTGATAAGACATTGTTTATCAATATGTCCAATATTACTACGCCTCGTAAAGTTCTTACACCTACTGGAAAAGTTTTGACTCTTGAAGAACGTGTCAAAGTGATACAGTTATCAGTTTGGGTGGGACATACTCAAATTCACGGCATTTTGAATTCACAACTAGATAAAAAGTACATGTATTGTTATTGTTATACTACATGAATAAAAAAATATATGCAATCTATATCTTTATTTTTTGTGGTAGGGGTTGGGGCAATATTGGATACCTCTAGTCAAAGAGCACCTCCATTAAGCAAGCATTTTTAAATTTCCCTTGGGTGCTTGCTTAATACAAGTTCTACGGTTACACATATAGTATTACTATATTCTTTATTATACTAAAAATTTAAATAATAACTCATATAGTATTACTATATTATTTATTATACTGAAAATATATATAATAACTCATATAGTATTACTGTATTCTTTATTATACTGAAAATATAAATAATAACTGATATAGAATTACTATATTTTTTATTATACTAAAAATATAAATAATAACTCATATAGTATTACTATATTCTTTATAATACTGAAAATATAAATACTAACTCATATAGAATTACTATATTTTTTATTAAAAATATCAATAATAACTCATATAGAATTACTATATTTTTTATTAAACACACATTAGACCCCACCCTCATCTAGAGTGAAATACAGAACCAACCTGATCATCTGTAATATATTATCCTCCATTGTTGTAGGGTTAAACTTCGGGTCACCCAAATCACTATGATGAGCATAACCAAATTTAAAAGCCTGGAAACACAAGACAAAATATATGATTTACCAGTGCAATTATAAGAAAAGGTAGTTTACGGAATCAGAATTTTTAATCGTTGAAATGGCATTTAATGGTTTGTCTACACAATAGTTCCGCCATTTTGTTCTGATTGCTTGCGTAATATGAGGTAAAAGAATTTTGGCCAACTGTCAAGGGTTCTTTTATGTGCATGCTAATGTGCACTCAGGTGATCTCGTTTTTTTTGTTCTATCCTAAGGTCTATGCACACTTTCCGTATCAGCCTCGTTGAGACTGGTTGCTTGTGCAATGCAGGGTAGGAGAATTTTGGCCAGACAGTGGCATTTCCACCTTCGATTTCCAACTGTCAAGGGCTCTTTTATGTGCATGCTAATGTATACAAGGGTGAATCTCTATTTTTTGTCGTATCCTATGGTCTATACACATTTCACTTGTCAGCCTTCGGGGGCACCATCAGTGATAAATAAAGACAGGGCTTCAAAAATCCGAATGGTTTTCAAACCAAGATTTGATCCGAGGGGCTTTTAGTCTAAAGTCCAGTGACTACTCATGTAACATGGCCTTTTTTTTTCAATCAATGACAAAATTAAAAAATGTTTTTTTTTCAAAATGTCTGACCTCAATCATTTGATGATATGTTTTAGGATCCTTGACTGATGCAGAAGTCCAGTTAAAACCTTCTAGTAGATTCATTATCAATAATAAAACTGGTCCACTTGATGGGGATGGCATGGTACCAATAAAACCTCCTGTAATAAATCACAATATCATGTAGATTATTAACAATAAGACTGGCCCACTTGACAGAGATGGTGAGGTACCAATAAAAGAGAGAGAAATGAGGTTTGAAGTCTTCCTTTTCTGTACCGACTGGGCTAATGAAGACAGTCATATGTCATACGGTGTGCTATATAAGGGAAATTTTGCACTAAGGCCTACTCTTATTTCAAATTCCAACTGTCAAGGGTTCTTTTACATGCACGTCATTGTGTACACAGGACGTCAGGTTTTTTTTTGTCCTACCCAGACGACTAGACACTGACAAGAGTAAACCACACTGATTTTGATTAGTTTGAAATGGAAGGGACACAGAGATACCATTACATGTATGACATACCGTTAAATTCTGTTTGTATTATATCACGTTCTATAACTTTATATTGTTGTAAATCTTCGATACTTAAAATACCACCAGCATCTTCAACCTAGAAAATATAGCATAAAAACTTATAAAACCACCAACATCTTTAGCCTATAAAGCATAGCATTAATACTTAAAATACCAGTAGCATCTCCAACCGATAAAACATAGCATTAATACTCAAAATACCACCAACATCTTCAACCTACACCACATATCATTAAAACTTATAATACCAGAATCTAAAACCTACAAAACATAGCATTAATATTCAAAATACCACCAGCATCTAAAACCTACAAAACATAGCATTAATATTCAAAATACCACCAGCATCTTCAACCTACAAAACATAGCATTAAAATTTATAATACCACCAGCATCTTCAACCTACAAAACATAGCATTAATACTTAAAATAGCATCAACATCTTCAACCTAGAAAAGATAGCATTAATACTATAATACCACCAATATCTACAACCTAGAAAATATAGCATTAATACTCATAATACCACCTATATCTGCAACCTACAAAATATAGCATTAAAACTTATAATACTACCAGAATCTACAATTAAAACTTATAATACACCAACTTATTCAATTTATGAAATATAACATTAAACGTACGACACTACTAGCTTCTTTAATCAACAAATCATAGCATAGGCCTACTACCTGTCGTCTCTTCAACCTCATTGGTGTTCTTCAGGTGTTCTGGTTTACCCCCCTTGCTACAGACCCCTGCATGCAGTCCAATTTATTGACATAAAATGGAAACCATATAATAAAAATTAATAGCCCCAAAATGACCTATTTTGTGTCGAGTGGATCTTAAAACCCATTTCTCTATGGACAGAGAGAGAGAGAGAGGACCTGCAGAAAACCCACGAGGTTGGACAGGCGACCCTACTCCTTGCCACGTACAACCGGGGAATCTAAACCATGCCAGCTGACTCAATGACAGACCTTATGATACACCGCACATGTGCTAAACATTCAGCCATCGACCCCTCCCCCCTCCACTGGACAAAAAAAAGGTTATTTCAGGATTATTAACATAATGGTACAATTTTATTTTAAAAATTCACTTTTGCACAGGAAACCAGAGGACACAGATAAAACTCATGAAGTTGGGCAGATGACCCTACTCCTTGTCACTCCCAAAATCGGCATTGAACTCATGCCATGACAGATCTAATGATCCAAAGCGCCATGTTAGACCATGCCCCAAGCATGTGTTATAGTTATTTACTTATAGCTTGTAATATGGTATCAGCTATTTACTTACAGCTTGTATTATAGTATCAGCTATTTACTTACAGCTCGTATTATGGTATCAGCTATTTACTTACAGCTTGTATTATGGTATCAGCTATTTGTCCTAAATAAAGTGCATCAGATCCTTGTTCTGCAATTAAGTCCAATGTATCTGCTAAATCTGGGCGTCGTATAAAATCACCAGCCTGTAGTATCTCACCACCTGGAGCAAACACTTCCTTAAACTTGCCCTTTAATTCACTTGGCTTGAGTCGATTTTTTAACACTTTGGCTGTAAGTAATGAAAATACAATATTTGGTATGGATCAAGCTCTTGTAATTAATAGAGTATCACCAGTTTAATGCAGAAGTTCCAGATATATTTTGGTGTTTAAAGAAGAGGTGGGAACTTGGGTCCTGCATCTTGGACTTAAGTCGCATCAATGATCTGACTTGCATCTTGACTAGAAATATTTATTGCAACTCAAGACTCAACTCACGACATCGTGACGACTCGAGACTTAGGACTCGGGTCACGGCAAAGGTGCATAACTCGACTCGAGGTGCAGCGACTTGGGACTCAACTTAGAGTCTTGCGACTTGTTTTCTCAAAACAAAATGGTGTGCAAGAAATTTTATTTGAATCCTATGGAATACTGCTTATTACTGAGCATTCCATAGAATTGTGACCTGTATACTCTAGTTCAATTACTAAATGCCATTGAAACAATTTATTTCAATCCCTTCAAGTGCCTGTGGTTTGATCCTGATGTTGGCTAAGAAAGTTCCACAAAGTACACTGCATGGCATGTGATTGTCTTTATTAGTCTGGTTGGTGCATCAAAGTGAGACGTTAAACACCCAGAGATGGGAACAAGACGCGAGACTCTGAGTTGAGTCCCAAGTCACCGCACCTCGAGCCTGAGTCTAGTTATACACCTTTGCCATGACCCGAGTCCTAAGTCTCGAGTAGTCACAACGTCCGAGTCAAGTCTCCGAGTTGCAAAAAATATTTCTATTTTAATCCCTTCAAGTGCCTGTGGATCAAACCTGGGACTTCCTGATTAGTTGACCACAGTCATGGACGATTCACCAAGCCAAACTGAAGTTTATCCACAAATCTTGCAAGCTCTTGCCCCTTTCACTTTTGAGGTTGGAGCCACGATGGCTCAGTGAGTAAGATGCGGATTCACTAACCAGGACATCTTTGCGCTGGCTGAGAAAGTTCCTCAGGATTTTTCAGCATGGACGGACTGAGGGGCTGACAGTGTCTAGTCGTTCGGATGGATTGATATACCAAGGTTGTGTTTAAATGTTGACAGTTGGAATTCAAAATACAAATGGGCGGTATTGACAATGTTTGGGTAAAATTTCCCCCATATGCCAGTTTTCATTAGCCGAGCTGGTACAAAAACAATGGACGCAGAACTGAATGATAAACAAATTACCTTGATCTTTAGTTATATTGAAACCTGTTCTAGCCATATCAGCCACTGGTTGGACAACATCTCGCCATTTTAATCTGAAATATTATACATACTTCCAGTGCATCAAATATATCAGACTTACACCACATGAATGCAGAACTTCAGAAATAGTTCAATCACTTGTAAACAGGCATAGCTAACTTCAGCGAATAACACTCTTTCATAGTCATGACAGAGTGACAGGCATCATAGGCAACACAGCAGAATGATTGACATGCTTCTTAATTCCCGGGGGTTTGGGTGGCCTGTCATTGAGTCAACTGGCGTGGGTTCGAATCCCCGGTTGTGCGTGACAAGGAGTAGGGTCGCCTGTCCAACCTCGTGGGTTTTCTCCGGGTCCTCCGGTTTCCTCCCACTGCTAAAGACCCCTACGCGCAAGCGAATTATTGAAATAAAATTAAACCATATGTTAGTCCCGAAATGACCTAGTTTGTGTCGAGTGGACGTTAAACCCCATTTCTCTCTCTCTTCTTAATTCCCATCTACAAATACGTTAGAATTTCTGCTCATATAGCTATTGGTAGCTCCTCCCCTTTTTGTTATTTTGCTGGGTGCGGTATAGCATCAACCAACTTCAGCATACGGCGTACTAGTTTCAGTCACCCAGAAACTCCTAGTCTTCAACATATTCGTAGAATATTTTTCTGGATAATAGAGACTAATAGCCTACGTGATTCACATCACACAGTTTCATAGTAAGCACTGCCTAATAATATTATGTTAAGCAATATTCGTGCCGCGCTCGAGATCAAGGGAAAGTGCCACTGTGGCTGAGAATTTCTATATGGATTCTTAAAAGACGTAAAAGATATCATAGACAAAATGACTGTCCATTGATTTAGGGTGTTATATACACTTACGATATGTGACATCTATGATTAGTTTATTATATATGCTGTCGGCTCACATCAATGCGATTAAGATGCCCGACAATTGAGAAACCACGAGGTAAACAGGTGGATTAAAATTATAATCATTCTTCTTGAATTGATGAATAGTCCAACAAAAGGAAAGCAATGACTTCTGTTTAAGATTAGATTGATGAATTGTCCGACAAAGGATTAAGTCAGTCAATCAAGACAGGAGTCGCAGTGGCTTAGTGAATAAAACGCTGGATGTGACAAATGAGGTTTGGCGTACACTTTGACGTAGATGTAAAAGAACCCTTGACAGTTGGAATTAGAAATAAGATTAGGCTGTAGTTCCGATGTAAGGGCACAAAGCCCCTCATAGCATTTAGTATGCCCGTCTTCAGTATCCCAGTCGGTGCACCAAAGTAGGACGTGGGACACCATTTCCACTGCCCAATTGAGAGCCCAGGTATGGTCAATATTACAGATAACTATAAAATATTCACATACTTGCCATGTGCATTGTGAGCAGCTTCTAAACCTTTCAATTCACCTGGTACTCCTATGGATAAACCACTCTGTAATTATAAAACAAGGAGCATATAAAAAGTAAATTACGTACGTCATCAACACTTTGTCTGTGATATCACTTTGGTGGAAGCAGATGTTAAATAAAACTATTTCCCACACGTCATCAACGGCTAATAAACTAGCATAGACACAGAGAAAACCCACAAGGTGTGTCAGACAACCCTACTCCTTGTCAGATAAAAACTTTGGATCAGAATAACGCCACCCGAGTCAATGACAGACCTTATAGTCTAAAGCACATGAGTCAGATCACTCGAAGACCAACCCATAGATGGATTTGAACAATTAATTTATAGAATTATTTGAAACTTACGTCATAGATCAGATCCTCTTTACCCTCAAACATTTTTGCAGTAGCTGTACGTGGCGCTACTTCACGAAAATCATAACCCCATGATTTCTGTACTTTGTGATCATGAACAACCATAAAACCACCACTGAAAAAATAAAAAAGACATATTTAATTACCTATATACATGTATCACAAACAGAGATTAACGTCCATTATATTCTACACAAATTAGGTCATTTTTGGACTAAGGTTTAGGGTGAGAAATAGAAATGAAATGAAATGGGGTTTAACGTCCTACTGTTCTGCTCCTAACCTGGGCTAATGAAGACGGGCATACGCCATACAGTGTGCTATGAGGGAAATTTTGCCCGGGCAATGGCGCTACGGCATACTGTTATAACGAATTCCAACTGCCAAGGGATCTTTTATGGGCATGCCAATATATACACGGGACCTCAGTTTTTCATCCCATCTGAATGACTAGACAGCTGTCCTTGTCAGGCACTCCATTCTGCATCACTGACAAGGGGAAATCACCACAGAAAATCGGGATGAACTTTCTCGGCCAATGCAGGGATCGAACACCCGACCTCCAGGCTAGCGAGCCAGCATCTTACCCACTTAGCTACCGTGGCTCCCTTCATGTGGATGATAAGGCCAGCAGCCTACTCACTGATCTGAAAATACTCACCCCCCTAATCCAGAGCTGTGTGAATTAATAACACCAAGACATAGACAGGCCCCTACAGTAGCATCAACAGCATTCCCACCTTTCTGTAGAATAGCCAGACCAATATCAGAACAATATGGAACATCTGTAGCAACAGCTCCATTAGCACCAACCTGAAAAGAAATGAAATGGCCCCAATGGGGATTAACGACCTACTTTTCTGTGCCAACCTATCTAATTAATATGGGCATGAAGAAAAATTCTGCCAGGAAAGCTGCATTATGTTCTACTCTTAGTCTTACGTCAATTCAGCTGGGTTTAACTGTGCAATTGGGCATCATGCAGTGTGCTATAAGGGACATTTTCCTCCAGCAGCAGCGCTATGGCCTACTTTCACTTCAGTTTCCAACTGTTAGGGGATCTTTAATATGCTGCCAATGGTATAGACAGAACCTCAATGTTATGTTCCATCTGAATGGCTAGACACTTTTCCTTGCAATGCTTTTCATCCTGTAATACAGACAATGTAAAACAAGGACAGACAATCCTGGGATCCAGCAACAAGTCACCAAGGCTTCCTGATCAATTACATTTGTTAGCTATGTGAACTGGTATCAGATGTCATAGAAATAGAAAGCATGCACACATCGGTACAATTGTTGTCTTGATCCCCACGTTACTGAGTCAGTTTCTTACTCACTGAGCCACTGTGACTGCACACATCAGATAATTGTCCAACAGGCATTATGAAAGAGTGACATCTGCCTATTGCAGATCTTTCTTGAGGCCTTAAATGTTTTATAAATTATTGATAGGGCCACTAAGTCTCGCAAAGATTTCTTCGGTAATCTACTTCCGGTGACATCACCGAGCAATGGCAAAAGACATTTATTAACATGACAAGACCATAATCAAGTCTTGATGCCATAAGTAGACTAAAACGGTTCAGCCATTTACTGATTTAATCTAAAAATGGTAAAGTGAGGCAAACCTTCTAATAACCAGTATGGTGGTTACAATCGGTGCATACATCTTGTCAAACCTTCAAAGTCTAATATACCTTTGCTCAGAATAAAGTAATGACATTTTCAATTTATTCATTTTTTAACTATTACAGCAAGAATGGCTAGCTTTTTATCTAACTCTTACATAATGTATCTTTAAGTCACAAACTGGATTTAAACTTACCTGTGGTGGTCCCAGGTATATAGACAGGATCAAAGCTACTGTAATAGCTATAGCAAACACTATCCCTGATATTACTATCACTTTAAAACTATAGGAATGATCAGCAGGACTGAAAACAACACAAAATATAAATGTTATAAACAACACAAAATATAAATGTTATAAACAACACAAAATATAAATGTTATAAACAACACAAAATATAAATGTAAACAACAATGCAAAAAACAACACAAAATATAAATGTTATAAACAACACAAAATATAAATGTTATAATAAACAAACGAAATGAAATGTGGAATGATCAGCAGGACTTAAAACACAAAATATAAATGTTATAAACAAATAAATGAAATGTGGATCATTTTTTTTAAGATTTAAACGATATTTTATTCAATAACTTTATAGAGCGAGAGAGAAATGGGGTTTAACATCCACTCAAATAACTACTAGGTCCTTTTGGGACCAACTTAGGGCTCAGTTTTATTTCAACAATTCGCTTGTGCATATGGGTCTTTAGCAGAGGGAGGAAACCAAAGGACCCGGAGAAAATCCACGAGGTTGGACAGGCGACCCTACTCCTTGTCATGTACAACTGGGGAATTGAAACCACACTAGTTGATTCAATGACAGACCTTATGATACAGCGCGCAGATGTTAACCATTCGGCCGTCCAACTCCCCAAAAATAACTTTATAAAATTAATATGATAAATTTAGGATGTGATAACAGGCTTATATAAAACCATCTCTATAGGATGGATGCATCATTAACAAATTTGTAACTAGCAATCCTAACATTGACACATAAATATATAGTATAAAACATGTATGTACAATTTAGATGATAACTTAGGATTTCTAAATGGGACACTGGCATATTTTCATCCAGGGAATACAGAAAGTTATATTTCATTTAATATGTTAACATCAGGTTTTATGTTCGATGATGTTTTGTGGATTATTTACTATTAGGCATACATACGTATATTTGGGGGCCCACAAAAACATGCCAGTATGTCTCAGCCTTTTTTCATTCCCCCCCCCCCCCCGCTGTAAATAAAAAGAAAGACAGAATATTTTCACTGTGTTTAATTTTGATATCATTCAATTTAAAATAAACAAGAAGTACTTACACAAATTTACTGGGCTTGAGCAGGTTTTTGGCTGCATGAAGGGGAAACGACTCTTTGTCAGTTTTTTGATCAGCTATCAACTCTACTTTATCACCAACTAAAAGTTGAAAAAAAAAAAAAATATTAAAGAGATTACATGTAAGCTGACAAGTCAATGGTCAATAATGCTTGTGCTAAGTCCCTTTCGAAGCCACAGTGCCTAAGTGAGTACGGAGCTGGCTCGCTAGCCGGAGGGTCGTGTGTTCGCTCCAGGTGTTAGCCGAGAAAGTTCATCAGGATTTTCCGGCGTGGTTTCCCCTTGCCAGTGGTGCAGAACCGGGGGCCTAACAAGGAGAGCTGTCTAGTCATGCGGATGGCACGAAAACCGAGGTTCTGTGTACACACTGACGTGCACATAATAGATTCCTTGGCAGTTTGAATTTGATATAAGAGTAGACCATAGTGCCGCTGTAAAGTAATTGAATGTCACTATAAGAAATCGAAATACATTAACATGATGTCCCTACATTATTTCATTTGATTTTATTCATTCTACATGGTAATGCACAGACTTTTTCTATTTTTCTCGTTTGCTCTTATCTAGTGACAGTCAATTATTTTTTTTTTGAATAGTCATATATCCTCCCATCAGTTTCATATAACAATTTTTAATCTTCGAAGGAATTATTAGTGAGCAGAAATTTGCCGGTGTATCTCTTAAAACTCGTCACTTCAGTCAGTTATATATTACATCAACAATTTAATAAACAATTTATCACACCAATTTTTCACATCAACAACTTATTAAATTTGTTTCTTTTTTTCTTTTTTTTGAAGTTTTTGACGCGTGACATTATTATATACCCGTCTATTGGTCCGGCGGTCTTTTTTTGGTTCGAGTGGTCTTTCTGTATGGTCCGGGTAGTCTTTTTGTTTGGTCTATCAGTTGGTCCGACTGGTGGTGGCCCGAGTGTTCATGGATTCGCTTGTGAATGCAATACGAAGTCGGTGGTCCGAGTGGTCATGGATTCGCTTGTGAATACATAACAATACGAAGTCGGTGTGTGTGCTTGTTTTCCTCTACCCCCCACCTTCCCATTGCAAAATTCAGACTGAATTACCTGACATCGTGCTGTTTGCACTGTAAAGATCTGCTCCGTCCATCATCCTGTCTGTTCTTGGTCAACTCAATAATTAATTTCAAGGAAGAAATATATTTTGAGCATAAAATTGTCAAGAATCGTGGCAAAATTATTATTATTATTGTAAGACAGCGCCGCACCGTCTGTCAATTAGAGTTATTTCCCCTTGGCAAGGAAACCGAACATTCGACCCACTTTATCAAAATTACAATGCTTGTACCTCTATCTTCATACATATATAACAGAGTATAAAAATGAATTAACCGTGACCATTAAATGCACACAGATTTCGTTTTCCTTCATTATATGAACGATAAGCCTAACTGAGTAACTGGCCCCTGTGACAAAAATCCTAATAATTTCTCAAATTTCATTGGTCAGGACACTAACATGGCTGCTTCCATAACTCGCGTGAGTTTCTTGCACATTAGAAAATGTTATTTTATAAATGCTCGCTTATTTTGCTCGAATTCGGGTGGTAAAAGTGGACCTAGCGATGTGAATCAAACGTCAGACTCACTTCCTAACGATCAAAATGAAACCCAAACGGTCAATGATGTGGGACAAGAAGACAAAACTGCTTCACCGGTTTCCGAAATTTCAGTGAATAAGCTAAGACAAACGCTCGAGAATTTTGACAAGGGACAGGCAAGGGAAAAGAGCAAAGGGGTAAATGAAAGTCAAGACATTTTGTTATCATCCAAATTACATGTTAGGAAAGACCGTAAAGAAAGAGATATAGTGAACGAGACAGAGGTCGATCTACAGCAAAACGAAAGTGAATCCCAAGAAGAGACACAATTTCCAAAACCAAAAAGAGCTGGTTGGGAATCGGCATTAGACAACTTTTCAAGATTAATCGAGAAAGCGAAAGAGAGGGATGATTCTGATAAAGCAGATGATAGTTATATCACCGATACAGACAGTTTTGCTGCAATGCTACGAAAATCAAAGTTGATGCAAATTGGTGATCCAAATGGTAAAGTTGTTATTGGCAAAATAACAAAAGTGGTTGGTGATGATTTATATGTAGACTTTGGTGGTAAATTTCACTGTGTTTGTAGTAGACCAAAGATGGAACCAGAGTAAGTTACAACGTATAGTCTCTGACATCTGTGTTATCAGGGCCGGATTTACTAATAGAGAAAGAAATGGGGTTTAATGTCCATTCAACATAAACTAGGTCATTTCAGGACTAACCTGGTTCAATTTTATTTCACTAATTCGCTTGTGTGAAGGGGTCTTTAGCAGTGGGAGGAAACCGGAGGACCTGAAGAAAACCCACAAGATTGGACAGGCACAACCCTACTCAAGATCCTTGTCACGTACAAGTGGGGAATCAAAACCACACCACTTGACTCTATGACAGACCTTCTGATCCAATGCGCACGTTAACCATTCAGCTACCCAAACCCCCAATTACATACATACGTATCTTTGGGGCCGAACTAAAACATGCCAGTATGTCTCAGATACCCAGAACCTCCTTATCTTCAACGTATGGAGGGTGTCCGTATTTGACAAAATTTACTGGATAATCCAACACATATAACAAAACAAATTCCTGGTTACATGGGCAATGGAATTCAAGAAAGAGTTGCGTCCCGTCCCGAAATAAATCCAATAATTCATGCATTAATGATAAACTAACATGATTTATGATGATGAATTAGGATTTATAAAAACCATGGCATATATTATATATGGTCCTTGAAAAGAAATATTACATTAGTGTTGGATATTGGACATGCAATGCAAATAGATTTGTTTCTATGAATCCCAGCTTTCATGGGATAAGGGTTCTTTTATGTGCACTGCAAGGTGTGCAAGATCTCACTTTTTGTCATCCAATGATTAGAACAACTATATGCTGTATCTAGTCAGACCCTCGGTTTTGGCTCATGTAAGAATATATATTAATCCTTTCTTTTACGCTCCATTAGGCTAAACCTGAGAAATGAAATGAAAGAGTTTAATGTCCTGTTCTGCTCCGACAGGGCTAATGAAGCCGGGCATGTGCCATACAGTGTGCTGTGGGGACAATTTTGCCAGGGCAGCGGCGCTATGGCCTACTCTTATATTGATTTCCAATTGCCAAGGGATCATTTATGCGCACGCCAATGAGTACACACAGGACCTTAGTTTTGCATCCCGTCCAAATGACTAGACAGCTGTCCATGGCAGGCCCTCTGTCTTGCTCCACTGACAAGTGGAAGCCACGCTGGGAAATCCTGATGCACTTGCTCGGCCAACAACGGGAGTGAACCCACGATCTACTGGCTAGTGTGCCAGCATCTTATCCACCAAGCAACTGTGGCTCCCGTTCACCATGAGTCAACTTTATACCCGTAGTCACTCAAGGGTCTGTCTCAAAATTTCAACAGAACAACTCCCTGTGGGTAGATCTCAACCCACCTGGATTGAACTCCGGACCTTTTTGTTAAGCGTTGGACACACTAGCCGTAATTCGCCTAGTGCGTCCACTGTCATTCGGCCGAATGATTCACCTGAATCAAACATGTTTGATATATATTTGCCTAGTGTGTTTGTGTCGCTGAAGCATTCGCCCGATTGTAGAATTCATTAGCTAATCACCACTCATATCGAGAAGTCATGTGATTGTTTGAAGACATGGGCGCGCTGCCATGTTTAATCATGTGATGTGAAAGGTGACGCAGTCGACTGGTGAATCGAGCGAAGGATTCAGATCCGATAGTGTGTCCACTCAATTGGCTGCAATTCGGTATCGATTGATTCAGCTAAATGATTCGGCTAGTGTGTCCACTGCTTTAGTACGCTAGCGCCATACTGACTGAGCCACTCCCATCATTACAGATCGAACTGTTACTTGTACCGTATATTATTCAATATTGATGAGCACTGGGTCTTATTTTAAGTGTTTATTTATTTTCAGGCTTTATCATCCAGGTGCCAAAGTGAGACTTCTGTTGAAAGATTTAGAAATGACATCCAAGTTTTTAGGATCAGAAAAACATGTGACTATATTAGAGGCTGATGCCATCTTGGTTGGTTTATATAAATTTGAAAAAACATCACAGTATGAGACAATGATTACAAACAGAGACTATAGGATGTGAATTTATAATTAAGGCCATACCAAAAAAATATTCTGGTTTTCAGGCAATCCTTAACCAAAAATCTGATGTGGGATGGCAGATTTTATTTTTGTGTCAAAGGATCACAGTACTGGCATACTGGGATAAATGACTTCTCATAAACATCACATTTCAAGGTACTGCATTTATCCCATCATGTTTGTTGCAATGTATGATTATCCAGTATCATTCATGATTGTTGGGAACATTACATGTATCAGAGTTGTGTACTTGATAAATGAGTCTACTCCATATTTCTGGATCCATTCAATTTTTTTTATAGAGCTACTTCCTGTGACCAGATTAATACATTAATTGATATGAATTTTATTTATTTTTGGAAATACAAACAGGTTGTGAGGCTCTTTTTGGGTGACACAGGTGTATCTGAGAACCAGAATGTTTTTTTTCTATTTGGCCTAGTAGTGTGAGAGATTTTTTATAATGAGTTGATTAGTTATGATAATGAGAGTGCTTTTTTAAAAAAAAAATAAAATAAATGTACATGTTGTTATAAATGCAATCAGATAATGAAATGACAATCTGATTAAAACACAGATCCTAATTCGTTTTGTTTTTTATAGTTCAAACTTTCATTTTATGTCTGTACTACACTAGGATCTGGAAGAGTTGTTATATAACCTGTGTTCTGGATGGCGTGAGGGATTAGCCAATGAAACCATCTATTACAGTGATTTACTACAACCAGTCAGATTTTCATGTAGTGGAGGCCATCAAAAGTATAAACAAGCCAACAGTGAGGCTGATGTCCCCCGCCGAAAACCCAAAATAAATAGATGACACATATTAATTAATCGCACATTTATTTTTTTCAAAAGTATAAAGCAATCAAACTGATTATCAACTATACACTAAATTTCATCACTCTCTATCAGATAGAATCAAGATTATCTTGTCCCAAAGCATCGACCAATGAAATTGATTAACTCTGCTTAGCTTCAGCTCGAAATGTTAATCATTGAACTCAGTCAGGACATTCCTCTAATGAACAGCTACATCAAGTTTAAACATTCTACCTCAATTAAAAGCAGAGATGTTATGTTCCAAAGTCTTGACCAATCAAATTGCTTATCGCTCCTTAGCCTAAGCAGAAAATTCTCACCATCAAAATTAATCTAGGTAATGAACGCCTACACCAAGTTTGAACATTCTACCTCAATTAGAAGGAGAGTTATTGTGTTCCAAATTCTCGACCAATCAAATTGCTTATAGCTCTGCTTACCCTCAGCAGAAAATGTTCATTATCGAACTTAGTCAAGGTATTGATGTAATAAAGCTATACAACAAGTGTCCTCACTCTCACTTAATTAAAACTAAAATTATCGTGTCCCAAAGCATCAACCAATCAAATTGCTTATCTCTGCTTACCCTAAGCAGACAATTCTCATCTTCAAACTCCATCAAGGCATTCACCTAATAGACACCTACGCCAAGTGTGAACATTCTAACTCGATTAGAATAAGAGTTATTGTGTTCCAAAGTCTCAACTAATCAAATTACTTATCGCTCTGCTTACCCTGAGCAGAAAATGCTCATTATCGAACTTAGTCAAGGTATTGATGTAATGAAACTATACACCAAGTTTCATCACTCTCACTTAATTAGAACTAAAGTTATCGTGTCCCAAAGCATCAACCAATCAAATTGCTTATCTCTGCTTACCCTAAGCAGAAAATGCTCATCTTTGATCTCCATCAAGTCATTGAACATTCTAGCTGAATTAGACAGAGAGTTATTGTGTCCCAAAAAGTGTGACGGACAGACAGACAGACGAACCCATTTTAATAGTCCCCTGCTTTCTTCGAAAGGCGGGGGACAAAAAGCCATGAAATGAGTTTTAACATCCTAATTTTCGGGGTTTCCTCCCACTGCTAAAGACCCCTACGCGCAAGCGAATTGTGTAAATAAAATTAAACCATATGTTAGTCCCGAAATGACCTAGTTTGTGTCGAGTGGACGTTAAACCCCATTTCTCTCTCTCTCCTAATTTTCGGCACTAACGGGGGCTAATCATTTTGACAGCATATCCTTAAGCCTTAAACTATTCATAAAATGAAAAGGGGGTTTAATGTCCTGCAAATGGAATGAAATAAACGTTTTGCCCAGACAGCGGTGCTACAGCCTACTCTTATTTCAAATTCCAACTGTCAAAGAGTTCTTTTACGACTATACAGTGTCCCTGCCAGGCCCTTTGTTCTGCACCACTGACAATTGTCTGAAAATCCTATTGAACTTTCTTTCCAACACCAAACACGGGACCCCTGTCTTACTGAGCAATCGTGGCTCCCATTAATGTGCTACACGAAAATCTTTGCCCAGACAGGAATGTTTCTACGAACTCATGAAATAGGGTTTAACATCTGCACCCACCAAGCTAATGAAGACCAGAATACGCCATTCAGTGAGTGAAATTCTTCCCAGACAGTGTTTCCATCTACTTGTCGAGAAAACCCACGAATTGGACAGGCAACCCTTCTCCTTGCCCCGAGTTCACAAAGCATTCTCAGACTTAAGTTAAAAATTTACTTAACTTTCAATCACTGTTTATGAGAAATATCTTTGATTCAGAAACACCAAACTTTGCACATTAAAACAATAAAGGTTTTGATTAAGGGCTATATTTTAGTTAAAATAAGGTGAACAATTTTGAGTAAATTTTTAACTTAAATCTGATAACTCAGGGCCTTATCACATACAAGCTGGGAATCAAAACCACGCCACGGGTGAAACCACAAGAAAGGGAAATCGGGTTTCACAATCACGCGATGGACTTCAGCAATCAGAGGACCCCTACTCATCGTCATGACTGACCAAATAAATTAAGGCGCACATGATATCATTCAGAAAGAGAGAGAGAAATGGGGGTTCAACGTCCACTAGATACAAACTAGGTCAGTTCAGGACTAACACATGGTTCAATTTTTGTTTCAATAATTCGCTTGCGAGTAGGGGTCTTTAGCAATTTGAGGAAACCGGAGGAACCGGAGAAAACCCACGAGGTTGGACAGGCGACCCTACTCCTTGTCACGTACAACCGGGGAATCAAAACTGTCATGAGGCTCAATGACTGATCTTATGATACAGTGCGCACATGCTAACCATTCGTCCCGCCAAACAACCCCTCCCACCATCTGGGATGGTAAAGTTTGCTCAGATGGTGGCACTACGACCCACTCTTTTTTCGAATTCCACTGTCAAGAGTACTTGTATATGCCCACCAATGTGTAGGCCTTTACTGGACCTTGTTTTGTTTAACTCCATCTGAAAGACTTGATTCTGTTTCTTACTAGACCCTCCATCTTACACCAATATCAAGGGAGAAACCACGTCACAAAATCCTGAGGAAATTTTTCGGTCAACAACAGGATCTCCTGATTAGTTAGCCAGCTCCATACACAATCAGCCATGGTGGCTCCCACATTCGGATGGAGGGATCATGGTTTTCAAGCAGACACAGGAATAAAAACTAACAACTTTAATTCAATTCATATGTGCTTTAATTTATAATTGCATAATTGAAAATATACTATATATAATATAGCACCATATTAATATCAGAGTATTGAATAAATGTCACAGTGTTGAATAAAAATCAATCATAAAATGAATGCACTCTAGCATTTAATGCTGCATAATAGGACACAACACAGAGATGATTGAAGAGCGAGAAATTGGGGTGAACATCCGCTCAACACAAGACTAGGTAATTTTGGGACTAACATATGTTCAATAACTCCCCTGCTTGTGGGAGTCTTTAGCTGTGGGCTGAAACCGTAGAAGCAGGAGAAAACCCACAAGTTTGGACAGGCGACTGTACTCCTTGTCCCTTACAAGCGGAGAATCGAAACCACGTCACAAACTGACAGACCTTATGATCCAACGCGCACATGTTAAACCATTCTGCCACACAGCACTTTATCACACACAAGTTTTACTCTCATCATTTTGCTTATCACACAAAAACATAATTCATCAATTCTTATCCATAGTAGAAATATAGCATGACCCACGGATAAACTAACAATATTTCAACATTATTAATATATTAATTAACAATATATTAATATATCTAATAATATTTAAACATTATATTTAATAATATATTAACATTATTGATATATTTAATAATGATATTTGAACATTATTAACATATTTATTAGCAATTTTTAAACTTTATTAATATATTTAATAATATTTGAACATTATTAATATATAACAATATATTACATTTAATAACAATATTTGAATATCATTAATATATTTAATAATAATATGTTAAAATTATCAATATATTTATTAACAATATTTGAACAGTATTAATATATTTATTAACAATATTTGAACAGTATTATTATATAACAATATATTATATTTAATAATAATATGTTAACATTATTAATATATTTAACAATATTAGAACATTATTAATAAATAACTATTAATAAATAACTATATATTAATACATTTATTAACAATATTAGAACATTATTAATATATTTAATAATATTAGAACATTATTAATATATTTATTAACAATATTAGAAGATTGTTAATAAATAATTATACATTAATATATTTAATAACAATATCTGAACATTAGTAATATATTTATTAACAATATTTAAACCTATTCATAGTTACACAACTTTATGGATTTACTACTTCTTGGTTTATTACATGCAATTTTCAATATTCTTACAGGTATCTTTATCAAGCAATTGATAAAGGTACCTTTAAGAATATTGAAACGTTGCTTGATAAAGATACCTGTAAAAATATTGAAATGTTGCATGTAATAAACCAAGAAGTAGTAAATCCATAAAGTTTCTGTACCATCGAATGATTAGACGCCGTTCATGGCTAGTGATAAATCAAGAACAGATATGTAATACAAGGCACATTTGACCCATTTCAACAAATTACTAATTGTGAAGTAAAACATAGTTAACCTTAAATATGAATGAATGGCCTAGTTAACGTTATTTATATTCTGCAATGTATTCATATTCTGTAACTTCAGGCCTCCCAAATTGGGTCCTGTATGTTTGATTTTTTCAGAAATTTGATATTCAGAGATGTTACCAGTTACAGATTGTAGTAAAATGAATGATTATGAATGATTGTGATGATGAATGATTGTGATGATGAATGATTGTGATGATGAATGAATGATTGTGATGATGAATGATTGTGATGATGAATGATTGTGACTGATTGTGATGATAAGATAAATAACAAGTGTCTGTAAAGTATGATAAACGGTTTGAGATGAAATGGGGTTTAAATTTAACGGCCTATTGTTCTGCACCGATTGTTAGGATGATGATGGGGATATATTTTGATGATGATAAGGAAAATGATCATAATAGCACTTTCTTTTATGGGCCTATATAACAGACTACATAAAGACATATCAATGAGAAAATCAACATGCATGAAAATGACTTAACAGTTTACATATAATAATATTGCACTAATTTGATATCAATCATAAATAAATATCCAATATGAAATTTTGCACTTTAGTAACAACATTAAAATAAGATAGTCATCCATCACGTTGGAAATACACCCACAAAACAGCTTTGTCTCAAGTTCTCATCTGTAGCTTATCCGAAAGGCAAACTTGGATGTTAAGCAGATTTGAAAACTCAGGAACAGAAAGTATCGATAAGGTTTGTCCCCTCATGACCCCAACAATTTGCACCAAATTTTAAAGAAATCTGTTAAAAACTAGTCTCTATTGCATTCACGATGTTTTTGGCAAGGGGGGGGACTACTCTGGGATGGAAAGTTGCAGAATGTTGAATATTGATAGGGTTCATCTTCTCGTGACCCCAGTGCTTCCCATCAAATTTGACAAAAATCTGTAAAACAAAATATAGCCTCTATTGTGCTCACAAGATTTTTGTTAAAGGGGGGATAACTCCAGAATGAAACGTTGCAACTGAAAATCAATAGAGTTCATCCACTCACGACCCCAATGTTTCCCACCATATTTGAAAAACATCCATTAAAAACTACAGTCTCTATCATATTTACAAGGTTTTTGGCTAAGTGGGGGATAACACCAATGCTCTCCACCAAATTTGAAAAACACCCATAAAAACTACAGCCTCCTTTCGGCAAAGAGGAAATAAATCTGGAACACTGAATTTTGATACAGTTTGTCCTCTCACGCTTCAGACCAAATTTATCATAAACTGTAGCCTCTGACACCTTCACAAGATTTTTACAAATATGGGATACCTCTGAAACGGAGAGATGCAGAAAGCTGGCTTTGTCCTCTCATGACCACAATACTTACACCAAATAAGAAAAGAATTTGTCAAAAACTGTAGCCTCTATGGCGTTCGCAAGCCAATTGTTTACGGACAGGGTGACGAGTGACGACATAATACACCCACACTGAAATGTGGCCGTATAAAAAGCACATTTGATAGTAAGATCTCCATTGACCTTATCAACTGCATGGTTCAATGTCAAAATTTATAAAAACTCAAAAATTAAATCTTCTTAAAAACCACCTAAAAATATATTTGACTTTAAAAATTCAAATGGATTTCATCTCTTAAAGCGAGTATTTCATATTTTCTAAAAAAAGTCAAAACATAATTATTTCTATGTCTTTTGCTCAATAGGTTATCAACTCACTATTATACGATCATAGGTGTCATTCTCACACTTAAAACTCATTTACACAGGAAATAACAACACAATTACCTCCCTTGTTTTCCTATTGAAAACAATGGTCAGCCATTTCCTCAACGTTGGAATTTGAAGTTGAAAATGATATTTTTGCCAATTTCTCAGCTGGCAATAGTGAATTACCGGTATAGGATTAATAGGACTATTCTTTAACAAGGTAGGACTGTTTATGGATACGATCTATTTTAAGGCTTTATTTTAATAAATTTGAAATTTCCGCTTTAAATGAATCAGAATATTGTCTCAAATATTGCCCCATTTTAAGTCGTAATATTGCTATTAATTCATAAAAAAACAATCAATCTAATTAATAGTTTATATAACATTTAAGGCCAAAAGAAAAACCTGCAATAGGCAGATTTAGCTCTTGCATAATGTATGTTTAATTAAATGATAAGGGATCAATCTGAGTACATATTAGTGTGGATTAAGCAGTGAGAAATGTTATATTTTTTCACGAAAAATGCCAATGGTGAGAGAGAGAGAGAGAGAGAGAGAGAGAGAGAGAGAGAGAGAAATGGGGTTTAAAGTTCTCTCTATACACAAACTAGGTCATTTCGGGACTAACATATGGTTTAATTTTATTTCAATAATTCACTTGGGCGTAGGGTTCTTTAGCAGTGGGAGGAAACCGGAGGACCCGGAGAAAACCCACGAGGTTGGACAGGCGACCCTACTCCTTGTCACGTACAACCGGCGAATCAGAACTACACCAGTTGACTCAATGACAGACTTTATGATACAGCGCGCGCACGCTAACCATTCAGCCATCCAACCCCCCAATGGCAAAGGTACATCACTAAGTTAATAGTTGGCTCAAATAATAGCAATATTTACATATATACAATATAATAAACAAAAAATTCAATAAGACATAAAGATTATCGAAAATAACATAGTAACTTTAAAAAAAATATTCTCATCTCAATAACAGGACACAAAACAATCACTGATTGGACTTGATGATCATGACTATATTATGATGAGATTCTATAAAGTCATATTGATAAAAGGCAAGTAATTACCTGTCAACAATTGTATGCAATACAATATTGAGAGAGAGAGAGAGAGAGAGAGAGAGAGAGAGATAGATAGATGGGTTTAACATCCACTCAACACAAACCATGTCATTTTGGGATTAACATCGGTCAATTTTATTTCAATAATTCGCTTGCGCGTAGGGGTCTTTAGCAGTGGGAGGAAACCGGAGGACCCGGAGAAAACCCACGAGGTTGGACAGGCGACCCTACTCCTTGTCATGTACAACCGGGGAATCGAAACCACGCCAGTTGGATCAATGACAGATCTTATGATACAGTGTGCACGTGCTAACCACTTGGCCATCCGACCCCCTCTATAATGTTGTAATCTATATAAATAAAATCAAAGTGTATGTATGTATGTATGTATGTATGTATGTTCAGCCATCACGCTTCACCTCTACATATGTGGTATCAAATTAACCAGCATGACCCTGTGAGTCTTTTAGGCCATCGAATATAGGCCCCAGGCAAAAGATCTGTAACAGGCAGACTTGGCTTTTAGATAATGCATCTTTAATGCAAAGAATGCTGTAACATTGAATTCAAATTGTCAGTTTCCATGTGGATTAGAAATGAAATGAAATGGGGTTTAACGTTAACGTCCTACTCCGATTGTGCTAATGAAGACGCCTAGACTTTCTCGGCCAATGCAGGGATCCAATGCAGGAATCGAACACCCAACCTCCAGACTGGCGAGCCAGCGTCTTACCCACTTAGCCACTATGGCTCCCATATACAATAAAAATATCTTACAATAAAATGTAGCTCAACAATTGTTTAAAAATATCTAATCCAACAAACAATTATAACAATTTGTTTAAAAATCTTCAATTTCATACATTTCTATCAATAAAATCACAACCAAAATCTAACATGTTCTGTAAACCAAGAAATATCTATTCTTTGAATGGCATTTAGTAATTGGAACATAATCGAATAACACACTATTTATGGATAACAATTACTATGGTTTATTCCACTGCGACGTGTCAAGGAGATTTCAAAAGTCGTTATCAACAGATTTCGAAAGTCATTATCAAGCATTTGATAACGACTTGTGAAATCTTGTTGAAACGTCGCAGTGAAAGAGAGAGAGAGAGAAATGGGGTTTAACGTCCACTCGACACAAACTAGGTCATTTCGGGACTAATATATGGTTTTAATTTTATTTCAATAATTCGCTTGCGCTTAGGGGTCTTTAGCAGTGGGAGGAAACTGGAGGACCCGGAGAAAACCCACGAGGTTGGACAGGTGACCCTACTCCTTGTCACGTACAACCGGGGATTTGCGTCGCAGTGAAATAAACCATAGTAATTGTTATCCATAAATAGTGTGTGTTATTCAAGAAATATCTACACTAAAATAATCACCAATAAAAAGGCAACCAGTACAATTTTGCAATAAAATAGTCATTATTAGCATTAATATAATGCAGGAGGCACATTTTTTGTTTTACGGAGTTAAAGAAGACAATGACATTCTTGTGGTGAAAATGGATGTGAAATAGAAAAATATTCATGATAATTCAGTCTAATTATTTGATTTTTATGTTACAACTTTTGAAAGAGATTTAAGGCCACAATGATTGAATTTTTAGTTCTTTGTGGCACCTGTTAAACTTTTTGCTTCCTAATGCAGTCTAATTAAGTTAGATGGTAGTTTCACTTCTTTTACGATTATTATCTTAAAAGTCTAACAACAGCTTTAAGGCCACACCAACTTGAATATTTGTTCTTTAAGGCCACAATGACTGGCACACGATAAAATTTTTGCTTCCTAATTCAGTCTAATTAAATTAGATGGTAGTTTCATTTCATTGTCGATTATTATCTTAACAGTTCAACAACAGCTTTAAGGCCACACCAACTTGAATATTTGTTCTTTAGGGGCACCTGTTAAAATTTTGCTATTACTAATAAAGGGTAGTCATGTTAACTAACTATCATCTTTAAAAGTCGGCCATGTTAACTAACTGTCATCTTTAAAAGTCGGCCATGTTAACTTACTATACCTTTTAAAGGACAGACATGTTAACTTAGTATAACCTTTAAAGGACAGACACTGAAATTGACTATTACCTTTAAAGGGTGGCCATTTTGACGAACTATGAGCATTAAACAACAGCCTTTAAAGGACAGTCATGTTAACTGACTATGAACTTCAGATTGTCCATGACATTTAAAGATCGGCCATGTTAACTTAATATTACCTTTAAAGGTCGGCCACGTAACTGACTATTACCTTTAAAAGTCGGCCAAGTTATTTACCATCCCCTTTAAAGGTCGGTCATTTTGACTTACTATAATTAAAGGTCGGTCACGTTCACTGACTGTAATAAAGGTTGGTCATGTTCACTGACTATTACCTTTAAAGGATAGCCATGTTAACTTACTACTACCAGTCATTTTAAACATACATTATGAAAGAGCTAATCTGCCTACTGCAGGTCTTTCTTATGGTCTCAAATGTTATATAAACTATTAATTAGACATTTATTAACATGAAAAGACAATAATCATCTCTCGATGCCATCTTATGGGTCCGATTATCATTGGATTTGAATCAGATCTGCTGTTCAATGTCCATTGATGATTAACAGCAAAAATGAATAATCAAGATTTTGTTAATTATCCTATCAGCGGTAGCAATGACAATTGAGGCTACAGTGTTTTTAAAATGATATTTTCTCGGCCTAGAATGAAGTAATTTGACTGAAATTTTCGTCATATCCCCCTTACATTATCTATTTTTAAAACTATTATAGTGAGAACTGCCTGCTCTTTATCTAAGAGTTACTATTTATTACTGACTATTGTTAACTGACTGTTATCTTTAAAGCATGGCTATGTTAACTTACTATACCAGTAAGTTTGCCCACACAGACTTATCACCATTAAAGCATGGCCATGTTAACTTACTATACCAGTAACCTTAAAGGTTGCCCACATGGACTTATTATCACCTTTAAAGGACCCCATCTATTCTTTAGTTTTACCTTTAAAGGTCGGCCATGTGACCGTTAAAGGTTGGCTCTATTTTTTGTAACCTTGAAATAGACAAAATTGGTTCTAAAGTAATTTATATTCAATTTTTGAAAAAAAATATTGTTATTTCTTATCAATTATGTTTGGTGAAATATGTGAACAGTTCAAACTGAACCGCAGACTTTTACGTCTGCTTAGTGCATTCTACAAGTTTTTTAAATTATTATTTTGTCGTTTGTGAATCAGCCTTTACTAATTACTTCCACATTGTGTTGTAGGATATGTTTTTATATGTTCATTACAAAATGGCACCTGCAACTATAGGGTACATGACTCATGGAGGGATCATAAAATGTTAATTCTGTCTTAAATATTAGGATTATATAGTTTCACGGCAAGATAACAACATCAATATTGATTGAAATTGATGAATGTTGAATTCTAATTTGTTTTTTTAATTTCAAATATTATAGAAAATATCAAGTAAGAGACTTAGCTCCTTTAAAGGTCGGCCATATTGACTAACTATTACCTTTAAAGGTCAGCCACGTTTAGAGGTGGGAACAAGTCGCGGGACCTCGAGTCTGAGTGGCTGACTTTAGTACCGATTCGAATCGAGTCCCAAGTTGCCAGTTCGTCAAATGAGTCACCAATTCATTGCGAATAAGGTAAGTTATGAGTTATAACTTATGAGCGATTTAAGTCCTATGCTCTTTCAAGTAGTGAGTTGTCTCGACTGCCGAGTCTGAGTCGAGTCGCAATAAATATTTCAAGTTGAGTAGCAAGTCGGGTCATTGATGCGACTTCAAGCCTGAGTCTGAGTCCAATCGCAATAAATATTTCAAGTCAGGTCACAAGTCGGGTCACTGATGTGACTTAAATCAGACTCAAGGCTTAGACCCGGAACTCGAGTTCCCACCTCTGGCCATGTTGACTAACTACTATCACCTTTAAAGGAAACTATTCTTTAGGATTTAGTATGTTCAAATTAATTAATTTCAATTTGTTGATGGTGTTTACATCTGACCACAGATATTTCTTGTCTTTCAAAACTTGTGATAAATCCTTGTTGTACTCCTCGTAGAATTTATCAAGAATTCTACGAGTTTTTGGTAGCATGGGATCAGCTTTTTGTTTACTTTTAGTGATGCGTTGTTTTTTCTTCATTTCAATCTTGTGAAGTTTAGAATCTGACAAAGGATCTGAAATGAAATGAGTTGGGTTTATTAACGTCCTACTGTTCTGCTCCGACTGGACTAATGAAGATGGTGATGCCTATATATTATAGGAAATGAAATGAAATGGGGTTTTACGTCCTACTGTTCTGCTCCTAACCTGGGCTAATGAAGACGGACATACGCCATACAGTGTGCTATGAGGGAAATTTTGCCGGGCAGTGGCACTACAGCCTACTCTAATATCGAATTCTGACTGCCAAGGGATCTTTTACGTGCACGCCAATGTGTACGTGGGACCTTGGTTTTTCGTCCCATCCAAACGACTAGACAGCTGTCCTTGTCAGGCCCTCCATCCTGCATCACTGACAAGGGGAAACCACGCCGGAAAATCTGGGTGAACTTTCTCGGCCAATGCAGGGATTGAACACCTGACCTCCAGGCTAGTGAGCCAGTGTCTTACCCACTTAGCCACGTGATCCCCCTATATTAAAGGAACATCCGCACAATCTCATTAAGCCTGAAGAGTTCGAACTGAATGAAACTAGTCGCTTCATGAGAGAAATTTGGGACGGCTACTCACCGCTCATAGATTTCTAATTTAACTTAATATAAGTCAGTAACGAGTGGTAACAGACAAACGATCGAATTTCATTTCACTGATAATTCCGTTGATGTTGAAAAGTTATTATATGGGACGGTGAGAGGGTATCTCACAATTCAAAAATAGAATTGGCTGTCACTAGATAAGGGAGACGAGAAAAAGTAGAAAAATCCTGTGCATTCCCCCGTTTTTATTCATTCTGTTCTTAATAAAAACATGGTAATACACAGACTTTTTCTAATTTGTTCGTTATCTACTGACAGCCAATTCTTTTTTTGAATTGTCAGATATCCTCTCATCGTCTCATAAAACAACTTTTCATCTTCAGCGGAATTATCAGTGAAAGGAAATTCGATCGTTTGTCTGTTACCGCTCGTTACTTCAGTCAGTTATATAGAAGGAAAACTCATGTTTGACGTCACTTCCCTTTTCTTCACATGCTTGTTACACATCTCCCGTAGCAATGATCTCTGTGTTAAAATTATATTTGGGATGTATTTAACAAGCTCTATCACATATTTTATAATGACTGACACCAATATTGTCCTTTAATAATGAAAACACTAGATGTTGCTGCTTACCGACTTCAAGAAAAGTAAACATTTCCGCTATATATTTGTCTACATCATCAGCGTAATCTTCTGTTCTGACAATATAAAACTGATCTCTATCAAATATCTTCAGCCATTCCATTAAATACACCACGTAACAACCAAAATGTATTCGAGACTGAAAAAAAAACCCAAAACAGTTAAAATCGTTGTTATTACATCAAATAAAATTAAATGGGGTACAACCTCTTAGAAAATTCCAGTATATAGTCATTTGGATGGGAACAAAAACTGGGGTCTTATGTACAGCTTAATGTCAGATAATTTTCTTTTATCATCATCTGGAAAATAGACCAACTTTCTACTCATGATTTTCTACCGCAGATTTTCTCAAACAGAATTTCTTTTCACATCAACAACGGAACTAAAATTACAACTTGAGTATCATTTAGTTTGTCCTGTTTTAGTATGTGTTTCTGGATTTAATGTTTAGTTTCAAACCATTGTTGGCAAACTATTAAAATATGTTGAGAATCATCAAAAAATATTGGGTTTCCTAATGTAATGAAATGAAATGAAATGAAATGGGGTTTAACGTCCTACTGTTCTGCTCCGAACTGGGCTAATGAAGACGGGCATACGCCATACAGTGTGCTATGAGAGAAATTTTGCCAGGGCAGCGGCACTATCGCCTACTCTTACATCGAATTCCAACTGCCAAGGGATCTTTTACGTGCATTCCAATGTATACACGGGACCTCGGTTTTTCGTCTCATCTGAAGGACTAGACAGCTGTCCTTTTCAGGCGTTTCCTAACGTTACGTAATTTAAAATAGTGTAATATTGGGTTTACAACTGTTTACTCAATACCGCTTGGGAAAGTAAACAATAATCTTAATCCATTTTGAAACAATGTGGCCATAATTGGGTCAAATGAGGTTCCGATAGGAACTGGGTTTAAAAATTTTTAGCTTCCATTCCCTTTATTATAACCAGACTTCAACAAAAATAATTATTGATAATTTGTTATGAGAAATATCGTATTCTAGTACATGCAATTACCACTAAAAAAAAAAAACAAACAGGTACACTGTTCGGAAAATGTTTCATATTTCATATGAAATTCATGTCAGTAATATTCCTGAATAAATGACTGTATTCTTTTTTTTTCCATGAATATAAGCTGATACGGCACCATGGTATTTCCTCATAACAAAAATTTGTAGATTTTTTTCCTATCACATAACTTATTCATTCTTCCATGATAGACACATGGCACAGTGATCATGTGACAACCATAATTGAAATGGCTTTAAAATTAATTCCATACGACTATGCCATATAGCTTTCAATAATATTAACGACAACATTTTAAGAAGTAAGCCTCTGTCAGCATGTGTATAAAATAAAAAATCCTAACAATAACAGTAAACGCTATTTAAAACTAAAACTAGCATCGCTGGTTTATTGACCTAATTCCAACCGATGTCATGTGTCATCGGCAAGGGAGATTCATAATATATTATTAATGACGGTTTCTTGGTGTATTTGGTGTTCTATATGAGGATCATACCTTTAACTTGGCAAAAATTTCTGCACTATAGAAGCAATGTTGGACAGTGTGATTTGTCAGACAGGTTTCAATGGTCCAGATAGAATTAATAATATCTTCATGAAAACTATAGGGATTATCACCATACCCAGAAAAATAATAGTCAGAATATAATCTGTAAGATAAACAATACACAGAATATTATCTGTAATATAAACAACACATAGTCAAAATATAATCTGTAATATAAATGCTATATAGTCAGAATGTAATATAAACAACACATAGTCAAAATATAATCTGTAACATGAACACTCCACAGTCAGAATATAATCTGTAATATATAACATACAGTCAGAATACATGTATAATGTGTAATATAAACAATGTACAGTCAGAATATAATCTGTAATATAAACAATGTACAGTCAGAATATAATCTGTCAAATAAACAATACATAGTCACTATAAGCACTACACAGTCAAAAATATAACCTGTAATACAGATACAGAAATGAAATGGGGTTTAACATCCTACTGTTCTGCTCCTGAACTGGGCTAATGAAGACAGGCATACGCCATACAGTGTGAGGGAAATTTTGCCCGGGCAGCTGAGCTACGGCCCCTGTCTAATACCGAATTCCAACTGCCAAGGGATCTTTTACGTGCATGTCAATGTGTACATGGGACCTCGGTTTTTCGCCCCATCCAAACGACTAGATAATTGTCCTTGTCAGGCCCTCCGTCCTGCATCACTGACAAGGGGAAACCACGCCGGAAAATCTGGATGAACTTTCTCAGCTAATGCTGGGATCGAACAAATACAAATACAACACAGTCAGAATACAATCTGTGCTATGCTAAACAGTAAACAATACTGACCTATCTGTGGGATTTCTCAAGATTAATATAAATTTTGGTTTTCTGTAAATGTGCTTCATTAAATGAGGAGTCAAAATGGTGGGTTCTGGACCTTTATTTTGGGCTATCAATGGCCACGCTCGAAAGTCCCAGAAATCTGGAGGACTAGCATCGCCTGTTAAATAATAATAATAATAAAAATATAATTAACTCTTTAGGAAGATAGATATACATTAGAATTAAATGAATGTGTAGATTGTTTTGGATACATCAGCCTCATTGTAGGCTTGTTCTTGATATAAAAAAGTTTCCAAAAACATTCTTATTGAACACACGTTAAAAAAGATAAACAAGAGCATCGCTAACGCAGCAATATACGTCCACATTCCTGTTTTGTTTGATATGGTCCAGTTTGCATTGAGGGTCTGTGAAATAAAACTGGGTTGTAGGACTGCTATCAGTTTAACACTTCGTTCACATTAACAGAACACAATTTTTATTTTAAAACAATCGATGTCTTTATTCCAAAAAAATGACGTTTCGAATAGGTATGCAAAGTTTCAAAAGAATCTGTTAAGAATTGCGGTCTGTAGGCAAAACACAAGACACACAAACATTAGGTGTGGCTCTGTCCCAAGGGGTCGAGCATGCACCAAAAATAATAATAGAGGTCGGCCTTAGGATTAAGGAATAAGTATAAAAAGTAGCCTTAGGCTATAAGGAATAAGTATAAAAAAGTTTTCAAGATGATCGATTAAGAAATGCGGTCTGCAAGTGACACACAGACATAAAAAAAGAAAATGGGCGTAGCTCTGCCCCTGGGGGTTGGGTATTCACCACAAATAATAGGGATGTTCCTTAGGATAGAAGGAATATGTATGCTAGGTTTCAAGGTGATACGATAAGAAATGCGATCTGTAAATATAAGGGATGGGCGTGGCTCTGCCCCTGGCGGTCGGGCATGCACCAAAAACAATAGGGATCATCGTTAGGGTATAAGCAATTCATATGAAATTTTTTCAAGACGATTGATTAAGAATTGTGGCCTGTAGGTGACACACAGACATAAAAAGAAAAGGAAATGGGCGTGGCTCTGCCCCTGGAGGTAAAAAAACAATAGGGATCATCGTTAGGGTATAAGCAATTCATATGAAAAAATTTAAAGACGATTGATTAAGAATTGTGGCCTGTAGGCGACACACAGACATAAAAAAGAAAATGGGCGTGGCTTTGCCCCTGGGGGTTGGGCATGCACCCAAAACGATAGGGATGTTCCTTAGGGTACAAAGAATGTGTATGCAAAGTTTCAAGATTATTAGTTAAGAAATGTGGCCTGTAGACGACAAACAAACAAATACTAGAAATGGGCGTGGCTCTGCCCCGGGGGGTCGGGCATGCACCAAAAACAATAGGGATCTTCCTTGGGGTATAAGGAATAAGTATACCAAGTTTGAAGAAAATCCATGAAGAATTGCGCCCTGTAGGCGAACCACAGACACACACACACACACACACACACACAGACAGGGGCGACGGCATAATACGTTCACATTATGAATGTGGACGTATAAAAACCAGCGGCTGCCAGGCAGGATACGCCCACATTTTCGAGAGATGGATAGAGAACAAGCTAAAAAGAAAGTGATTTTTCCTACAATCAAGGGCCATAATTCAGGAAATTACAATTCGATATGCGCAAATATTGAAAGGAACCGAGATCTTTGTGTTATAAACTTACATTTCAATTTTCAACAAAATCGGATAAAAATTGTGACCTGTATAGGGTCCACAACCTTGATATACCATATTTTTACGCTATTTGAGAACGAACGGCGGCCATTTTGTCTGTCAATTTTGGGCTGATTTTCACGAAATTCAAAGTTAGCCTTCCTTAGGGTGTAACGGTGATATAATAATACGTTTTTTTAAATCGGATAAAAATTATGACCTCAATAGGGTCCACAAGCTAAAAACACGATTTTCCGTACAATCAGGGGCCATAATTCAGGAAGTTACGGTCCGATATGCGCAAATATCGAAAGGAACCGAGATCTTTGGGTTATAAACTTACATTTCAATTGTGACCTCTATAGGGTCCACAAGCTAAAAACGTGATTTTTCATACAATCAGGGGCCATAATCCATGAAGTTTCGATCCGATACATGCCAATATCGAAAGCAGCCGAGATCTTTTGGGGATAAACCTATATTTCAAGTTTCGTCAAAATCGGATAAGAATTGTGACCTGTAGAGAGTCCACAAACAATTGTGGACGGACGGACATCCAGACGGACAGGGGCGACGGCATAATACGTCCATATGAAAATGTGGGCGTATAAAAAATGCTTGAATAATTTTAAATATTTTGTTTTTGTAGGACCATTATAATGCTTCAAATTTAGAGGATACATTCTACTAATATATACTAAGGACCCGGAGAAAACCCACGAGGTTGGACAGGGGACCCTACTCCTTGCCACGTACAACCGGGGATTCGAAAGCACGCCAGTTGACTCAATGACAGACTTTATGGTACAGCGCGCACGTGCTAACCATTCAGCCATCCAACCCCCATATACAAAAGAAGATAATCTCAATCTCATTTGCGACCCACTGGGATACATAACAGATCTCACATCAGCATTCAGTTTGTTCATTTCCCATATTGTGGGAGGTTGCAGGGGTGGGTGGGGGGATTAGGGGGAGGATTTCTGACAATGACATATTCAAAACTGGTTGAGCTTCTCTTAGCTCTATACTGATTTTCATCAGCATTTAGTTTGTTCATTTCCCATATTGTGGGAGGTTGCAGGGATAGGGGGAGGGATTAGGGGGAGGATTTCTGACAATGACATATTCAAAACTGGTTGAGCTTCTCTTAGCTCTATACTGATTTTCATTACATTGATTATATCTTGATGCTTATGGACTTATTAAGTAACATTGAACATCCACAAATGTTCACCTCAGATGTTATGATCAACTTTTGTTTAAACTGTAAACTTTATATGGCGTGGGGGGGGGGTGTGTGTGTGTGTTGGATGGCTGAATGGTTAGCACGTGCAAGTTGTATCATAAGATCTGTCATTGAGTCAAGAGGCCTGGTTTCGAATCACCGGTTGTAAGTGACAAAGAGTAGGGTCGCCTGTCCAACCTCGTGGGTTTCCTCCTACTGCTAAAGACCTCTATGCACAAGCGAATTATTGAAATAAAATTGAACCATGTGTTAGTCCCAAAATGACCTAAGTTGTGTCGAGTGGACATTAAAACCCCTCTCTCCCTCTCCCGCGGATGCAATCAAACTTTTATCTTATCTTACCTGTTATTATTTTATGAACTAATTTGGAGCCATCTTGAATCAAGGTTTCAATATGTTCTGCGGTATTATCAAATATGCTTGTATATTCTTCAAATGTTTTAACTTTGTTAATTTTCCAGTTAGTTATACCTAGACAAATATAAGAAATACTAGTAATGATAAATAATAATGAATAATAATGATGAATACCTATATTGCACGCATTCTATCCAAAGAGGTGTGGTTACCCCTTGTTAGTTATGCAGGACGGAAGGCCTGACATGGACAGCTGTCTAGTCGTTCACATGGTACAAAAAAACACGGTCCTGTGTACACATTGGAGTGCACGTAAAAGATCCATTGACAATGATAGTTGGAATTCGATTTAAGAGTAGGGCGAGGTGCCACTGTCTGGGCAAAATTTCCCTCATAGCACACTGTATGGCGTATACCTGTCTTCATTAGCCCAGTTCGGAGCAGAACAATAGGACGTTAAACTCCATTTCATTTCTTTTCATTTCAGCACTATGTGTATGAGCAATATTGATAAAGGGAGATAATGCTGTTCCAATCTGGTTAAAACACAGATCCTATTTCGTTTCGTTTTTATAGTTCAAAATTTCGTTTTACTTGTCTTTACTACACTTGGATCTGGAAGAGTTGTTATTTAACTCGTGTTCTGAATGGTGTCAGGGATAAGCCAATGAAACGGTCTGTTACGGCGAGCTTTAGGCGTGTTTTTCACGGAACTGTGGCTAATCCACTAGTAACATCAATGCTGATTGGATAATCAAATGTCTGACGTCAAAAGAGTCATAAGTCGGTCTATCGCTATTAACTGTCAGATCTTCATGTAGTGTATTCCATCAAAAGTATAAAAAAATGAAACGAAATGAAACGAAATATAAATCTGTATTTTAATCAGATTGATGCTGTTCCATACCATATTTGGACCAACTCCACCATAGAGCCTCTTTATTCAACATGCCGTTATTAGAGAATATCCGGGGATGTTGTATAAGTCTGTTATATATGTCTGTTGTCGCACATTTAGCACAGCCTAGTATATGATAATATGGCAGACATCGCAATCTTAACCTCTGGTCACAATTTAACTTCCCGCTACAACCAAGCTCGTACCAACATGGATTCTTCACATCTTCCAAATATGGTAATTTAGTCTGAAAGAAAAGTAAAAGAGGATGTGTGCTACTTAGAATAAAGTCTTGGCTAATATGTATATGGATCACTTAGTCAACAGAGAGAGAGAGAGAGAGAGAGAGATAGAGAAAGAGAGAGAGAGAGAGAGAGAGAGTGTTTAACATCCACTCCACTTGACACAAACTAGGTCATTTCGGGACTAACATGGTTTAATTTTATTTCAATAATTCGCTTGCGCGTAGGGGTCTTTAGCAGTGGGAGGAAACCGGAGGACCCAGAAAAAACCCACGAAGTTGGACAGGCGACCCTACTCTTGTCACATACAACCGGGGAATCTAGTCAACATAGCATCCCTGACAGACTGGGTAACAACATAATACCCCAACACTGACAATGATGTGTACAGCATATTACATAAGAGTCCATGCTATTATCTGCTAACATTCTTCGTAAGAATGATCATAATTTATTTTGGCGGGTTTGGTAGCCGAATGGTTAATGCATTGGATCATGAAGAAGGACTGTCATTGAGTCAAGTGGCGTGGTTTTGATTCCCCACTTGTATATGACAAGGAGTAGGGTCGCCTGTCCCACCTCGTAGGTTTTCTCTCACTGCTAAAGACGCCTACGCGCAAGCGGATTATTGAAATAAAACTGAACCAGATGTTAGTCCCGAAATGATCTAGTTTGTGTTGAGTGGACATTAAACCTCATTTCTCTCTCTCTCATAATTTATTTTATCAAAATTAAAAATATTTTAAACATAATAACAAGTAAAAAAAAAAAATCTCACCATGCAAAACAGATCTTGAATATCACTGTGTAAATCTGTACACAGATCAGAATAGTTTCCATACTTCTCTATAAAATAACTTCCTGTTTCATTTTTAACAAAAACTTGTTCATTTCTTTGCAATAAATCTGGAAATAATATTCCGTCTTCTCTACCTTCTGGGATGTCATTTATTTTATCGAACACCACGTTTCTGTACAAATTAGCTCTGGATATTAATTTAGTGGTCTCTTGTGATCTATTCGTAGGTCTATGAATATTCCAGAGATCCTGTTGTGTGCGCAGGTTCCAACTGTTCAATGAGGACAGAACTTTGGAAATTGACGGATCAAATTGGGATTCGCTGATTTTATAATACGGAGAATTTTTAAACAACTTATACGAAACAAAAAACCAGATAGACAAACAAAAACCAAGAATGAAGGTGATGCGAAAGCTTCGATTATATAATCTCCTCATGATCCTGCAAAAAAAAAAAATAATAAAGTCTCTGCATGTCATTTTAATTTTTCAATGTACGTGGCAAGGAGTAGTGTCGCCTGTCCAACCTCGTGGGTTTTCTCCGGGTCCTTCAGTTTCCTCCCACTGCTAAAGACCCCTACGTGCAAGCGAATTATTGAAATAAAATTAAACCATATGTTAGTCCTGAAATTACCTAGTTTTGTTGAGTGGATGTAAAACCCCATTTCTCTCTCTCTCTCTTAATTTTTCAAAAAATATAAAAATTTTCGAAAAACTTTGACAACATGATCTCTTCATGACTCTGCAAAATAAATATATAGATAAATATAATTCTGTGCTAGGGCTAGGCAAAATATCTGAAATGCCCCCCTCCCCCATAAGATATTGCTGAAATCCATCAGATTGTTCTCTCAATATGACATGAAATGAAATGAAATAGGGTTTAACATCCTACTGTACTGCTCTGACTGGGCTATTGAAGAAGCCATACAGTTTGCTATGAGAGAAATTTTGCCCAGACAGCAGCACTACGGCCTACTCTTATACCGATTTCCAACTGCCAAGGGATCTTTTACATGTACATGGGACCTTGGTTTTTTGTCCTATCTGAATGACTAGACAGCTGTCCTTGTCAGGCCCTCCTTCCTGCATCTTTGACAAGGGGGAACCACGCTGGAAAATCAGGATGAACTTTCTCGACCAATGCAGGAATCGAACACTCACCTCCAGACTAGCGAGCCAGGGTCTTACCCACTTAGCCACTGTGACCCCCCCCTCTCAATATATAGAAAGATAACTAATAGTTTAATTGACCGAATGGTATAAGGTGTGATTTCGACTCTCCGCTTGTGCGTGACAAGGAGTACGGTCGCCTTGTCCAGCCTCCGGTTTCCTCCCACTGCTAGCTAAAGACTGCCCAAGTAAATTATTGAAATTAAATTTAACCATATGTTAGTCCCAAAATGACCTTGTGTCAAGTGGACATTAAACTCCATTTCTCTCTCTCTATACAATAAGAAGTTATTCAACTATTGCCATTATATACAGTGACCTATACTATATAAAACCATTAATTAGGATGATGGGTAATATTAAATATTATAAAAATAATAGACATAGGTGTGTAAAAGGAGCTTAGTTAATAAGAGAGAGAGAGAGAGAGAGAGAGAGAGAGAGATAGAGAGAGGGTTTAACGTCCACTCAACACAAACTAGGTCTGAGGTCATTTCGGGACCAACATAACATTCAATTTAATTTCAATAATACACTTGCTCGTAGGGGTATAGCAGTGGGAGGAAACCGAAGGACCCGGAGAAAACCAATGAGATTGGACAGATGACTCTACTCCTTGTCACGGACAAGTGGGGAATCAAAACTACACCAGTTGATTCAATGATAGATCTTATGACTCAATGTCACACACGCTAACCATTCGGCCATCCAACCCCCCGTGGGTTGCCTACAGGACCGTCATGGGAATAAATGTCTAAATAATAATTTAATAGGAAATTTTAGCTTTTACATAATGCATCTATTAATGAATATTTCACTTAATTAATCACATTAGGTCGAAATAAACCTCTATTAACAAGTCCTTCACATTTTTTTAAATCGTGCGGGAGCCATAAAAAACTCTTTCAAAAAATGAGAAAAAAGCTCCTGTAAAAACACTTCTTAAGGAGAGCCAAATAGTCTTGTTTAATATTTGGTGAGTACGTTTGATGAATATTGTAGCGTCAGAATTATCATCATGAAAACTGATAGCGCGAAAGTATACAGTTTAAAAATAAACAAAAACTGAAAGTAGTTTATTAATCTCAATTTAACTAATTTAGATGAGTCTTTAATTACTTCCGCGAAATCAACTCCTGTTCAATAAAATCCATTGCACAACTAAATATCCCAACAAATAAAAAAGTTTTCTCTTGACAAATGTGACTATTTACTTGTATTTTTGACTGAGTGAAAGATAGCAATACTTTCGTCAAGTGTTAGACGAAAGTAATGCAGCTGTTGCGGGGATGGTTTAATTTTGAGCCGAGCCGAGACTTATAGCTTATTCTTACACCAAACTTGAATTGTCGTAAAATTACCGAAAACTGTGTCGATTTGCTATGCTGTCACCCCTTATACGAAATGATATCTCCGGAAGAGTGACGTAATTAGCTGCCATATTGGTATTTTTCTGTGTCAAAAGTTTGTGGGATTTCAATTTTTCAAGGGAGAACTTTCTTATTCGTTGGGATAATTAGTTGTGCAATGGATTTTATTTAACGGGAGTTGATTTCAAACACACAGGTAAGTTTATAATAACCAAAGTTAAGTAGTTTGTTCATAATCAGGTAAGTTGTTTTAAATTTTAGATGGTTCAGACAGAAGTTATTTCTTTTGACCACAGTTCCTAAGGTAGCATGGTCCACCGACTCCGAGGCTTACCTGTTCATTCAGTAAATGTGATCACCTCAAGACTTCAAGAGCTAAAGGACACTGATCAGATTTCTTTAATAAACATACATTATGCAAGAGCTAAATCTGCCTATTGCAGGTCTTTCTTTAGGCCGAAATGTTATCTAAATTATTAATTAGACATTAATTAAAGGGACTATCCCGATTTGAACAGAGTCTCAAAAATAAAAGTCTGAGTTCGTATGAAATTTAAGCGCCAAAATAATGAGCAATGGTGTATTTACCTTGTCTCAAAATTTTAGCTCAAAATATTGAGTTGTTTGGACGTGAACATCAAAAATGCTTATCTGGACACATAACCCTTTAAAGATTTCTGGTCAATTTTTTCGTTGGGTGATCTGATATTTATAATAAATAGTAAGCGATTAAAGACAACATCTTCTTATGTATGCAGGGCATTCCTTCGCAATTACAATGTTTGAGAAGGATTTGAAGCATAATTATGACAAATTAATTAGTTTGAATATGTTTTTAGTCCATATATATACCATTAAATCACCCAGTTTGTACGCGGGAACCCATCTTTAAGACGCATCGATGTCATCCTTATCAGTGACTGCCCTTTTTAAGGCTAAATATAACTGAACCTGTCCATCACTTACATTATACAAAGGCCTATTTCACATGTAGTGAACCGGTGTTTAAGTAAGGCCTAGCTGGATCGATTCAAAACTATGGGACATAATCTTTGTTTCAGTATCAGTTCCGCTTCATATTTTGGACGCAACTTTGTATTCATTCTGCAAGTTTCCACTTATCTATAGCTAATTCCTAACATAACACTGAGATTTAGCTAACTGACATAAAGATACTGAGTGCTTATCTTTCAAATAAGGCTACCGGATATAAACTGTTTTCTTAATCAACGAAATTCATCATGAATTACGACCATTTCCACAAAACCTGACAGATAAAAATCTGAAACTTTATCACAAAATATCATCAACATAGTCGCGTTCGCCCAGCTGCTTTCTAAGCGCGGCAATTAGATGGTTAGTGCTAAATGATAAGGCCAGCTCAATTGTCGTCATAGGTCACGAGATGTAGACAGAGCTAGCGCTAATCCCAACTCTAACCCTTGATCTAGCCCAAATGCTTACCCTAAGCCTAACCTACAATCTCGGCAACAATCACGTGCTCTAACCAATATTACGTCTCAGCGACCTTGACAAATATTGAACTGGCCTCAACAAAAAGATTTAACTGGAATTAGATGGTATAAAGCGTCTGGATAATAGTTCTATAACAAAAATAAGCACAGATTAATTTGTCGAAACGGAATAATTTCTCACCCGTATTCGGCCAGAACCCGGATTCGAAATGAATGTAAACACACATATTCTTAGCGCCAATAAATACATAATTATCACGAAAATAATTGTTACCTTTATATAAGAAAATGCAAAGTATATATGTAATAGCCCCCCCCCCCCGAAAAAAATAAAAAATAAAATAAAAAATAATAATAAAAAAATACTATTACCGTAAACATACTAAAATATCGCACACTAGGTTAACTGAGCACCCAGAAAAGGGGTACGTCCATTTGCATGAAAAAGCACCGCCGAAACCAGCTTTGGAGCTTTGGTAGCAAAATGTTTTTTTTTATTTCACAGGATCAAGGGAATAATAAACTAATAGACTGCAAAATTCGAGAAGCCTCCTATGTTGGCTTTACGAGATATATTACCGTAAACATACTAAAATATTGGGGAATCGGGTCAGGGTTGGCTCACTGCGCACAAAATAACTTCTAAACTAGCTTTGGTGGGTCCAAGATTGTTATTTCACCAATTCGACAGATGCATAAGGTATAAACATGCCAAATTTCAGTAACTTTCTATGTTGGCGTATCGAGTTATATCATGGCAAATATCCTACAGCCACTGGATTCGAGGCGAGGGTCATGGGTTCAATAAACAAATTGTACGCCCAAGCTGCATCCCAAAGCACCCAAACCAGCTTTGGTGGCAAAATGTTTTTTGTTTCACGGAATCAAGGGATGAATAAACTACTGGAATACAAAAATCCAGAAGCCTCCTATGCTGGCTTTTCGAAATATATTACCGTAAACGTACTAAATATGGGGGAATCGGGTTAGGGTAGGCTCATCGCGTACGAATGAACTACTAAACTAGCTTTGGTGGTTCCAAAATCTTTATTTTCCCAAAGCGACAGATGCTTAATTAAGGTATGAACATGCCAAATTTCATTAGCTTTCTATGTTGGCGTATCGAGTTATACCACTAGAACGACTAGACATCTGTCCTTGTCAGGCCAAAATCTCATATAGTGACTATGTGGGTTAAATAGGTAACAATGATGCATGTTTTTGCATTAGTTTTTATTATAGTTATTCCCAAACAAGCTACGATTGTATTCCAGACTCTAGAAAGTTATAACACATGAGGGCGCTCGTCAAAATGGCCGCCAAAATCATAGATAATCTGTATATATTTTCTAAAAAGCATTTATTATAGGCCAGCAATGGTCACATTTTACATTAATTGTGATTAGAATTATTCACAAAGCATCTTTATTATTATGTACCACACATTTTAAAAAGATGTAAAATGATGAGGGCGCTCTTCAAAATGGCCTCTAACAACTCAGAGAAAAGGATGTGGGGCTGTGTAGGTTAAGAAAAGATTGGTAATGAATTTCTGACTACCACATGGACTATTTATAATTAAGCGTTAACCAAGATTATAATTATGTAAAACTACACTGGGTATAAGTAAGATACGTGTACAGTTATTGATAGCCTGACTTACCCTGGACAATCTCTTTATACCAGATGAATAACAATGTGTATAAGATGTACCACTGGACGAACAGATATATATATATATTTTATTTACATAATTCGCTTGCGCGTAGGGGTCTTTAGCAGTGGGAGGAAACCGGAGGACCCGGAGAAAACCCACGAGGTTGGACAGGCGACCCTACTCCTTGCCACGTACAACCGGGGATCAGATATAGGGAATAGAGGAATATTCAGTCAAATGTTCACAGTCACAATGAAACTATACACCACAACAATCGCTCAATCTCGACTGTACACACCGAGTAGACTTGACTATCGATACAACGATTCGCAATGATTATAGAACTAATAACAAGTGCGGTGTAGGTAAATGCGATCGAACCATTTATACAGAGGCGTACGAGCTAAAGGGGGCGGGGGGGGGGGTGCCCCCCTAACTTTCGGGCAATCTGACTTTCTGAGCAGACAGGTAAAGTGAAAACAAAAACTATTTCATCTAGTTGGACAAATAAATCTAATAAAACACTAAATTTACTTTTCTTTTAATAGAATACCACGAATTTGTACTGAATTGACTATGGATTAAAACATTTTGTGCGACATTTTTCGGGCATCGATTATTATTTGTGAATGCTGCTGCAACAGCGTGATTGGATGGTTGAAATTCAGATCGGCATAGAGTGGGATTTCGGTTACAAACCGATTGGAAAGTTTGAAGTTGCTTAATTCACGGACTAGAATAGCAGAAAAACGCATTTGCGGCGGATAAATTTAGAAAATTTTCTCGGGGACCGCGAAGCTCCCATACCCCGCTATATTGGATCACATGGAACTTGTTGTCTTCAAGGGCTGGAATAGAAGGAATACGCGTTTGCGACAGTTAAATTTGCAAAATTTCTCCCGAGGGTCCCATCTCCGTGGACTGTAAACGATTGATTGGTTGATAGGAATTCGACTCAGCCACCCACGTTACAAGTTGCTGTATTCACTGCCTGGAACAGCAGGAAAACGCGTTAGCGGCCGACAAATTATCTTAGGGCGGGAGGGTGTATGGGGGGGGGGGGGCTTAACGGTACGCTTCGCTCCTTCGCCTCTCGCAGACGACCGGCACCGCCATCTACATAACCCGAATAAGTTTATCTGATATCTCCAGATTAATCTTGATTAAAGACTTCTGGTTATTAAAAAATTTAAAAGTCACGTCATTATCCAAATAAATAATGAATTACACCAACCATATATTTATCGTTGATGTTATACATACGTATACAATTTCACACACCGTCTACTTTATATTATATATACTGGGCGCCATAGAAAACGCATCACTTTTTCCCAAATATTTTATTACTAGGTGGTTTTGTATGTATAATATTATGCAATACTATGAACTATTGTTTCACACAATGCTCCCAAACACAAAAAAATATCGGCCCGTGTGCAAAAAAAAAAAAAAAAATTGCACGAGATGCACAGAAAAAACCCAATATTCACGTGCAGCATTGTGTGTGAGCCCTTTAAAAGCATGTTTTCAACTTAATGTGCAGTACATGAACTGTGAAACGTCAATCTGTCGTAATTTGTTGTTGGACGTGTGAAGGAATCAAGCTAGAGATGCCGAGACTTACTGAAAATCAACGGAATGAAGCCATGGGAATGTCCAGGGCTGGCATGTCTACACGTGCTATTGCCAGACACTTCAATTGTCATCAGTCCACTATTGTAAGGTTGGTGGAACGTGTTCGAGTTACTGAATCAACACGTGATCGTCAACGTCCTGGTCCACAACGCGTTACAACCCAGGCTCAAGACCGCTACATCCGGATCACTCATCTGCGTGACAGATTCCGCCCAGCGACTCGAACAGGTGCAGCAGTCGTCGGAAGACAAGGGCCAGTAAGTGCCAACACCGTAAGACGTCGTCTAAGAGAAGTAGTACTCCGTGCACGACGACCTTATGTTGGAGCTATCCTCAGGGATCATGATCGTCAGCGGCGTTTGATATGGGCCCAAGGACACCAGACATGGATAAGAGTAGACTGGCCGTAAACGTGTGTGGAGACGTCTTGGGGAAAGTCTTGCAGACTGCTGCGTCCTCGCAACAGATCGATGGGGTGGCTGAAGTGTAAAGGTGTGGGGAGGCTTCACATTTCATCACCGGACCGCCCTACACATTTGCAGGGATCGCGTTAATGCTGTAGCCTACCGTGATGATGGCCCGTGGAGGACACACGCGCTACTGACATCTGTGTCGTACTTTTGGTTTTGACCCCTCTGACTTTGTACCCTTGATTGACATCATAGGGAGAATTTCTTTGAAGAGATGTTTAGTAGGTAGCTTAGTCAGTATTTTGGACTTGGGTGGACACTCACCATGTGGTAGGTTATTCCCCTATGATGCCATCAAAGATGGCCACCGACGTTATTTCAATTTTACCCTACCTGCTATAGTTTTCTTTCAATATCTATGAAATAAAAGTCAGAATGAAGCTGGCTGTGTGAATTAAAGTGGAAAATATATTTATTAAACTTTCATTAATTTTTCACGAAAACTCAATACCCAATTTTTAAGTGACAACACGAAAAAAGCTCTAAAATGTAAAAAAAATAACACTTCAAAATTAATTACAATGGTATAACAATAAAAAATTCGTAGACAGCATTCAAAGGGGATTTTTACAAGTTCCATCAGAGTCTTTGACAATCATACAACAAGCCAACAGTGGGGCTGATGTCCCCCGCTGAAATCCCCAAATAAATAGATGACACATATTAATTAATCGCATATCTATTTTTTTTTCAAAAGTATCGAGCAACTGATTATCAACTATACACTCAGTTTCGTCACTCTCTATCAGATAGAATCAAAGTTATCTTGCCGAAAGCATCGACCAAGGAAATTGCTTATCTCTACTTAGCTTTAGCTCGATATGTTAATTATTGAACTCAGTTAAGACGAACATCTACATCAAGTTTTAACATTCTACCTCAATTAGAAGCAGAGTTGTTATGTTCCAAAGTCTTTACCAATCAAAATGCTTATTGCTTCTTAGCCTAAGCAGACGATTCTCATCATCGAACTTAGTCAAAGTATTGATGTAATGAAACTATAGTCTATACACCAAAGTGATTTAAACCTTCGATATGTTACAGTCTTTCTTGTTGGTTGTGGTTTCTGGATCATAAGATTAAAAGTTGCCGGGAAATGATCAGATATTAATTTGTTCAAGACAGAGAGATTATCCAGTTTAATATAACATGGATTAGCTATCACCAGATCGAGAATATGTCCACCGTTATGCGTCGAAGAAGAAACATGTTGTGTGAGAGATCTCTTATTCAGCATATCACAAAAATCAACCGCGGAAGATTCGTTGGAATCATCAACATGAAAATTAAAATCCCCCCAAATAATAGTGCAACACTTCTTCATCATTAACTGGTCCAGAAATAATCCAAATTCTTCCATAAACTTTTGACACAATTTGCTATTGGGCGGGCGGTAAATTGTAATAATCCTAGTCTTCTTGGAGAAAACTGTAGGGAATAATCCAAAATTTCAAAAGCATCAAAACGTTCATGACGGATTTTTTTACACTTGGTTGATGACTTAAATATAAGTGCTACACCTCCTCCACATGAATCTCGAGGGCAATGTTATATAGAATATCCATCAGTTATTCCACAAATATCAATAGAATTTTCAAAAATATAAAAAGATAAAATTGTTGATCTGGCATTAATTAATCCAAACGAAGTTGTTAAAACTGACGCTTCATTTTCGACCGCCTTTCTAAATTGTATAAGATTGTGGTTTATCTTCTGTTTTGTTCTAAAGTTTTTGATCTGTTTGTGATTTTTGATAGAGTTTGGGCTGAGCTGGATGAGATTGCTATGATTAATGTTAATATTCAGTGGATTAGTGTTTAGAGGTTCATATGGTCTGTTGGTGGTGATAACTTTGAAATGTCTTTGATTTCTCCCAATTACTTTATTAATATTAATGTTGTTGTCGTATATATAATCATTCAAAGCGGCTGTTTTATTTTCGACGGGCCATGCTTTCAGACACAATTGTGTGTTGTCTGGGCGTTGATCGATTTGTTCAGAAATTATTGGAATAGAAACAAGATTGCCCCTGTACACTGTTCTGTGTCTTTTTACTGTATCATTTCTAATAGTAATTGGATTTAAAACATTAATCTTTTTAACCCACTGCTTTCCACTCCTCACGCCTCTATTACTATTTTAAACAAAAACACACGCAGGACAAATACACAGCTGCACCCTAGGCGCTTACATAATGTTTTCAATCTAGGCTTCCTAAAATTGGGCCTACATTTTAATGAAAAGGCGATAAATAAATGTTTCTTCGCAATAGTTACATTTAAACAGAAAACACTACTTCGCATAAAAATGTTCCACATGCACGACAATAGAACTGAAATCTATCGCATCATTTATCAACAAATTATAACTTATCAAAAACTGTCATACGATTATTTATGTCTTGCATAATGTATGTTTAATTAAACTAATGTTTACACAAGGGTTGTTTGTTTTCTGGTATAAATCTTGAGTCAACTGGCGTGGTTTCAATTCCTTGGTTGTACGTGACAAGGAATGGGGTCGCCTATCCAACCTCGTAGGATTTCTCAGGGTCCTCAGGTTTCCTCCCACTGCTAAAGACTCTCTCTCTCTCTCTCTCTCTCTCCCCAGCTCATTCATTATCACGGTTAAGAAAGACAGACGAATAGATCATTCAGATAAACAGAATCTGAGGATTTTATCCAGTTTTATCTAGTTTATCCAGTTTTCCGTAATGATGAAAATGTCAAGGCCATGATCTGTTATGTATTCACATAATTCGACAATTTTATATCTTGCGGAAGGGTCTATATTTAATAGACAACACTTTAGTGAGTCAGTGTGGTTAATTATGGATATTTGTATTAGATTATCCTGATATGATGCCTCTGGGATGACTGTTTCATCATTTTGCTGTCTTTGTGTTAATTGCACATTTATTTGTTAACATGTAATTATCATTACTGTTAATTACAGTTGACATCTTTTCTTTCTTAAACATACATTATGCAAGAGCTAAATCTATCTATTGCAGGTCTTTCTTTAGGCCTGAAATGTTATCTAAATTATTAATTAGACATTAATTAATACATCCAGACCATAATCAACTCTAGATGGTTATGCTAGCCTGCGATCTTTAGTGGATTATGAGACGATTTACTGCATAACTTTCCTTCACGATTTAACAATTAAATGGATAACCACGACTCTTCTGTTTATCGTACTGACTTTAGTAATGCTGATCGAGGCTAGGCGGAAATTTCAACCGCTTAGTTCTCGGTTCATAGTGGATCAATTTGAATGAAATTTTCAGCAAATTGCCTTTACATTATTTAGTTTTTAACTAGTATAGTGAGAACTACCAACTCTTTATCCAATCTCACATAATTTATCTTTAATGGTTTGTGTCTCACAATAGATTTTGGGATAGGTTCAAAAAAATTTGTGAAGTTGAATGAAAAGGGTTACGCTGCCCTATCTCACCGAAGTGGTTCTCGGTAAATAATCACACACATACGCAGTAAAGTTGATATCGTTGACTAAGCAACAAATAACTTTTATAAGTTAATATATACATCACTAGCAGATCAAATGCGTCATTTTATATACTTAATGTTTCTTAGTTAAAACTGGCAGTAATCGTGCAGGAGTCATGAACTAGGTGTTATGGCACTAAGGTGTTAAAACTGTGACTATTGAATGGTATTTACCAATATTGCCCAGGTTTGTGAAATGAAATGAAATGAAATGGGGTTTAACGTCCTACTGTTCTGCTTCGAACTGGGCTAATGAAGACGGACATACGCCATACAGTGTGCTACGAGGGAAATTTCGCCCAAACAGCGGCACTACAGCCTACTCTTATATCGAATTCCAACTGTCAATGGATCTTTTACGTGTAAACGGGACCTCGGTTTTTCGTCCCATCCTAACGACTAGACAGCTGTACTTGTCAGCCCCCCCCCCATCACTGATAAGGAGGAACCATTCTTTACTCGTGACGGCTTTTATTTCGATGCACTGCTTGTGACAAACAGCAAATCCTTGCACCTTTGACATTCAGAAATAAATTGGGGTTTAACGCCCTACTGTTCTGCTCCGACTGGGCCTTTGTCATTCAACATTTCACATTAGACTTGTTAAATTGTGAACAACAGACCTAAATACCTAAAGTAAGTGACCCAGAACTTTAAACTATGGACTCCGATATCTTGTCATCATTTGACACACGCACACCGTATTTTCTCCTTCGCCATATGTCCTTTGAATCAAGCCAGTATGCAAATTAGTTCCCAAGCATCCTTTTTAATCAAGAAAGATCTTGCGTGAAAAAAATTTTTTTTTTTTGTAGGAGAACGCCATATTTTTCCAATCTCCCAAGCAGAGTCTTCCCTTGCATTTCGCACTAATCTAATGCTGGTTAGCGAAACTTATGTGGAGAATGCTGCACAGCGAGACTTGTGTGGAGAATGTAACTTTACCTTGATATAAGCGGCTCATGCATTCGGAGTTCCTTGGTTGACCGAATGTTAAAAAACCGGTTATGGCTTGTAAAAACACCAGAAGCCAGTTGAACAGTTCTGGGCTTAAAAGTAGTTGGTTGACCGAGTGTTTAAAAACATCGAACGCGGGTTTGGCTTATAAAAACATACGAGACTAGTTGAACAGTTTTGGGCCCCAGGTGTTTATAAATTTCTAAACGATTGGAGAGGTAAACAGGAGCTAAATTATTTAAACATTTAAAAGTAAGTAATTCGATATTTAACAGGTAACCAGTGTAAATTATATAAAACAGGAGTTATGTGATCACATTTCTTAGTTAAAGTAACAAGTCTAGCTGCATTATTCTTTACCTTTTGTAATTTATCTATAAGCTTTAAAGGTAAACCAGCTTAAAATGAATTAAAATTGTCTGACCGTTGAGTGACCAGAGAATTAACAAGTGACTTAGTGGCCTCTACCGTTAAACATACATTATGCAAGAGCTAAATATGCCTATTGCAGGTCTTTCTTTAGGCCTGAAATGTTATCTAAATTATTAATTATACATTAATTAACACATCCAGACCATAATCAACTCTCGATGTCAACGCTAGCCTGAGATGTTTACTGGATTAGAATCCCATTTGCTGCTCCACTTTCATTCTTGATTTAATCGTGAAATGGATAATCGAGACTATGTTCTCTATCGTACCAAATTTTCGAGGCTAGGTCGAAAATTCAATCGCTAAATTCTCGGTTCAGAGTGGATCAATTTGATTAAAATTTTCAGCAAATTTCCTTGACATTATCTAGTTTGTAACTATTATACGGAGTGATGCCAACTCATTATCTAATCCCCCATAAGATATATTAAAAAGTGTACTTATTGTACCTATATTTCTGATATTAAAATAGCACTGTTCACAAATATTATTTATAAGCATGAAACTATCAAAAGTTGCTCCGATACTACGAGCAGAATAAGACAAAAAAAATGTAACCAATAACTATGGGGGTGGGTGGGGGGGGGGAACGGGTAAGGGTGGTATCATGTGCAAATGTACTTAATTGATGCCTTGAGCCTATAAATAACAGATATTCGATTTTAGAAAGCGTTAACTGACATTACGTTGCTTTCTCAAAATTTCAATTATCCAGACAAAGTGAAACGTAAGACACAAAAGACAGTAATGTAAGTACTTACATTCTAGTACAGTGAAGCGAATATAAGCCGTCTCTTCGCGTTTTTATAAGTACATGTATAAGGGCTTTTGACAGTTTTTGTGGTTCAGCTATTCGCGCAAAGATGATGAGCAAATTCCAAACAATCATCGAAACATGCTTATATTTGTAAATGATCAGCAGACCGAAGTGATGTGTAAATAATTTTAAAAAATAGTAATTACATTTAATGTTCTATGCATCGCCGGATTTAGGTATAGGTTTAGCAAACTCTTCGCCCCCTCAAAAAGACATTTTCAATATATATATTTAAAGTATAAAATATAAAAATAACACCAATTTGCCTCTACACTGATATCAATGGCTTCTTGATGAAATTATATAAAATAACGCCGATTTGCTTCTACATGTTTCAATATAATTTCACCGGGAAGTCATTAAGCAAATCGGTGTTATTTTTATATTTTATACTATAATATATGATACTATACATTAGAACAACCACTTACTACTGCTATATATAGTAAAATTTATGTTGGCGAAATGAAACTACAAATTTTGTGCTAACGTTTTCATAACCGAAGTTGCTCTTCGGGCATTTATTATATCATATATACTTATGTCCAAAAGAAAGTATACACACTAAAAGTATGACCAAGTTTTGTTTAGATTAAAAACATTTGATAAAGCATTACTGAGTTTGTCTCTTCTGTCCAAACTCAACATTTCTAAGCAAAATAAAAATATGAAACAAATTGACATTCTACCCAAATACCGTATACCATGAAAAAAACGACTTTGGTTGATGCAGTACAAAATGCACAGTGTATACTTTCTTTTGGACATTAGTATATATATATTATATATCATGCATGTGTAAGCAATGTTTGTGCGGTTGTGTACACTTGTAATTGCTATATTTATTCCCATCCTATTTCTTTAATATTTGTCTATACATCGTTAAATATGATACTTATATTTTTCTACGTTTCATTAAACAGAAGAACTAGTAAACAACTTGTACAGTTTGAAAACACATGATGTCAAGTGACAGAAAAATACAGGTAAAATTCATATGGACTTTTGGAGACAGCTGTTGCTGTTCTTCTTCTTGGTCTTTAACGTCCGTTTCCACCGAGGTTGATATCGCAGACATGTTATTTTATTTTCAATTTTATTTGTTTAGCACACACGCAGAGGTCTGTCCTGTGGGAAGAAACCGGAGTACCCGGCGTAAACCCGCGAGGTTGAGAAGGCGCCCCTATCTCCAATCCGCATAAGCTCACACCAAGAATCGAAATCGCAAGACAGAGGTAACCGGCGAAGCGCGACATTCTAGACCACAAGGCCACCCCATCCCCCTAGACAAATGGTGGATTTATACTTTATTTTAGATACCATGGTTTACTCAGGGCTTTCACTTCACTATTTAGCTGGTCGGTCAATCGGATTAGCAAAATATTTTGATTTCTAAGAATATCGCGATTTTTTGCGTTAACTCAAAATTTTCCAAAGATTCTATAGTTTTTTTCAATGTTAAATTCGTTGAAGTTCTTTATCATGGCATCTGATATGCCGAGTTTTCCAACCAGTCAATTTCATTGCCAGTCAGTCAGTCAATTTCATTGCCATTCAGTTCAATTTACTGCCAGTCAGTCAAGGCAGGCGAATATGACTGAAACAAGAATCCTGGTCTCAATAATTGAATGGAAGTTGATTATTAAACTTGTAGTATCTATCGCTTAAAACCTGCATCGCATCATCGTTCGGATAGGACCAAAAACAGAGGCCACACGTTGAAGCCAATACGTTGAATCTCTAAATGGAATATCATTCCTAATTTTTATTTACAAAGGGGTGGGGTGGGGTCGAATGGTTAGCGCGTGCGCGATGTATCATAAGGCCTGTCATTGAGTCAACTGGCGTGGTTTCGATTTCCCGGTTGCACGCAAAAAGGAATAGGGTCACCTGTCGAACCTCGTGGGTTTTCTCTAGGTTCACCGGTTTCCTTCCACTGCTAAAGACCCCTACGCGCAAGAGAATTATTGAAATAAAATTGAACCATATGTTAGTCCCGAGTGGACGTTAAACCCCATTTTTCTCTCTCCCTTTCGTTATTTACAAAGATATGGTGGAGTTAAAATTTCGTAAATTCTGCCAAGTGTTCGGTAAAATCTTTGGCGAATTATTGAAATAAAATTAAACCATATGTTAGTCCCGAAATGACCTAGTTTGTGTCGAGTGGACGTTAAACCCCATTTCTCTCTCTCTCTTAATGTTAAATAACCAATTTAAACATGCATTATGCAAGAGCAAAATCTGCTTATTACAAGTCTTTCTTTAGGCCTGAAATGTTATCTAAATTATCAATTAGACATTAATTAACTTATCCAGACCATAATAAACTCTCGATGTCAAGGCTAGCCTTCGATGTTGGTTGGATTAGATTCCTATATGCAGCTAACGGCCATTGATAATTAAATAAAAAAAGTGGATAATCGAGACTATGCTGTAAATATTAATGATTTTAGTAATGATGACCGAGACTATGCAAAAATTTCACCCGTTCTTTCTCGGCTAATAGTGGATCAATTTGACTGAAATTTTCAGTAAATTACCTTTACACTATCTAGTTTTTAACTATTATAGCGAGAACTGCCATCTCTTTATCTTATCTCCCATAATGCATCTTTAAGTAAATTTAAACGTAGACTGTAGCACACACATCAGAATAACCGCGTGTAATTATTACAGTATCTCGTGTTCTAATTATTCAATAATGGTTAAATAATTCACGGGGTATTTTGTCCAGAACGAGACTGGGTAAAAATGCCTTGTTTACTAAACGTAGTTTTTTTTCAAGATAATTATTAGCGGTATTTGCTATCAACAAATAGAGCCACAAAAATAATGTTCAAACCATCACGTGACAAATTGCAGATCTACAAATTAGATTATTTATTGGTTTATTGATATGGTTCATTTTTATACTATGTATATTAAAACGCTTCCCAAGCAGGTGTGGATGTCCGAATGGTTAGTATCATAAGGTCTCTCATTGAGTCAACTGGCGTGGATTCGATTCCCCGGTTGCACGTGACAAGGAGTTGGGTCGCCTGTCCAACCCCGTGGGTTTTCTGCGGTTCCTACGGTTTCCTCAGACTGCTAAAGACCCCTACGCGAATTAATGAAAAAAATTGAACCATATGTTTTGTCGTGTGGACGTTAAACCCATCTCTCTCTCTCTCTCTCTCTCTCTCTCTCTCTCTCTCTCTCTCGGTATGAAGTTACATATCGGTCCTATGTATATTTGCGGGGTCACGGTAGCTATGTGGGTAAGACGCTGACTCGCTAGCTTGGAGGTCGGGTGTTCGATCCCTGCATTGGCCGAGAAAGTTCATCCAGTTTTTTCCGGCTGTCTAGTCATTCGGATGGAACAAGAAACCGAAGTACCGTGTACATATTGGCGTGCACGAAAAAGATGCCTTGACAGTTGCAATTCTATATAAGAGTAGACTGTAGTGCAGTTGTCCGGGCAAGATTCCATCATATAACACTGTGTGGCGTGTGCCTGTCTTCATTAGCCCAGTTCGGAGTAGAACGTTAAACCCCATTTCATTTCATTTTCTTATCGTCACGTATCTTTATTATGGTACTGCTTGTGAACTATAAATATATCAGCCATCGCATTTTCCATAACTTCAGTGGCATATGCTTGTCAAAACGGTACAATAATATTGGGATTGGACGCCCTACAAATCACTAAAAGTATAACAATTGTTTGTTGAACAAGTGTCACTAATGAAAGGTTTTTTCCCAATGCAGCAAATTCTAATGTGTCCAAATCGCAAAACCTACTGGGCTAGTTTCTTCTGTTGCATTTAAGTTATTATTTTTTAAAATATATTCAAGAATACGTCTTTTACAAATTTGAATATAGCCACAAATAAATGATTATTTTGATACTCACTGTCATGCATTTAATTATAACCACAAATAAAACACACTGTCAACTACGATGCTAAGATGGGTTATTATTGGTTTGTATATAAAAGGGTTAGTTCCAGTGATTTGATAACTAAAAGGAGACTAGAACCTGGACCAGACACCTAAGCCAAATGCAATCAATATCGCTACATAAACTTATTGATTATTTGAATATATCAAACTGAATTTGACATAAAGTTTTACAAGTATTTACATGTATTTTGTTAAATTAACACAACAATATGTTACCAACCCATGTACTTTGGTTCTGTTTACGTCCACGTTGAATCATACTCGTGAAATTGTCCATACAGAATTTCAATTATTATTTCAGAATTTAATTTTTGAAATTAGGACGATAAACACCATCTCTTTTTTATTTCTAGAAAGAAAGAAATTGCCTTCTATAAAACTAACAGGGACTTCTTTCACGACACAAATTTTTCTAAAATTAATTAAGTTCTGTATAGTAGATAAAATATTTAAGATTATATCCTGTATTACGAAACCACGCCAGTTGACTTAATGACAGATCTTATGATACAGCCTGCACACGCTAACCATTCGACCCCCCTACCGCTCACTTGGGAAGCGTTTATTACACACGATGTAGTAAACCATAATAATGAATCACATCATGTCCAAATAAATAATCTAATTTGTAGATCTGCAGTTTGTCATGTGATGGTCGGAATATTATCCGTGTGGCTCTTTTTGTTGATAACACATACTCCTGACAAACGTGGTATTTTCTTTTACCACGTTACAACGTGGCAAAAATGTGGTAAAAATTTTAACACGTTTTTTCCACGTTTGGACAAAAATGCCGAACGAGGCATTCTGAAGTTTATTAATTCTAAAAGCGTGAAAAATTAGACATTGGTCGAAAAATTTACGATCGTTATATGTAACTTTAATGTTCTACATGAAAGTTTTACACATTTCACAAAGAAAAGTAATTAGTATATTTATTTATATTTACAGTTTTGCAGTAAAGGAGGTGTAGCTACTGATGTGGCAATTTGTTCAGAAATTGGGGCGTCCATTCTACAAAATGGTGGTAATGCTGTTGACGCTGCAGTCGCTTCATGTTTTTGTCTGGGCGTTATAAATTCACATTCTTCAGGATTAGGCGGGTTGGTAGATATTTTAATTATGTTCAGGGTTCGGGCTGGGGTTGGGGTGAGTCAGGGTAGGGTGTGTGCCAGGGTGTAGCAATTTACTGATGTCTATTTCCTCTTATGTAGTAATTATCTCGTGTATAGTAATTCCCCTCACGTCTATGTCCTCTTGTATAGTAATTCATTCAAGTATAGTAATTCACTCATGTCTATTTCCCCTTGCATAGTAATGTATAGTAATTATCTCATGTATAGTAATTATCCCATATCTATTTCCTCTTGTATAGTAATTAACTCATGTATAGTAATTCCCTCATGTCTATTTTCTCTTGTATAGTAATGTATAGTAATTATTTCATGTATAGTAATTATCTCATGTAAAGCAATTCTCTCATGTTTTACATAATAATTATCTCGGGTATAGTAATTCCCTCGTGTCTATTTCCTCTTCTATAGTAATTCTCTTATGTATAGCAATTCCCTCATGTATAGTAATTTCCTCGCGTATATTTCCCCATGGATATGTTGAATTTAATATCACATACTTTCAGTGGTGGTTTTATGATTGTTCAAGACCAGAAAACACAGAAATCCTGCGGTTACGATTTCCGTGAAGCCGCACCTATAAGATCTTCAACGGATATGTTTTGTAGCAAAGACGACTGTGTTTATAGTGTAAGATATTAACATTTTTATGTCATCAATTATTTAATTATTTTATTAGTTTATTTATAAAACAGGGTAGTATACCTGTAGATATTATATATTATATAATTACAGATTGGTTAATCAGTTGATATTATATAATATATACTATTCCAAAAAAGTAGGGGATATTTGATTTTGGGGGCATAATACTAAAATATGCAAATGACTACGAAAAAAGTCACTATAGAACCTAACAGAAGAAACATTTCCAGTTACATGTGACGCCCAAACGCACCAATAGCTACCGCATGGAATGCAGGTGATGCTTGGGATCATCATGGGGGTCCAACCCAAGATTTGCACGACTCTGACTTTGAATGTTACAGTCATTGTGGCATTTAATTCCAGGGTGGAAACATCAGTTTAATTGTTTTAGTGACCAGAAAACAAATTTTGATATGCGTCGGCTTACCCAAAATGAAAGGTTACGTGCCCTTGGCATGCTACAGATCGGCACAACACAGGCGGTTGTGGCGCGGACGATGAATGTTTCTCAGTCTGTCATAAGCAGGCTATGGTCCAGATACCGTGATACACAATCTGTACAGGACAGACCACGCTCAGGTCGACATGGGGCGACAACTCAAGCCCAGGATCGATTTATCCGTACCTTGGCCTTGAGAAATCGTGTCATCACAGCAAATCAGATCAGCGCTCGTCTTCAAACAGACACTGGTGTGAGAGTGAGTGGCCAGACGATTCGGAATCGACTGCATAGGGGTCACCTTCGCGCCCGACGTCCTCGCGTGATCCCTTGTTTGAGAGATCATCACATTCAGGCAAGACGTCGTTGGTGTAGGGATCGTCAACACTAGGATAATCGACGCTGGAGCAATGTGATGTTTTCAGATGAGTCAAGGTTCACTGTTGATTTTTTGGACAGACGTAGGAGGGTGTGGCGTCGTCGAAACGAGCGCTTCCAAGACGTTAACGTCATCAGACATGATCGATTTGGGGGTGGTTCTGTTATGGTGTGGGGAGGCATCACTGTTGCTGGAAGAACGGCTTTACATGTTGTTGCAGGGCGTGTTACAGGCCAGTACTACCGGGACAACATCTTGGCAGTCCATGTTGTGCCGTTCGCACGACGTCATGGCCGCCGTTTCATCTTCCAGGATGACAACGCAAGATGTCACAGAGCCAGGATCGTTACAGGTTACCTCCAACAACAGAACATCACCACATTACCTGAGTCCCGACCTCTCCCCCATCGAGCATGTCTGGGACATGCTTGGACAGAGGTAACGTCAACGTCAACAACGTCAACAACGTCCTGCCAATGTCCAAGAACTTGCTGCTGCGTTGCAACAGGAATGGGACAATCTGGACCAAAATGACCTTAGACGTCTCATTAGGAGTATGCCACGTCGGATCAATGCTTGTTTGGCAAACAGAGGAGGATTTACCCGTTACTGACTTGGTTGTGATGCTGTGGTAACTTTGCTGTTTGACCCCGGGTATCATTTTACCCTTAAGATGGTCAGTCTGTGCCTTACTTAGTCTAACGATCATTTGGAATAAATCGATGAATGTGAACTTCATTTCATTTTGTCATTTGTTTCTTCGTCAGTTTCATTAGGTGACTTTAATAACACTTAAAAATCAAATATCCCCTACTTTTTTTGAATAGTATATATTTACAGTGTAGATGTTATATAATTACAGACATTATATAATTATAATGTGGTTATCAGTAGATATTATATGTATTTATAATTACAGAGTTGTGTATCAGTTAATATTATATATCTATAATTACAGTGTGGTTTATCTGTAGATATATCTTTGAATATAATTATATAATTACAGAGTGGTTTATCAATAGGAGTACCTGGGGAAGTAAAAGGTTTGGAAGCTGCTCATAAGGCACATGGCAGGTAGGTGAATTTATAAACATATCATTCTTAATTCTGGTGCTTAGTAAAATTTGCCATAATAATGTTTTGGGTGGTTTTGTTGAAATGTTTTTGTTGAAGACTATTAATGGGAATGTAAATATATTGAACTTATTTCCTGAAGCAAGAAGGCAACTACTTCTAGTTTCTCAATTCTGACCCAAATTAAAATGCCCGACAGACAATATTTTGAAAGAGAAATCCAGGTTGTATTTCTATATAATTGATTATATCAGGTTAAAATGGTGTCAGGTAGTTAGACCAGCAGCAGACATGGCCAGAAAAGGATTTACTATGACAGAAAGTCAAGGCAAGTTAATTTCGTCTATTATCTATACGGCAGCCACATTTTTGTTCCGTAATAGCTGTGGTCTAACGTGCATGTAAACGATCCATTGACAGATGAAACTCTTAATACTAGTTATCCGTTGAACAGCTGCCTAGGCAAAATTTGCCTGTTTTCAGGGCGCATTGGGTGCAGATTAATTGGACCTTAGAATCAATTCATTTCATTTACCCAATAGATACATCATTGGAAACGGAAAGTATGTTTAATCCACAGTTACCATATTTTCTATCTTTTAATTTACAGCTAATTCATTGAAAACTAAAGTCGATCCAACTAAGTTCGAAGGCAAGCTTAAGGAAGTGTTTGTTCCAGGTGGTGTGGTATTACAGGCTGGTGATTTTATACGACGCCCAGATTTAGCTGATACATTGGACGTAATTGCAAAACAGGGATCTGATGCACTTTATTTAGGACAAATAGCTGATACTATAATACAAGCTGTAAGTAAATAGCTGATACTATAATACAAGCTGTAAGTAAATAGCTTTTACTATAATTACAAGCTGTAAGTAAATAGCTGATATTATAATACAAGCTGTAAGTAAATAGCTGATACTATATTACAAGTTGTGGTTTTATTGTATTCTTTGCATTCCATACATTTGTATTCCTATCAACTGCTCTTATTCGGCCTTCTGCGATATTCCGTTTCGGCGCCCGACCCCTTCCTAATAGCCCTGTTAACATATTAGAGACTACGGTTTTTAACAGATGTTTTTTTTTAAAATGTAATGCGAAGCACTGGGACTGAGAAGATTAATTCTATGTTTTGTTGGTTGAAGCTACTGCTTTTATTATAAGTTTTAATGCTATGTTATGTAGGTTGTTGATGCTGTTAGGATTTTAATTTGTTATGGTATATCTTGTAGTTTGAAGATGCTGGTGGTATTTTAAGTATTAATGTCATGTTTTGTAGGTTGCTGATGCTGCTTGTATTTTAAATATTAATGCTATGTTTTGTAGTTTGAAGATGCTTGTGGTATTTTAAGTTGTTATGCTATGTTTTATCGGTTGGGGATGCTGCTGGTATTAATGCTATATTTTCTAGGTTGAAGAAGTCAGTGGTATTCTATCGGTTGACGATGCTGCTGGTATTTTAAGTATTTTAATATGCTATGCTGTGTAGGTTGAAGATGCTGCTGGTATTTTAAGTATTAATGCTATATTGTGTAGGTTGACGATGCTGCTGGTATTATAAGTATTAATGCTATACTGTGTAGGTTGAAGATGCTGCTGATAGTTTAAATATTAATTCTATGTTTTCTAGGTTGAAGAAGCTGGCGGTATTTTAAGTATGGAAGATTTACAACAATATAAAGTTATAGAACGTGATATAATACAAACAGAATTTAACGGTAACGATTTTGTCTATCTATCCCCTTGTTGTCAGTAATTATACTCGCAGAATGATCATTTTAAAAGATATGGCCTTTGTCGCCAGTACTAAGTCCTTAATGCTATAATTTAAAACTTAGTGTGACGGTAAGCAAGAACCATAGCCAATTCCCCAAATTTCTAATTGTAAAGGTCAAAGTTGTTTTCCAGAGTTACCTATCCGTTTACATTTTGACAAAAGCTTGCAAAAGTGCTCATTGGAACCTTTGGATTTTTTAATTGATAATATCTTTGTTGAATTTGGAGGGGAAATTTATCAGCAAGTGGTAGGTATCCCCATGGGCACCAACTGTGCACCTTTGCTTGCTGATTTGTTTCTCTATTCCTACGAAGCCGATTACATACAGGCACTCGTAAAATCCAATAAACGATTAGTCAGACATTTTAATTTCACTTATCGATATATCGATGATGTACTATCACTGAATAATCCAAAATTTAGTGATTATGTAGAATTCATATATCCTGATGAGCTCGAAATTAAAAACACTACTGACAGTGACAATTACGCTTCCTACTGGGATCTGCGTCTCGATTTTGACAATTGCCATAAACTTAGTGTTAAATTGTACGATAAACGTGATGACTTTGACTTTCCAATTGTTAACTTTCCATTTATTAGTAGTAACATTCCAATATCACCAGCTTATGGAGTGTTTGTGTCTCAACTAATTCGTTACGCGAGAGCTTGTTCATTTTATTCTGATTTTTTAAGTAGATCGAGGCATTTGTCATCTAAGCTTCAACTACAGGGATATTTGCGAACTAAACTTATTAAAACCTTTAAAAAGTTTTATGGGCGTCATATTGACTTGATTGGTAAATATAACATGTCTCTCTCAGCTATTATTCTAGATATATTTAATTGACGTGTATACAATCTCCCTGATAATATCTGTCTACTACATCGTTAACACTGTTCATCACGTGCATTTTGCATACCGATAGTCCATTGGCCAATCACGCTATTTTACCGAGATTTCGCCTAATAGTTTGGATGCAGCTATGGCGGGTGTGGCGTCAGGCAGGGTAAGCTTACTCTTCCGGACACCTGTTACCACTGTTTGTCGTGTATTTTGTACACGGTGAACAGTCCATATGCTGATTACACTATTTTGCCTTATTACACTATTTTGCCTATACCGTTTTTGTTTTTTAGGACTTCGAATTTTGTCTAATGGTTTGGATTGTTCGTACTTGGTTTTATTTTATTTGTGAAATTATTCACGCTGGGCATAAGCGGGAACCCTAATATTAATCTTAAGAATTTGTCATCGTAACTCATGGAGTTGTCATACGCATTTGAAAGGTTTTGCACCTGATACAGGTGACAATTCTCTATGGATCTATAAACACTCTTAATAGGAGCTTTTTAAACTTGCTCAGCTGGATTTGTTGACATTGATTTTAGAGCAAGCATGTGGTACTTTGCTATTGATTAGCGTATTATGGGACCTGCAAAACCCCGGGCGATATTGTTTATATTTTGTTTCATGATTATATGTAGATTGTTTTGTTTGTATATAATATTTCAGGCGGTTATGTTAGTACAACTCAAGCACCGTCAAGTGGACCAATTTTGTTATTATTGATAAATTTACTGGAAGGATTTAACTGGACTCCTGCATCAGTCAGTGACCCTAAAACATATCACCAGATGATTGAGGTGAGTAAAACATACCTGATTATTGTAATAAGTAAAACATAACATTGCATGATTGTAATAAATTAAACATAACATTGCATGATTGTAATAAATTAAACATAACATTACATGATTGTAATAAATTAAACATAACATTACATGATTGTAATAAATTAAACATAACATTACATGATTGTAATAAATTAAACATAACATTGCATGATTGTAATAAATTAAACATAACATTACATGATTGTAATAAACATTGCATGATTGTAATAAATTAAACATAACATTACATGCTTGTAATAAATTAAACATAACATTACATGATTGTAATAAATTAAACATAACATTACATGATTGTAATAAATTAAACATAACATTACATGATTGTAATAAATTAAACATAACATTACATGATTGTAATAAATTAAACATAACATTACATGATTGTAATAAATTAAACATAACATTACATGATTGTAATAAATTAAACACATACCGATCTGATTAAAATACAGATCTATATTTCGTTTCGTTTTTTTTTATACTATCGATGGCCTACACTACATGAAGATCTGACCGGTTGTACTAGAAGGTCGCGTCAGGGGTCGTACGGGCGACTTTTGAGCCTATGACGTCAGATATTGATTAATCAATCAGCGTTGACGTTTCTAGTGGTTTACCCACAGTTCCGTGCATCGTACGCCAAGAACTCGCCGTAACAGACCGTTTCATTGGCTAATCCCCCACTTCAACCAGAACGCCGGTAATATTACAACTCTTCCAGATCTTAGTGTAGTAAAGACACGTAGAACGAAATTTTGAACTATAAGAAACGAAACGAAATAGGGTCTGTGTTTTAATCATATTGACGGATTGTAACGCATACCATCAACGTATTGTAATTAGTAGAACATACGTTACGTGATTGTAATCGGTAGTGCAATACGTGATTTTAATTAGTAAAACATACTATCAAATGGTTTAATTAGTAACAAATACAACAATCAAGGTATTGTAATTAGTAGAACATTACATCTTTTTTCGTTTGTATTTTCATGTATAATTTTACTGTATTAAAACAGTTAATTGTCTTGTGTTTCCAGGCTTTTAAGTTTGCGTTTGCTCATCTTGGTGATTTGGGTGACCCAACGTTTAACTCTACAGCAGTCAATAATAAATTGTTACAAATAATCAGGTGAATTCTAACTCTTTATTTATTTTAGTGATACTATGACTTGGAACCGATGTTACCCTAGATGTAGTTAAATATTACCACATCCACAGCCTAAAATTAATGCTATCAGAATGGGACCATGTAACTTCTTGAGTACCAGTAACGACTCTCTTTATTTGTTTCAAACATACCAGAATGTATAGGACGACCACACTAAACAAAACATTCATGTTTTTATTGAGAATATATTATGGGCTATAATTCATATTTCAGTAAGTGATATAGTAATACTACATGAGTAAAGAATATGGTTATACTATATGGGTTATTATTTATATTTTCAATAAAGAATATAATAATACTATAATATGAGTTATTATTTATATTTTCAGTATAATATTCGTTATGGGTTATTCTTTATGGGTTATTATTTATATTTTCAATAAAGAATATAGTAATACTATATGAGTTATTATTTTAATTTTCAGTAAAGAATACAGTAATAATTTATGAATAATTATGTATATTTTCAGTAAAGAATATGCTAATACTCTACATAGTAAAATAGATAACCAAAGTCACCCTGCGGAGTATTATAGTGCCAAGTATGAACCTGTTGAGAATGGTGGTACTACACATATTTCTGTAGTTGATGCAGATGATTTGGCTGTGTCTTTAACAACGTAAGTCTAAATTTGTGTCTCCTTCATTAATTACAGAACATCTGTGTTAATACATTGTCAGACTCACCCTTTGTATTCTGAGACTAAGTATGAAGGGCGGTGAATGTTGCCTAAATAGTGGTGTTCCTACCATCTATCCATAAAATGCCAACTATTAAAGATACATTATGGGAGATTCGATAACGAGTTGGCAGTTCACACTATAAGCTTGAAAAATCGCAAGGCTTATTCCTAGTGAACAAAAAAACTCATCAAATTGGAGAACTCTAGTTTGAACACATTGAACGTATAATCACTTACTTACAGAAGTAACTGGCTAATAATTTTAGTGGTGTATCATTTCTATGTTTTGTAGAAGTGTAAATCTTTGGTTTGGCGCCCAAATTATGACATCATCTGGTATCATATTAAATAATAGTATGGCTGATTTTAGTAACCCGTCTCTCCCTTCATTGTATAATCTACCACCTAATCCAGTAAGTGTTATCGTCAAAGTTTTTTTTTATCTTTAGTTCTAAAATTATTGTTTTACCTCCTAATCTAACAAGTTATTAGTTTCACCACCTTATCCAGTAATCTAGTAAAATATTTGCACCACCGAATCCAGTAATCTAGTAAGTTATTTGTAACACCTAATCCAGTAATCTGGTAAGTTACTTGCACAACATAATCCAGTAATCTATAAATTATGCACCACCGAATCCGGTAATCTAGTAAGTTATTTGCACCACCCAATCCAGTAATCTAGAAAATTGTTTGCACCACCCATTCGGTCATCCAACGCCCCTACCCCCAGTAATCTAGTACGTTACTTACATCAAATAATCTAGTAATCTAGTAAGTTATACTTACATCACTAACTCTAGTAATCTAGTATTTGCACCACCAAATCCGGTAATCTAGTAAGTTATTTGCACCACCTACGTTATTTACGCCACTTACTTCAGTGATCGTGTACCTTATTTGCACCACCTGATTCAATGATCTAGTAAGTTATTTTCACCAGCTAATATAGTAATCTAGTAAGTTATACTTACATTACCAATTCCAGTAATCTAGTATTTGCACCTTATCCAGTAATCTAGTAAGTTATTTGTTCCACCTACTCCAGTAATTTAGTAAGTTATTTGTGCCACCTACTCCAGTAATTTAATAAGTTATATTTGCACCACCTAATATAGTAATCTAGTAAGTTATTTGCACCACCTAATATAGTAACCTAGTAAGTTATTTGCAGCACCTAATCCACCGAGTTATTATTTGTGCCCCGTTAATAGCCTACAATCCACATGAGTGTTCGACATTAAATCTAAAGCCCAGTGAAAATAACTGACATAGAAAATACCACAAAACGATTTGAAGTGGCCCAAAATATATGCTTTGTTTAATTGGTAGTCATGTATATTGCTATATCAGTAATAAATTTAATTTTATTTTTATAATCAGAATAATCTACTAATAGCAGGCAAACGGCCCCTGTCATCGATGGCACCAACTATAGTCTCTAATAAGAATAAAATCATGGCTATTGGGGCTTCTGGTGGCTCAAGAATTATATCAGGTAAACCTTTAAACCTAGATTAGGTTTTATTGCAATCAAAATGAAATGAAATGGGGTTTAGAGAGATAGGGATATGGGGTTTAACGTCCACGTGACACAAACTAGATCATTTCGGGACTAATATATTGTTCAGTTTTATTTCAATAATTCGCTTGCGCGTAGGGGTCTTTAGGAATGGAAGGAAACATGAGGACCCAGAAAAAAACCTTGGGGTTAGACAGGCGACCTTAATCCTTAACTCGCACATGCAGGGAATCGAATCCACGCCACTTGACTAAATAACAGTGGGGGGTTGGATGGCGTGGTTTCGATTCCCCAGTTGTACGTGACAAGGAGTAGGGTCGCCTGTCCAACCTCGTGGGTTTTCTCCGGGTCCTCCGGTTTCCTCCCACTGCTAAAGCGAATTATTGAAATAAAATTAAACCATACGTTAGTCCCGAAATGACCTAGTTTGTGTCGAGTGGACGTTAAACCCCATTTATTTCTCTTTCCTTGACTAAATAACAGACCTTATGATACAACCCCACGCTTGAACCATTCGGTCAACCAAGCCCCAGAAATGGGATTTTACGCCATATTGTTCTGCACCAACTGAAATAATTAAGACAGCCATTCTGTGCGCTGTGAGGGATATATTCTGTCCGGATATTTGATTATGTGATCTATTTGATTTCTATGATAATGTGTAATGCTAGGGAGGAGAATTTTTCCCGGACAATGGCGTTTCTATTTAGTCTTTATAGAATTCGAACTATCAAGGAATGTTTAACGTGCACGCCAACATGTCGACGGCAAATGGTTTGTCGTCTCGTCTGCTCAAAATCGGCGTGTTATTTCCTCTGGAAAAATATTGATAATGGATTTGTACCAGTAAATTAAGCTGTCTATCAAACTTTTGGTGGCTCAGTGGGTAAGGTAGGGTTCGCTAAATCAGGGATGGGAGTCGCGTTCGCTCCCGGTTATTCCGGGAAAGATCCATGAGCAAGAACATGCCTGATTAGTAACAGCGTCTAGTCGGTTACTTGACACAATTATCCGGTGCCTTGTCTATTAACGTTGGAATTCGACATGATAGTAGGCCTTTGTGTCTCTATACCTGGTCAAGATTTCTCTCGTAGCACGCAGCATTTCATATGCTCGTCTTTATTATCCGAGTCGGTGCAGAGGAGTTGAACTTGAAACCCCCATTCCATTTCATTTCATTTCTTTTGTCAGCCTGTATTTTTTTTTTGCTATATGGAGTATATAATCCTAAGATCTAAACCTATCCAGTTAACCCTAATTCGTACCAGATATAAACTTAACCAGTTAACCCTAATTAGTACCGGATCTAAACCTAACCAGTTCACTGTAATTAGTACCAGATTTAAATCTAGCCAGTTCACTGTAATTAGTACCAGATTTAAATCTAACCAGTTCACTGTAATTAGTACCAGATATAAATCTATCCAGTTAACCCTAATTCGTACCAGATATAAATCTAACCAGTTCACCCTAATTAGTACCGGATATAAATCTAACCAGTTCAGACTAATTAGTACCTGATATAAATCTAACCAGTTCACCACAATTAGTACCGGATCTAAACTTAACCAGTTCACCCTAATTAGTACCAGATATAAATCTAACCAGTTAACCATAATTCGTACCAGATATAAATCTAACCATTTCACCCTAATTAGTACCAGATCTATACCTATCCAGTTCAACTTAATTAGTACCAAATCTAAACCTATCCAGTTAACCCTAACTAGTACCAGATCTAAACATAACCAGTTCACCCCAATTAGCACCAGACATAAACCTAACCAGTTAACCATAATTCGTACCAGATATAAATCTAACCAGTTCAACTTAATTAGTACCAGATCTAAACCTAACCAGTTAACCTTAGTTAGGACCGTATCTTGCATGATAACCACCCTTTTCTTTTCAAACCACCCTTTACCTTTCTTTTTCCTTTGAAGGTGTAGCAGAAGTTATAGCTAATGTGATGCTTTTTGATTTAAATTTAACACCTGCTATAGATAAACCAAGGTTACATCATCAACTTTATCCCGAATTTACTGAGTGCGAAGGTAATACACGACAATGTATTAATCATTATATACCATTAGTTAACCCATGGTGTCTATATAATTAGTCAACGCATGCAGGAAAGCTTGGTGGGTAAGACTCGCTAACCTGGTAGTCCCGTGTTCGACCTTTGCGTTGGCTGAAAAAATTCATCGGGGTGTCCGGTGTGGTTCATCTCTGTCATTGGTGCAGGGCCGAGGGCCCGTGTACACATTGGCGTGCGCGTAAAAGATCCCTTGGCAATTGGAAATCGATATAAGTGTATACGGTAGCGCCGCTGTCCGAGCAAAATTTCTCTCACAGCACACTGTATGGTGTATGCCCGTCTTCATTAGCACAGTCGGTGCAGAACAGTAGGACGTGAAGCACCATTTCAGTTCATTTTCAACATAGGGAATGGGATTTAACGCCTTTCTGTTCTGCAGCAACAAAGCTAATGACGTTCCAAAAAACCCACCAAAAACCCTCCCTTCCATAACTCGTACCACCCGAAAATAAAGTTCTGACCCATATGATCTCAGGGTGCTGAGAAACAGAGCGGCTCAAGTACGTGAATAGCTGTGAATTAAACGATCGTCTGCAGGAGCGGATAGGACCTCGGACCGTCGGTCAGGGGCCCATCGGCCCCCTTTTTAAAACAAATTTGACATATTTTTTTCTCCAAGTATACCAGTTGATCTGAGGAACCATGGCCATATTGGGGGGGGGGTGGATTGCCGAATGGTTAGCACGCGCGTGCTGTATCATACGGTCTGTCATTGAGTCAACTGGCGGGGTTTCGATTCCCCGGTTGTACGTTACAAGGAGTAGGGTCGCCTGTCCAACCTCGTGAGTTTTCTCCGGATCCTCCGGTTTCCTCCCACTGCTAAAGACCCCTACGCGCAAGCGAATTATTGAAATAAAAAAATTAAACCATATGCTAGTCCCGAAATGACACAGTTTGTGTTGAGTGGACGTTAAACCCCACCCCTCTCTCTCTCTCGCTCTCTCTCTCTATCTCTCTCTGGGCTATAATGCCAACCCCTGGTTCTGTGGATCGGAAGGTTCAGTGGGTCTAACGAGCTGTTTTGAGAATCAGCTACAAAACTGAATGTGGATTTTTTTTTAAATTTTAAATGCGAATATCCAAAATGGCATATAACATCAACTTAACATAGTTAGATGATGTTGTGATTCTCCCATGACGTAAGGGATATGTGTGTGTGTGTGTGTTGGGGGGGGGGGATTGGGATAATTTTACAACCAAAATATATATTTTAAGACTTTTATAGAAAACTTGACTCCCAATACTCTGCTACATGACTCCCAATACTCTGCTTTAAACCCACTGAACCACCCAATGCCTATTTATATACCGTCTTCTGTTTCGGGCTATTTTTAAATTGTGTGTTTTTTGTTACTTTTAATTAGATGGTGTACCTGAAGATGTCTTAAGCTATTTAAAAAGCAAGGGTGAAGACATTCAGCCATATTCGAAGATTTTCATCAGCATTATTCAGGCAGTGATGAAAACTAGTGACAAGATCTATGCCCATTCTGACTTCAGGAAAGGAGGGAAGGCTGCAATATGCGCAATACGTGATTACAATATCAGATGAAGCTGATTTTTCCTCATTTTGAACTATTGTTCTTGTTTCAGGGTGACTATTTATTTATCGCGACCCCGAAAAGCTAAAAAAGAAATATTTTTGCAGGCCCGTAGCTAGCGGGGGACAACTGGAACAGCTGCCTCCCTTGGAAATAATCGGCGCAATCAATGGTACCTTTGTCCATTGGGGAAGAATAAATCGTTTCTCCAAATGGGCACCTTTACCGCCCTTTCGATTGGACACAATACGAAGCCAACGACCAACGTACCTCTCTTGCACTCCAGCTAGCTACGGGTCTGGTTTTACCTGGGAAGTTGACTTTTGAACATTCGGTACTTTTTCTTCTAGTGATTGAACTTACAATATATATATAATAGTTGACCAGTGAGACATGTAGTGGGCCTTGATTCAGGGTGATCCCGAAGAACTAAAATATATATTATTTTAACATTTGGTACTTTTTCTTGTAGTGATCGAAGCTTACAATATATTTTTTTAGAAATGTATATAATAGTCTACCATGACAACTCGGACCATTCTTTATTTATTAAATTATTGTTTATTACATCAACAGTTTATAAAAGAATGTATTACATCAACAATTTATAAGGGTATTAATATTAAATTAATCTTTATTACATCAACAATTTATAAAAGATTAATATTGAAATTAATTAAAATGAAATAAATGTATAATAAAAAAAATAACTGGATTACTTAATTAAATATTGATGTAATAAAGATTAATTTAAAATTAATACTTTTATATCAAATACTCGTCAATTATATCAAATAGTCGTGAGTTTTATTAGATACTCGTGAATTTTATCAAATAGTCGTGAACTATATCAAATACTCGTGAATTTTATCAAATAGTCGTGAACTATATCAAATGGTCGTGAATTATATCAAATAGTCATAATTTATATCAAATACTCGTGAATTTTATCGAATATTTATAATTTATATCAATTACTCGTGAATATATCTTGGTCCTTTCTCAGATAGTATATTATCTACAATAATTTGGGCTGGGCCGAAGAGCTTCATAACAGCCTTTACTGTCAACTAAAAAATAGATTTGTATAGATTTACTTTTTGATATTTTAAATACATTTACTTTTTATGTATATATAAATAAATTCTTTAGTAATATTGATGCTGTAGTATTTTAATAAAATGGTTACCTTGGCCTGAACCTTGACAGCTGTCATTATCCCTGGTTCTGAGGCGTGTCAGTGATCGGTGTTGGAGTTGTACGACCCGGCTCGTTCTCTGGTGACAATCGGACAGGTGGTAGTCTTGTTTCGGATGCTACACCGCCAATCCGTACTGTCCTTGTTTTGTATCTTGGAAGTGAATCTGTGCCCGTCACTAGACACTAGTTTTCTCTTGCGGGGTGGATGGCCGAATGGTTAGCACGCGCGCGCTGTATCATAAAGCCAGTCATTGAGTCAACTGGTGTGGTTTCGAATCCCCGGTTCTACGTGACAAGGAGTATGTTCGCCTGTCCAACCTCGTGGTTTTTTTTTTCTTATTAACTTATCCAGACCATAATCAACTCTCGATGTCAAAGCTAGCCTGCGATATTTATTGGATTATGATCCGATTTGCTGCTCAACTTTCATTCATGATTTAATCATGAAATGGATAATCGATACTATGTTTTTGTCGTACCGACTTCAGTAATGATGATCGCGGCTAGACCGAAATTTCAATCGCTTAATTCTCGGTTCATAGTGGATCAATTTGAGTGAAATTTTCATCAAATTCGCTTTACATTACCTAGTTTGTAACTATTATAGTGAAGAACTGCTAGCTCTTTATCTAATCTCCCATAATGTATCTTTAATCATTTTAACCCATTATACAGCGACAAAAGTTTCCATATGGTGCTAGTTTTTAATCAGGAATGCCAACTTACTAATGTTCTGGGGACTATTTAGTCTTCCTGGACTTCCCCAGGGGAAACATTGAACAGTAAAAAAAGACACAAACTGAAGTTTAAGTAGAGAATGTAGAGTTATTCTATCGAGTTCAATAATAGAGGCGGGGAAATTTGTGAGACCGAGTGCACAGAACTGACTGATACAGGTCAATAACAAATGTAACACCATGGGTCGTCTGTCAGACGTGGAGAGCGGACAACTATGACCATAGTCAAGAAATCACGATAACCGAAGGTCGCCCTGCTAGTCGTGCAGCCTTATATGATCACGTGACAAGACTGGTCGTCTAATAGATATGATCTCTTCTCAATAATCGAGGAATGGGAACCAAACTATCGCGCAATCTGTCTTACTGGCATCTTTCACTGGTAGGGTCATTTCAGTTTAGCATATATTTATTTACGTAATAAGCGCATAAACATTCGGTTGTTGCGATACTGTTTTGTTCTATGTATATACAACATATCATAATAAGATATAAGTGTTCGAAACGTTACTATAGCAACAGAAATAATGGCTTTAACAGTCAGTGCTAGAGTTATTCCCCTTTTACTGTTGGTCAATGATAAATCTTGTGGTGATCGTAAGAATAATTGCACATAGACTATTGTGAATTGCTAACCTGTTCTATCATTTAACATATCATAATGTATAAGTGTTCGATACATTGTAATTACTATATTTGATGCAGGACGGAGGGCCTGACAAGGACGGCTGTCTGGTCGTTCGGATGGGACGAAAAACTGAGGTCCCATGTACACACTGGCGTGCACGTAAAAGATCCATTGACAGAGTAGACCGTAGTGCCACTGTCCGCAAAAAATTTCCCTCATAGCACACTGTATGGCGTATGCCCGTCTTCATTAGCCCAGTTCGGAGCAGAACAGTAGGACGTTAAACCTCATTTCATAGTTTCACCGTAGTTACTATAGTAACATAAATAATGGCTGTAACACTGAGTGCTAGAGTTATCTCCGTTGGTGATCTTAAAACTAATTGTGATTGCCACCAATCTATAGTGTAGGGGATTAACTTTTTCTATCTATATAAAATATCATGATATATATGTGTTCGTGAGATTTTATATAGATCAGGGATCACGACAATTAATGGTTATAAAAGTCAACGTTACTGTTCCTATTTGTTTCTTAAGGGACGGCTGTCGGTAGCTCTCTGGCATTTTCGGATGGTTGATGACAGTTTTTCGGTGGGCACATTCAATTTTTTAGTGATCTTCTTGTTTTCTTTCGCTAGATGTTTTGGCTCAGTAACACGTATTTGTAGTTGACCACAGTCACATCCACATAGTCTGTTGTATACCTTTGGATTTGGATAAAATAAAAGAAAGATGAGCTGTGCTCAACGCTATATGAGTTGGTGATGACAATGCTACACATGATGAACCCATGTCCGATGATTCCATAGATTCTAAAAATCTGTCTTTCTACCTGAATAATGAGCTTTTTCATATTGGCGAATAACTAACAACGAACTAGTTTGTTGTTCATTATTCACCAGTTATCGAATTAGTAATATAATAGATGCACTTTTATAGGGAATATGCCATGAGTGGGATTTTTAATTGGTTTATAACACTTCAAAGTCTTGGGAAATAGATTCTAGCAAGCTTTCATCTGATATTGGATTCATGTATTGCGCATATTGCAGCCACCCCTCCTTTCCTGAAGTCAGAATGAGCATAAATCTTGTCACTGGTTTTCATCACTGCCTGAATAATGCTGATGAGAATCTTAGAAAATGGCTGAATATTTTCACCTCTTTTTTTCTAAAAACTTTAAAACATCTTTAGGTACACCATCTGAATAAAAGTAATCAAAAACAATTTACAAATAACCCGAAACAGAAGACTATATAATGGGCAGTAGGTGGTTCAGTGGGTTTAAAGCAGTTGAGTCCTGGGAGCGATATTTTGTATAAAAGTTTAAGAGAAGAGAAACATGGGAAGACCAAAACAACAACTTCCTAATATTGTGGTGAGTATTATGTTTAATGTTATATATGCCCATTCAATTGTCCTTAATGTTGATTTATTTTAAAAGAGATCCACATTCAGGTTTGTAACGCACTTTCGAAACGATCGGAACCTCTGCTCCCTAGACCAACTGACTCAAACCTTCTGAACCACAGATCCAGGGGGTGGGCTGGATAGCTCTTGGTCCTCCGACGAACTGGTATCCTTGGGCCCCCGTCACGCGGTGAAGAACAGATCACTTTTCAGTGGATGCGAAGATGAATTTTAGTTATTTTGAACAAAAAATATATGTCAAATTTGTTTTCCAATGGGGACCAAATCCGAGCCCATGTCCGCCCCTGCACGATCGTTTAATAATTAGCAGCTGTTAACATGACTTGAGGCGCTAGGTTTCTCACCATAGTTCCAGGAGGTCATCGCTGCCAGAGCTTAGATTCGGGTGGTACGGGTTATAAGGGGAGGGAAATAATTTCCTAAAACAAAGTAGGCTATCATCATGCTAAATTTGTTTTGATGGTTTTTGTTTTTTGCACCGTCAATAAATTGTTTGGTGTAGAAAAGTAAGACCCCAAAAACCAATTTTATACATCCATTCATTCTAAAACCATCAAAGGTTAACGAATGGTAAATAGTAATTAATGATTTTAAATTGAAGCTGTATTATTTTATAAAAATAATGTTTAGGTGAAATTTACCTTTCATTATCAAGTACAGCACATAGGTCATTCATTATAGATCTCTAATGGAACAGGAATCGATTATCAGGCCACCAAACGAAAAAATTGACCCGAAATCTTAAAAGGGTTACGTGTCCGGATAAGCAGTTTTGACGTTCACGTGCAAATTACTCAATATTTTGAGCTGAAATTTTGAGACAAGGTAAATACATCCTCTAAATTTCGTACATACTCAGACTTTTAGTTTCGAGACTCCGTACAAATCGGGATAGTCCCTTTAAGTCTTTCATTATGGAAGACAAAACAACTCTTTATTTTTAGTATAAAAAAGTCTCAAATCGTATACTACCTTATTGTCTACGTTAACACCCTTGGTGGAAGTGGACGTAAAACTCCAGGAACGAACGAACAAACGATACTACCTTCCAAAGCTGGATTAAGTCTTTCATGTGGCTTCTCTTGCCAGTTTTTTTTTAGGAAACACTGGTCTGCGATATTACCTAAGGTTGAAGGGGGCATAAAACACCTACTACTTACCTATCTGCATAATTTCATTATCATTTTTCAAAATATCCGATACATATAGTTTGCGTGTAAGTAGTTTAAGACAGAAGGCTGTCGATACATATAGTTTGCGTGTAAGTAGTTTAAGACAGGAGGCTGGAAGTAGTTTAAAACTGGAGGCTGTTCAATGTGATGGATTTTAAAAATGGCAGCATGGAACTTGTACTGTTTTATTTCATTACTTTAATTTTCTTATTATTTAGCCAAATTTAAAAATTGATCTGTTTATTATAATCCTTCTTTCATATTGTCAACATTTAGTTTCATATTGTCAACAGTTCGCCGACAGATGATTCCATTGCTGACGATTTGCCAACGACAGGGGTAATAGTGACATTCAATGTCGTGCATATGGACATCCAGTAAGGCAAGAGAAAACTAGTGTCTAGTGACGGGCACACATTCACTTGGAAGATACAAAACAATGACAGTACGGATTGGCGATCACGATCACCCACACGCCTCAAAACCAGAGATAATAGAGACTTTTGACAAGCGTAAATTCCTGGTCCGTATCGCGTATCAGTATGACTTTAAGGTGTGACGTCATCAATGTGTGTGGATTTCTCATACGTCATACGACACACGTATACGGCAGCACGTATCGAACAGCTTCCATACGGAAAAGGTCCGTATAACATTGTCGCGTCTTTTAACTGTCTTTTTTGCTAATTTTAGACGCTGAAATGTATCATAGCGTTTTTATAAATCTGTGTGTATTCTAGATCACGGAGATGTATATTTCATTTGATTTAATCATGATAAAGACTGGAATTTAATCATTATTTGTTATGGTGTTTTCTCAGAATTTTCATAAATGTTTATCGGTCTGCATGCGGGTTGATCTACAAGAAATGGTTCCACTACTGATGTCTTCCGCCTTACTCCAGCCACAGTAGTGGCTCGTCCTACGGAGTTCCTTTGCGCAAGTTTGCCTTTCTGTCCGACGTGGAGAGCGGGAGTTGGAAACCGGTCACCACATCC